TTAAAGTGATTGACAGGGGTAATTTTCTACTTTAGTGAACACGTCCAGATGACTAAATTCATAACAGGTACAAAAACGATAAAGTCAAAATAAATATGATAAACAAGATCTTCAAGGAAAGCTGGCGTTCAATGAACGCAACCCCCGCCCGACCATCAAAACGAGTCAGTCATAATATCATTTACTATAGGCCGTTAACGAAAATGTATACACTTTGTACATAAAGAAGGAACCAATAGCCGGTCAAAAAAGAACAAACAACAACAAAAAAAACCAAAAAAAAACAAAAACAATAAAACAATCAAACGTCTCCCGGAAGTTTTGCTTGTTTTGCTGCTTTTGGCTTTCTATTGCATTAAAACACCTCCAAACTAATACATAAAACGATAATGTAACGGAATCAGACACATTGTGTATTAACGGTTGATTCGAAAAAATGGTCTTTTCACGAATATTTAAACACTTTATATACAAAAAGAACATATCGCCGATTAAAAAAAACGATCATGCCTCGAGGAAAACCACCAGACATTTTGCTTGGGTTGAGTGCTTTTGGTCTGACTTTACTGTAAACAACACATTTCAAACTAAATTGAAAATGAATCCTAAACAAAATCAGACTAATAGTATATAATGAATTACTCGAGAAAATTGATATTTTCACAGGAAACATCATGATTCAATTCAATAAGTTATAAAAATCAATTCAATAAATTATAAATAAAATTTACTTATTGTAAATTTCTTCTAAACTATTGAACAACCTGATAATTTGATAATGTTTTTCTCGTTCCCATTCCCCATCCCAAAAAACTGTTAATGCATTCTTACAGTTATTGTTCTATTTTAAGGAATTCATTATATCCATTAAACTAAATCCAGTGTCAATAGCATATTGATGCTCTGGAGTATTCTTTTATAAAGAAGTTTTTGTGACGTCAATAATTAAGCGTAGGTGCGTCTCAAAGGACTTTTTGTAGTACAAAGCATAATATATTTAGATAAACAAGTATTCTTATATAAGTAATTCATATAAAATATGAATCTTTCTATATATAGTTTTGTACTTTGTTTGTTTTGTATGTCTCTATGGGATGTGTTTGTGTCATGAAATTAGTTTACGTATTTAACTCCAAAAATCAAATATATCACGTACCATTCTAAACATTTATTATGTTTCTTTAAGAATCATATATTATCTTCATACTATCTTAAATACCTACAGTTACTTACAGTTACTGATTATGGCTTATTTGTTTTTTCTGCAAACATTTTTAATAGATAATAAAGTTTGACAGTAACAAGTGACAGTAAGATCCCTGCAAAATGCAACCAGATACATACGCATAAAAGTGTTATTGATGATCCTGTATGATTCTGTATGTTGATATTAAAGATGAACCAGCCAGTTTAAGACATTAACGCCTCGGAAATAAATAGATTTATACTTCTTTAGAAAGAGCAAAAAATAATTTTATATTGTTTTTAGAGAATGTTAGCCTGTAGCCTGTCCAGCATGACCGAAAATAAAATGCAGAAAATTCGCAAAAAAAGGAAAAGGACCACCTATTTCGTTCGCTAATTATAAAATGTTTTTGTTAACTAATTCTTTAATGTTGGATTTTTTTAAAGGATATATTATATAAAACAATTCTCGTTATCCTGTATGTCTATAGAAAAAAACTGTGACCCTTCGTATCAACGTAAACTGGAACTGACCATTAGCCTTTGCAACCAGCATAGACCAAGGCCATTATGTACATCTGTGAAATCTGACCAGGCTCTATACTTTTGGTAGCAATATTTTAATATTTTGATATAGAAATCCGTTTGACTTTCTATGGACTGTGCAATGCAAATCCACTTAAAAAATAATCAGGTTTAACCAAAATAGATTGTACACTTGCAATGTGCCTAATATGTTTTCTGTAAAATTTAAAACCCTATTTATCCGTCACCGTCATTTTCAGTCATACTTTGAATCTTAATGCGTTCTTGCTTTTAAAAGGTTTTAAAACGAAAATTGAATTTGTGTAATTTAGCTGTGAAACCTAAGGCAATATTCAGTTGAAAATTCAACACAGTATATGAGTGTGTCTTGTGGGAAATAAATAAAATGAAAAACACAATTTCTATTTTTAGACTATTTTTAGTCTTATTGCTTTTAAAATTAAGAACATTAAAATATATAGGACCTCAATAAGAACGTGAAAATAACAAATTGGCAAGGAAACAACAACAGCAACAAAAAAGATAAAATGTTAAGTAGTTTGTTCAAAATGATTCTTTGAGGGGAAAAACGCATTCTTTTACGTTGGGACCATACACCGCTTTTCATGGAATAGCACTACTGTGTCACATTGAAGTTTTCATGATAACGGTCGTATGAACACATCTGTGGATGTTTCTTAATTCAAAATTTCACCATTTCTTTATTTAAATGTTGAATTCTGTTTAAACCGTTGTTAGTGGGCTTAGAGGGTAACTATGTCCATTACCGTCCATGAACAGACTCAATCAAACCGAGCTTGCAACCTTTTTTAATTTTCCTGTGCTAGACTTTGTTTAGGGGATTCAGTTTTTCTCGATTATGTATATTAATGTATTATTAAGAATTTCGCGATACTCGCGTCATGAAGCAAATAAAAAGAATTGTATGAAGTTTATAGCTTCAGAATCTCATGTGATGATAATGAAATGTATTTCAAATGTTGCTTTTTATTTTATTAAAATATAAATGGAAGCAAATGTTTTCAGTAAAGATACATACTCAGTTTGATATTTCACGATTTGAAGGTCAAAGACTGTGTTATCGCCAAAGAGATTATCGAAACATGCTTTAATCCAGTTCCATTTACTTAAATACATAATGTACTTCTCAGTAGAACTGATAACATTTACTTGCTTGGCCTAACAGATTTAATTTAACAAAATACTTAAAAAAACTCCACCTACAAAAACGTTGACACGCAAATGCTTACCATTAACAACGTAAACATTTTTTATGGAACCGCCGCTTTTGCATTGTAATTACATAGCGGCCGGTTTTCCTTACCGCTGTGTGCTTTATTAACCTAGGAACATTATTAGAAATAACTCTGCTAATTTACAAAGGTACGTTCTGTACTCAAGTACTTTATTGTGCTTAATTTTACTGATCTTAAGGACATCTTAGGTCTTCATGTCCCCTTCCCTTGTGCCTTTTGACTTTATGGGCCTAATATTCAATCTATTATTTGTTTTCTTTTAGTTCCTTATCAGTTTCTAATTATTTATTCTTAGGTAGTGGTTTGCATGCCCGTGCTCTGCCTTATGCCCTTCCCTGTTTTTGTTTGGGATCCTCCTGGGCTCCTTGCCGCTGGCTCTTGTTGCTGGGACGGGTGGGGGCTGCGTTCATTGAACGCCGCCTTTCCTTGATGATCTTGTTAATCATATTTTTCCCACTACCAGTTATATTATACAGCTCTAGAATGGGGAGGGCTCAATGACATCGATTTAACTGAACAATTTGTACTTTATCTAATTGGGTCTGTTCATCATAGATTAAAAACAGTGTGACATCTTCTATCATCTCCCGTTGGTACCCTCTTCAGAAGATTTTATTCCATCTTTAACATCAAAAGCTTAAATATCAATGATTACAATGAATTGGACAATTATAAAAACTACTTAGACAAGGAACAGGGGGCATATTATGATGCTAAACTAACAAAACAACATATTAAACTGAACTTTCACTGTTGTATGCTGTTTTGTTTTATCTGATGAACATTCAAATTCGATTCTATTTAAGAATTTTACGTTTATATTGAAGCAAGAGGTGCAAGGTACATAACTTGAGTGGAAATTTATGAAACATTGTTCATCGCTTTCATGCCCCTTGTGCCTTACTTGATGTGATTTTTAGGGCTGATGACTGAAAACCGATGCGGACGGTGATTGGCATGCACTATCAATTCTTCCATTATCTCTTATTAACTGACATAATTGAACCGAATCGGTGATTTCACCTGTCAGCGTTTGAAGGATCATCTCCTTTCATTATAAACCTTATTATAACCTTGAATTCACGAAGTTGAAATAGTAAGGTGTGCATAATAAAATCTTAAATTTATGAAGTTGAAATTGCTATTCTCGAAATAGTTTGTAGTTTCAAAACAGCTTCTTAACTATCTACTCAATATGTAAAAATTATTTTTATGTAATTAATTATGTAAATGAATAAACTACAAAAACATATTGTAAAACAAATACAAGCAACTTATTATTATTCAGAAAATTGAAACAAATGATGCAAACCCCGTCTCGGGCACACAGTCAAAAGCATTGTGAAAACAAACACAAAAAAAAACGAAATATTCACAACATTTTATTTTTAAACTATGGTAATAAATACAAAAATAATAATGAATCGTCTAATTTTAAGAAATTATGTACAGGTAGTAACTGTCCTTGGTATCAAAAATCACTTGTAAAGGGAAAAAACTCAACGCTTTTCGATAAATATAATATTGATACAAGTATGTCCCTTTAATACTGTTACATCGTGTCCTTTAAATTGTTAAAGTATCTGGCCAAAAATATTTCAAGAATGATAGTTCCAGAAAAAAAATAGAAAAAACAAATACATTGAAATCGCAAAAATATCTTGAAAAGTCAATATAAAATTAGATATCTTGAAATGTTGAAATAGAATATTTCAAGAAAATTGACATCATCATAAGATTTAATAATTGACATCATCATAAGATTAAATAATAAAAACACCGTAAAGATGATATTTCTTTACTATTTTAACGTAGAAAATAACCGCTTATTATATAAACAGTCAGACAGTTAAGGAAAATTATATCAAACAAATAAATATATCAATTTTCAAGATAAGATAACCATAAACACATTCAAAGAAAAAGCAATTCTGAAAAAAAAACAAATTATATTGATATCACGTAAACACGAATTAATTTAAAAAAAGTTTATTAAAATTGTGTTGAAATTGTCAGAAATATTTGTCCATATATGAACAAGTTTGTCTCATTTGGACATACAATTAAAACAGGAAATATAACACTTGAAAACAGTTTAAAGATAAAATAAGGTATTTTTTAAAAAAAGTCTTGGTTACAAAAACACTGACGATAAACATGCATTAAAATAACAGACAACAACAAATATCAGAAAATAAGTAAAACATCAGTCCGTTGTATCTTAATCAGATTTTGTTTGCATGCATGTGTAAATGCGTTGACTCGGCCGTTCTGTTTACAATCTATATATTTAATGAAGTTCATTTTGTTAAAGGTCGTAAAAGTATCCCCGCAATGTACATGTCTTGCTTCGATTCTGTTTTTCTTGAAAAAGGCGTTGGTTTGTGGATGATTCTAAGACCACCGCCACTAATCTGAAAGAATATTCATAAACAGAACTTCCTTGAAACAGATAAAAATAGTAAAGAAATATTTTTAAATTGACATTTATAAGAAATCAACGGACAAGAAAACGGTGAAGGCTGATCGGAGATTAAGTTTAGTTGGTAACTAAAGATCAACAAATGCTAATGTCTGCTTAAAATATCGTCTCTTTCGAAAATAAAAAAAAAGTTTCTCTTGGCAAATAATTCCTCTATATTTACAAACTTTATCAAACAAGATTTAATCAAGTAATGATAAACTAAACGCAACAAAGTTCTGAAAGAAATACAAACGATAAGGACAAGATTATAATACATACGATTTGCCCTCCTCGCAAGTAAACCAAAACCTTTTCCGTGTCTAAATTCTTGAATAACAATCCATGCCTATGGTGCAGATGTAAACTTTTGAACATTTTAGCAAAGATCATCAAACGCTCTGCAGGCTTCAACTGCGTAATGATATCACTAGTTAACTGATGAACTTCGTATTTGATGTCAGGATCCGGGAACCATAGACCTTGACATGCCCGCAAAAATGCTGACCTTTTTTCTTTAAAATAAATCAAATATATATAATAGTCTTTTAAGTAATTAATTAACAATTTACAAGTGTTTGGTCAATCATGAGACCTATTTTTATACTAAATATCTATCAAATAGCTAGGTATCTAAAACGTACATCAATAATTAATAAAGTTATTATTCTATGGGGAAAATGTATTTCTGTATATGATAGATCTATGTTTAAACCTATTGAAAATTTCTGTTTGTTAAAATTTTATCTATACTAACTTACCTTCAATGTCCTCAGGGCGCGATTGTTCATCTTCACTTGGGTTAAAACTCTAGTAAAATGAAATGTAGGTTTAATTTGCATTTATGGCAAACGGAATAACAAGATGTAACATGCTTCGAAAACAATGAAGAACAAATACACTTTTGTGGGAATTAAAAATCGACAAAAAACGTAAGACCCAATAAACAATCGCAGAATTTGTTTAAAATGCAGCATGGCACAAGGACATGTTTTTCGCTTTAGAACTTTTTTTTAACAACAGACGAAAAATAAAGGATGTTTCAAAGCAGTGAAAATAAACAATTTACCTTCTTGCTAATGATTGCCATCAGTGTATATAGGAATGGATTGATAGCTGAATTGATAGGTAAAACTAGAACTGCAGTCCAAGCATAAACCTCCCCAGGTATAGAATACCCATGTAATGTCATAATACCTAAAAACGTATCAGTGCTATGCTCAACATGGAATTATGTTGGTTCATGAACATTTTTTAGACTTGTATTCTCAATAATCAATAAAATGTCTTTTGCATTCGAACATCATTATCATGGTGAATTTTCAAGTTTATGAGCTGCAAGCGATACTTTTGAGTAGAAGAACACTTAATATCAATTTTGCCTAGTGTAATTACATTTGTATTCTATAACATTTATATGTTAATGAAAACTACGTGAAATTAATATTTACCCATGCAACCAATTGGAAACCAGCAGGCAAAATCTGTTCCGACAAGAAGCAGAAGATTTCTTGCAACTTTCAGGTCATTTCGTCTTGCAGAACTCTTCTTTTTCATAGTTGACGCAGCCCGTCTCACTTCGCAGAAGATAAGAATTTGACCGAGTGCGATCAAGATGAATGTAACGAAATTGAATCCAATAAATATGAGTACAGAGTAAAGCCATCCGGGGGAGCGTTCTTTTGAAAGAGGTAGTGCCAGGCAAACCCCTGATTTTGAATAGAACTGGTTTCCAAAATATTTAGATTCAATGATTGGAATAACGGCAACAATCAAGCAAATAGACCAACAAATTGACACTACAATTTTAGCCTGCCTTGTCGATATCTTAAAAGAACCAAAGGGATATTTGATAACCAGGAGCCGATCGATAGTAATCAAGCAAACGAAAAGGACACTTGCCTCGGAGGAGACTGTTGACATAATTCCAGCCAGGCTGCACCATCCACTGCTTCTCCAGCGTTCGTCTTCCTCTATGTATCTATTGAAACAGAACCTTACGGTACGAATGTAATACGAAACAGAAATAGTTACGATACATTCTAATTGTAATATCAAAGAAACATTCAGTGAACAATGCTGTTACTTTATCTTTATCTTTATGTCTTAATAGTAACACAAACGAAAACAGATTTTGTTTGCTTAATTCTTTTACCTTAACTTAACCCAATCGATTTCCAAGATGAAACAGGTGGTTTACATATAACAACGTAAATATAAAAAAGTAAAACTAGAAAAGAAAACTTTTGTCCAGGTTCTTAAATTATGTAAAGAAAAATACATCTTAGATATTTTAAAAGATGAAACAGACAAGACCTAACTAGAACTAGAAATGTGTCCATAGGACACGGATACTACCATCTACACATTAAGGTTGTTCATCCCTGAAAGCTTAAGCAAAATCTGCCATCCGGTGTAAGAGGAATTGCATTCACAAAATTTCTACATAGTATATAGTGAAAAAATCAACCAAGGGCAATAATTCTGTTAAATTTGGTCGCAGCAAAAATTCCTCCCTTTACTGCCATTTACACATTAAGGTTGTTCATCCCTGTAAGTTTAAGCAAAATCTGCCATTCGGTTTAAGAGGAGTTGCGTTCACAAAATTTCTACATAGTATATAGTGAAAAAATCAACAAAGGGCCATAATTCTGTTAAATTTGGTCGCAGCAAAAATTCCTTCCTTTGCTACCATCTACACATTAAGGTTGTTCATCCCTGTAAGTTTAAGCGAAATCTGCCATCCGGTTTAAGAGGAGTTGCGTTCAAAAGATTTCGGGACGTACGGACAGACGGACGGACGGACAGACGTACGGACACTCGGACGGACAAGTGCAACGCTATATGCTCCCACTCTGTGGGGGCATAAAAAGTCACCTATCATGGTACAGTCTGTCAGCAATAGCTATAATAAGCATATAAAATCCCATCAACATGTCGGAAAATGCTAAATTGGTCACGAAAATTCCATACACCATTTTGATGCGTTTCTTGTCGAAGACCATTCTGAATACCACAGACAGAATATTACCAACAATAGCAAGAACTGCTATGATCCATAGCAAAAACTGTAGACTGGTTCTTCTCATTAAATCTCCGCAGGATGAAAACTCATCTTGATGTGGAAAGCATTTATTCTCTTCCAAATAAATCGGGCGCATGCAACAAAATTTGTACATCGGAGTTTTTAATTTTTGCAAACCGGTTACGCCTGTAAACATTGCTTTTCCAAAGTTTTTAATGGGATTAAACGTTATATCTAGTTCTTCAACGTGCAATCCCTCAAATGCATTGTCTTCAATTGTTTCGATAGTGTTATATGATAAATCTAGTTTCGTTGCATTGAATCCATTAAAGATTCGCCTGGATACAACTTGTAGCATTGTGTGTGTAACAGAAAGATGTTTTAGTCCTAAACCATAAAAGGCGTTTGGTTCTATTGTAGAAATGAGTTCGTTTCCCTCAAGTAAAAGTATCCTTATAAACCTCAGATCTTTGAATATCTCTTTTTGAATAAACGATAGTAAATTGTAACTTAAATCTAGAATCAGAATATTTCTTGTATGAGCAAATGACTCATTATGGATGAGTCGTATGTTTGAAAATGAAACATTGAGTTCTATTAAAAAGTACAAGTCTGTTTTTATATCCAGCGTTCCGTTTAAACCCTTACAATGGTTTATATCTAGAATTCGTACAAGACTTGATATCGAATTGAAAACATTGTACTGTAGACTGGGACATGATGAGCTGTACCCTTCACATGTGCAATTGTTAGGACAAACAAAATGACATAGATCCTCGTCGTCTCCGTGTGGACAATGTTTTCGTCCGTCACAAACTTGTTCAAAAGGTAGACACACGTGACTAAAGCTACATCGAAATGCATTATGACAACCGTGGTTAGCTGTAAAAAGATACAAAATGATTATTAAGATACTGTCAGGAAAAACATTTGTGTTATGTACAACACATTTAAAGATATAACGTGAAACTTTCGCCAATTAAGCACAATACTCACTTTTATCTAATATATAAACATCTGAATAGTTATCAGCAAACTATATTACAAATCAACTGTAACACTAAGTTTTCCCCTTTTGTAAATCATATAATTGCAGATATTAAGTTTTGTAAGGGAGGCAGATTTAAACAAGTTATCCTGGAATTCATTACAGTTCTGCTATTTTTTGTGTTTGGGTTTTTCTTCTTTGAATATTGCGTTGAGGATTTCTTTACTTGGAATCATAGACAAATATATTGCCCATAATTATTACTTACTCTATTTTAATGTGACATTATTAGACTTCAAGTCTAGGCTTATATATTTTATTTTTTAAGAAAATCAATCAAATCGGAACAATCAACACAGGATAAGTTTTAAGGTTTAGTTAATGATGATAACCGACGTTATTTAATGATGATAACCGACGTTTCGACTCTCACATGTCTTCATCAGGGTTATTTTTTGTTAAGTCTTTGCAATTTTTTTTGTTTCTTTTTTTTGCGCCTTTATCTAATTCACTGTCTATATTTAATGAAATGTTACGCTTTTGTCTGCTTTGAAAAACAAACAAGCTCAAAGTAATCAAACTGAACGATGAGTTGTTATAAGAAAATACATACCACTAAATATTTCTGGAAAAAGCAATGTCCCTCCACTTCTTAAAAGTTTCCAGTTGTTCAGTTTTAAATATTTTGTCTTTCCGTCTTTTGACATTGATACCTGTAGATTTTTGTAGAAAGAACCGTCTTTTTCTATTCTGAACCTATACTGAGTCGCTAACGTCTCATCAAATTTATGGAAAAGGTCTTCTTCTTTCTTACGTAGCTCCCCATTCTGTAAGAACACGGAGAAAGTCTCATTCGTGCCGTTGAAACGTATCAGCTTTTCGACATCACTCTCAAAGTTATCCATTGAAATATTATATTCCTTTTTATATTTCTTACTAAGTGCTGTCATTGATAACACGTTATATGTTCGGACCAAATATACAGAAGACTGGCCATTTTCAGTCATTTTGATGTTATGCTTAACAGTGAAAAATATTTGAATATGTGTATCTTCTGAGAACATTTGTGAAGCCAAGTTGTGTGCTGCATCTTCAATTTCCGCATCCTTACCGATATAGTAGATAAGTATGCCTTTAATTCTTGCACCTGAAGCTGAAAAGAAAAATAACACATACAGGACATGATGTATATATGATAAACGAATATTTTAATTTTATTTTTTTTACCACCACGGGAGACACAAATGTGTCTTTTGCATGTGTTTGCATGTGTTGCAAGTAACCTTTTGTCTGTATATTGAAGTGTAAATTAGAAAATTTATAACATTTAAAACATATTTTATATATTTATCTATTAATTTCCTCAATCTGGACATTTTTAAACTTTTTTATTAAAGTAATGCCAAACAATAACAATTAATTTTACACATGATATGTTAAAATTTGAAAAGTTAATCGTGAAAGAAATATTAATAATGTTACACTAGATTATCGGAGTACAACTTACATTCTGAATACAAATACATAACAGGAATGAAAAATTCTTACAACAATTTCTTTCGTCAAATGAATCTGGACAATGAATCCGACCGTCACATACAAAATGATATGGTATACAAAAGCTTCCGGGGCATTTAAAATAATGCGGTTCGCAGTTGATAAATTCTGCAAAACATAAAATTACACATAATAGGGAACAGATCAACACATATCTGTATGTACTGATGATAACAAAAGTAATGATTGAGATCAGCGACTTATCCAAATCGTTTTAAAGATTTATTCTAATCGGCATCATCAGATGATTTGACATATCATCAAATTTTTAGATTATAATTATTCATTCATTTTACTAATATATGAAGCACAATTTTATGTATGCATAAAAGTACTACTTATTTAAATATTTTAACTTATTGTTAACATATTTAATTCAGTATTGTAAAGTAATTTAAGGGTCTCTTGTTCAATTGTGGGACGAGGCTTTAATGGATCTCGGACAGAGAGTCTGATGGTAATTTGTCTCTCACTGGTGAAGTAACCATTTGGGATTATTTTTGGTCACTTTCAGAGAAATTAGGTATCAGTGGTAAGTTATACAGTTTGTTTGTTAAGTAGACCGGTCGCAGTGATAATTCCAAAAAATGTGTTTAAGTCGTAATCAAACAAACAACCAAACAAAGGAACTGGTATCTGCCAGCACTTGCTTGTACCATACCACAATTTTGAAGATGCTCAAGTGATCTGCAACCTTCAACTGGTTTTTGCCCGTCAACATCAAATACACATGATCTTTTTGTAAATATTGGTTTAGCTAGAAGGCCGCAAGAAGTTAAATTCCTCCATTCGGTCCCTTTAGTCACGTGTGCAGAAATGTATTCTGGTACAATCAAGTTCGTTCGGATGCCGTCTGTCAAATCTAGTAAAATACATATAGGATAGTGAATGAGTGTAAGTTCAATACTGAATTTATTGCATAAGTTGAATAAATTATATTATTAATAAATATAATATTATTTCATTCAACGAGTGCAATAAATTCAGAAATGAACTTACACGAATTTAATATTCTATTTATCACATACCCAAAATAAAGACCGTTAAAAGTGAAATAAGAGTCATTTTACATCGACGCGCCTATAGTATAACGGTAACATTTAGCGCAACTTTACACTATGTTTGTATAACGCTAACGACGTCACGTCAAAATATATGCACGGCCGTGCAATACCATATTTACGGAGTCGCAAAATCGACACGGGTGTGTGATAAATGTTATAGTTACAAAGTAAGTAAAGACTATCAACGTCAATTTCTTTAATCAAAGGCTGTTATAAAAGAATGAGCTCCTACATGTAAATTAAATTGCTTTAATTAGAATTTTAGAATTTATTTATAAGTGACCGTTAAAAAGGCTTTAACCGAGATGCGCGTTTCATCTTTAAATGTTATGTATCCAGTATTTCTTTAATTCAGCATTGTACTCACTTTTAACACAGGTGATTGGCCCAATTCCAAATGCTAATTTCTGTCGATTGTAATTCGTACCAAATGAGACTTGCACATTTCCAGTGAATTCATCTCGGTTTATTAGCGTTCTTAAATACAATAATACAGTGTCGGTACGGAACCAGACAGGATTTATCTCAGACTGACCGTTTGTTCTTTTAATTATTGATCAAACAATTTGAAATAAACAATTTTAATGTACAATAAAGGATTCGAGCCGATACCGATAAAGAATGATATAAGGCCAACCCATTCAAGAAGAGAATATACAAAATAAAAATCTGGAAACAAAGTGATCCCTCGGAAGCATTAATCACAATAAAATTACATAAAAATTGCAGACTCGGTTTGATTAAGTCTGTACATGAGGGATAATAAATAAGTGCAACATCCCTCGTGCCCCTTTAACTGACATACAACAATCGATCTTTTTACTTTTATTTATTTTGAAATTTTAAAGACACGTTCCTAATTTCCTGCACTGTATCGGCTAATCCTTATAGTTTAAAAAGTCTTTTAATATTTACTCGGTGTGAGTTTAAAACTATGAAGCGTAAACCATGGACCTAGTGATTAGTGTTTGCCATTAGCGATAAATCAGATCACCCTGCACATACATGCAGACTGACAAAGCTATTTACAGTTTGTTGACAAACTTTTCATCTTTGTATCCCCAATATTGCTGTGATCAGTTCCAAAAATCTAATTAAAAAAACAATTTAAGAAGTTCATTGGTTAAAAGAAAAGTATACCCTCTTAGAATGGCCTCTGTGCTGTTACCAATAAGTTTGATACTCTTTTCCTTCCATTCAGAGAGACTATTGTCTTGACTAAGCATAGTTCTGCTTATCGGTAAATCTAGATGGAACTGTTACAAAGATAATAACAAAACAATTCACAACGTGATTGAAACAAAAACACGTGATTTAAACAAACGTAATATGAAGTGATTTGATACTTAGATAACAGAACGTGATTGAAACTAAAATAACAGAACGTGGTTGAAACAATCACAGAAAGTGATTAAAACAAAAACTACAAAACGCGACTAAAACTAACTTTGGGGCGTTACTGAAACAGAAACTATAAAGGCCTTGATGATAAAAAAATCTGTTTCGTTCTGTAATTTTATGAGGAAATCATTTAGACGACCTTACCGTCTGATAACAGATGTAACCATTATAGTCTAACATTGACGGGATCAAGTAAATACTTCTATCTTCGAAACCGGGACTCCAATCTATATTTGAAATAGTCATCGTGATTGTTTGATTGTCAAAGTCAAATATACACTCCGTCCATCTGGTAGCTACAAGATAATTTACAAAAAGCAGACTTGACACTCATATTGTTTTTATTCGCTGACGATATGATTCTTCTTTTCTACTTTTAGAAACATAACATGGTTCAATTTCGTTTCGACTTTATTTTGATCGATCGGGTTTAAATATTAATGAAGAAAAAACAGGTCTGCTGACAATCAAACTGTACTTTTAAGTAAGGTTTTCAAATTGTAAAGAGTATCTGAAATCATTGAAACATAAGAATAAGGTTAATTGATATCAGTTTCGTTCTACATTTGCAAACAAAAATCTATATTCTAAAAACAGGTTATACGAAGTGAACAAATTGTATGACATCGCCTGATTCGTCAATTATAATTGAAATACTCAAATAAACTTTAGCAACTCATGTTAAAGTGTCGACTTATATTTTATGGACGACTATCAAACTAGCTATTATTTTATGTGTAGTATACATGATTATTTCCTAGGTAAAATAGAGAAAAACGGAATCCATAAAAAACACCCAAAACGACAAAATAGCAAATATTGCAGGTTCGGATAACGACGGTCATCATGAAACCTTGAATGTGACATTTGAGTGTTATTCCATGAAAAGCGGAGTTTGGTCCCCAAGGTAAGGAAAGCGTGTGCCCTTAACAAGATAACAATTGGCAGAACTAACACAAATAATTTTGAAAGGGGATCAACGGTTATGAAGCCTGCACATCACAGACAAGACGACAAAAGACAATTTTGAAAAGCAGGCACCAAGGGTGATTATACAGCATTTAAGTAAGAATGCTAAAATCACCCAAACTGAAAAAGGTCAATATAGAAGAAATTAAAAATACCACAAACCTGTGCTGAACAATATTCAAAGATCGAAAATATGACATCTTTAATTAAATATACGTGCAACTTGTCAAGGCTTTCACACGGCACTTATACCACTGATGTGGCAAAAGTGAAAAAGCAATCCATAAATTACGCCTAAAACGGCAATATTGAAACTGTTGCAAGCTCGGTTTGATTGAGCATGTTCATAAACAACTTTGGAACGTAAGTGCAAGTAAATGGCATTTCCGTTAACTTCGGGTTAAATAATTCAAAACTAAACCACGAAAATGTTTAATTACTGACCTATATAATATATTCCAGATTCCCAGATACCAGCAAGAAGCACATCATCACACGAATGAAGTTCGTAAAAGCTTCTACCATAATCTTCGTCTTCGCCATTTAAGCAGTCTGGATGATTGTCAAAAAGAAGTTCCCTTGGAATGCAGCGTTTGTCTATACACGGAAAGGATACACTTATGTTGCAGTTTGCTGAAAACAATATGATAATTTTAAGATAAGGTTTTAAAATCATTTATTCAATAAAATCATCACTTGTATCCCAGACGATTGTTTCAGGCCTTTTGTTTTTGTTATTACTAACATTGGTATTGCTGTAAATAATGTTCTTTATACAATAAAGTTAATTGATTAATTGTATTTTCCCGCTTTATTTGATTTATTAATCAAGCTATGTATGTGCGCATGGTCTAAAAATAGAATAATCATTTGTGTGAATTATTATCTTTATACAAGAAAAGGTGTTGATACTGGTTATAAAGTCTTATCTGAATTGCTACATTCTGATTTTCATAAGTAAATATTACCACAGTCTTTCTCGTCGCTACCGTCTACACAATGTGGGACAGCGTCACAAGCCTGGTACTTTGGAATACATTGGTAGTTTTTGCACTCAAATTCCGTTGCCAGTGAACAGGCCTGGTAATCTGTAAAAATATTGACTTTTTCTTTGGTACATGTATTATTGAATTGTAAAAACATAATATAGTTTAGCGTTAAACCATTATATTCACATATACAATTTAATAACATTAATTTGCTTAATATTTAGATTGTTTTAATGGGTTATTTATCTTACTGTTTATTATTTCAATGATGCACAAATACTGAAAATTGCTTTCGTTCATAATTCAATAGAGAAAATTATTTGTTTTGCATGTATGATTGAAATATAATTTCATTGAGTGAACACCAGATGCAATATTTTCACAAGTGGCGTAGCCGCGAGTTAAACTATAATAGCTTGTGTTCACGAATGAAATATATTTCTTATATGTATAACAAATCAATTTTCTTTTTAAGTGGTTTTAAGTATTTTTTTTACTGCTTTCGCTGCGTAACGTCGTGCATTCTCTTTTGTGACGTCATCACATCATGATGTCACATCATCAATTTTGAAATAAAGTTCTGTTAAATTTCTTTAATTTTGTTACATTTTTAATATGGTGTATGGTGACATCGACCTTCTTTTCTTAAAGAAGCAAAATTTACGCATGACAGCATTTATTTTTGCCTGTTATTCCGTTTAAGTTTGATTTTCTTTTCATCCGCATTCAGATATTGTCCGGCTACAGTGAAAATTATATTTTATAAATTTCACTCATGGTTTATCAGAATAAAATCATCTGATATATTGCAATAAAACAGTGGAAAGCATGAAATAAATTACTATATTCGATGTTTTACCATGAAAACCGTGCAAATTAAAAATAAAACAAACATAAAACAACAACAACAACGCTAAAGTACACGCGTTGGGCGTCATTCGCCTAGTGATTAAGCCCGTTGACTTCAAACTGTTTCATGGGAGGAAACTATTCAGCTAACTAAGGTATCGTCGGTGGTTCTACTTAAGTGCCCACTCGTGCCTGAAACAATGCACTAAGGGGCAGCTAAGGTCTTCCTTCAGACCTTTGCAGTATTGGTGCAATGTATAGCCCCACCAACCAATCATACATTCATCTTATAAATGTTGTAACCAACGACAAGAGCTATTCATCCCTAGAAAGCTACAATTTGCTCAAAGAAAAAGTTGTTAAACAAAAACGAGAAAACCGACATAAAAAAACGATTCTTATGACAAGAACAATACAAGGTGCGTCCAAAAATAACAAGCAACAGTCTTCATACATTGCATTCTATTATGATTACATATGCAATGGAAGCAGATGCAATTTCCCATTTTAGCAACGAAACATTACTAAAATATCGTTGAATCGTTGAATCCGACCATACATTAAAGCTGTATGTCTAAATAAAATTGAGAAAAATATGCAAAGATTTAATGAAAAATATTATAATAAAAGATTCACGATTAAGGTAAGAGATGACATGTAATGACTGATTTCGAATATTTTTCAACATTTTTCTACTGCATGAAAGGACTATTTTAGTTTCAATCAATTTTTTTGATACTAACTTTGGTTGTAAGTTGCAGTTTGCAGTGCGCAAAACTACTTTCATGGTTAACAGTCGCTAATATTTTAACTTAAATATGTTTTTTTCTTCAAAATTTTCGTAACAATTATCACAAATCTTGAGGCATGCTGCTTTAAATCAAACACACTTTATAAAATCTCATAAGCGGCTGAAACCCTTCAAAAAATAGAAATCTAAAAATAGAAAGTAAGAAGTTGTACCACAATATTCATCGGAATTGTCAGCACAATCCTGTCTAAAGTCACATACTCTACTGGAATGAATACATTCGCCATCCGTGCATTGGAAATAGTTTTTGGTGCAATTTCTTTTTTCTGAAATGTATGGCAATATATAATAATTGTTAAGCAAAAGAGAATTTAGAACAGAAACTTTATCGTTTGTTTGTAAGCAATACATTTTATTCATATGCCACCGTGTCTCTAATACGTTCATTGGGTAGTTTCAATATACATAGTAATTTTGTTTTTTGCTTGTAAGCAATACTTTGAATCCGAACGTCACTGTGTCGCAAATGCGCTTATATGTAGTGCAAATAAAATTATTCGCTTTTCTTTGTGAGCGCGGCATAAAGCACATAACCAACCATAAAAGCGCAGGCAATAGCAACAAAAATTACGTAAGAACGCAATATGAACGATGTGAGGAGGTTATTTTACGTCCATCTTCACTAAAAATGATAAATTTTTATTTGCAATCTCAACACACTCTGAAATAAATTAATACAAACGCGTTGTGTTTGTTTTCCTGTGTTCTTTTTCTGTGTTGTACACTATTTTTATTATAATTTTGTATTTAATTGAACAAATATAGCATGACTAATAACTTACATCGGCGGTCAAAACTTACCTTTGCAGTGAAGTTCGTCTTCGTTGTTCGAACACTCAACAACACCGTTACAAACTGAGAGTGGAGATACAAACTCATCTTCGGAACATTCAAATAGCATATGCCTGATATCATATAGGTCCGTTCCAGTATCAGGATATTCCCTCGCATCTATATCTATAATGAGATAACTTATTTTCAAATTATAGGAACAAAACAATCTTAGACGTTCTCTATTTTGGAAGCTTAAGGTCTTTATACTTTTTATATTTCTGGATGGTCTCAGTAGTAACAGCAAAACCTTACAATATATCAGAAAATTGTTACGAAAAAAAGGGATCTGCTTTGTATAATTTATTTACGTGTGTATTTATTATTTACTGTTGCTTCTCTAGTTTTTAAGTAACAATCATGAGTATCACAGATGTTATCTATATTATTTGATTTATGTCAACGACATCCAAGATTTCAATTTGTTTGCAATAATATAATTTTGGACCAATTTACAATTATACCCAAAATTATTATTTCCCTAAAGCCGAAGAATGGTTTTCTCCAGATAGAAGGATGAACAAGTCAATTGAAAGGCACATTATTTCTCAGAAATAAGTAAATATCATAATCTGTAGAAAGGGGGAATTATGCTTTTATTATGCTGTAACTGATTAAATATATGCGAGATGGTCACGTGTTACACTTTAAAAGCAATGATTGGATGTTACTAATAGATACAAAATAATTATAATTACCAAATTCAACCTATTAAAACACTTACCTATATCTACGTCAGTAGATATATTAAAATGAAACCTTTCTTCACATACAAAGTAATAAACTTCCTCCGAGCAAGGAATCCTGTACCAAAGTTTATCATTTTCTACGTTACCAAAATGTAAAATTGTACAATTCGTACTTCCGCTCACCGCTTCGACACCTTTAAACTGCACACTTAAAGAGTCATCTCGTACAAACCTATTTATTAAGAATGTTAAAATTAACGAAAATGATTTTGGCTTCACTTGACATGAATCACTCCTTAGCTTGAAAAGAAGCTCATAAATTTTGCCTAGCTTTAAAAAAAACACATACACACAAACCAACAACAAACAAACCAAACAGACATTTTTCAGTTTTCAAACATTTCCAACAGTGTAGTGCCTGATCTGATTCCATGAATGTGTTGGCTGATCTGGCTCTATAGTTTTGTCAAAGGCTTATTACTGTAAATTATTTGTTTCAGCAGGTTAAGTGTTGACAACTTTTATCATTCAAATAAGTTAATCTCTACTTTATTAAATGTAAATTATTCAATAGGTTTAAATTTTTATGACCAATATACTGTTCCCTCTTTATAAAGCATGTAGCATTTGATAAGACATTTTATCACATAAATTACATTAAAAACAATGATTAACTAATTACAAATACAGATATAAACGGTTACTTAAAATGGTAAAAAATTGACATGAATAAAAGAGAAAGAAGTCACCAAGCTGTGAATGTTAAAGGCGATCCATCTGCCCAGCGTTCCTCAATCGCTCCCTCACTATTGAAGTATCGTGATAGTCCTGCAGGGAATATAATTTAAAATCAACGAAAAGAAATTATTTTTTATCAACACAGAAAAAATAATAATGAAAAGTTCTCTTGTCCATCAAGACAATTATCAAGTTTGATTAAATACAACACAATTTTATATTAATATATGGGGACATAGACCTCTTATGCATGTCGGTGCCGAGTCATCTAAAGTACAATTTTTAATCACCAAGGTAACATCTAATTTTGTTGTTGAAAAATTTTAAGCAATATATGCTAAAATTATAGTTCAATATTCTTACTTATTAGTTTAATTGACCTTCAGATTTTCTTAAGGTTAAGAATATTATTTGTAGATAAATTGTTTCATATGATTGTCAAATTAAAAGAATAAAGGTGAAAAATGAAATCTGCCGACAATAAAATACACAAGACACAAGGAAACCTCTCTTTACATCTAATCTACCGCTCCTCTATATATCTAATAAGTAAACCGGATGATTTGTTTCTTCTATTTTTAGAAACGAACGTCTCTGACGCTGTTTTGAAGATTGTTGTTGTATAATAATAAAATTACGGATACACTTAGTTTGAAACATCACACAATTGTTTTTCCAAGAACAACAAAAACAACAAAAGTTTGAGGCCGCTTAAAAGAACTTAATGTAATATGTAGAGAAAACTAAAATAAAGAGATCACATAACAAATATGACAAACCAAGATATGCAGATCGAGATCTAAATCCTAGCATCGGAGTAAATGCACTTAATTCTAACAATATCATTTGTAAATACTTCATTTCCTCCTTGCTTTGCAATGAAAGCAAATATCCGCCGCGTTTTTCACAATATACAGCAGCATTTGACCATGAAGACATCAACGATACAGTCGGCAACGAATACAACGTGTAGCATTTGGAAAACTGGTCAACACACACTGAGGTGTAAATAAGAAATATGTAGATATTTTCAATTTAAAAAATAATTATCAATAATTACATATTGTACTCTCTATCGTAAAAATGACACATTTGTCAGAGAATATGCCTAATGTGACAAAAAATTTAATTGAAATTAAAATATCATATACACTAAAGAAAATCATGTCAACGTGATATTAAACTTACACTCTTTTTCAGGACGCAGAACTAAGTAGAAGCAATCTTCATCTACAAAAGAAAAACGAGTCGATCAAGTTGAATCAAGATAAATACAATGTTTCTTCTTCCTGTAAGTGAAATCAATTGTTTTAGACATACGTAAATATGGTCGCATAAAAGTTTGGCAAACACATGCTTATCGTATAGCACATTATCAGATTGTTCCTTACATTAGTTTGTCAACATTTTTCACGGGGCACTATCACAATTTAGGCCCTAAAATGCCGAATCAGAAAAGATGGATTTGGCTAACCTCGGGTGTAATAAACTTTAAGAAACATCAGGGGCTCATCACCTCACCTGCTTGAGTTAAGAGATGCATAGACACCTGCATTTCGAACCCATTTAGTCGTACCTTACGATCACGCATGGATGAACGGTGGCTGCAATTCTGTTGCCTCAACCCTAAAAGGCAACACCTCAGCACAAGGGGGATCTATATAAGACAGATTTTGAAACTTAAGATATTATCAAATGATTTATCAGACATCCATCAGTTAAACAGAACAGAAGTGATCTTTTATTTTCTAGACTTACACTTATTGTTTACATGCAATGAATACATACATACAACATAACCATACAAAGATATGTATGGCGAGTGTTTGTTATAAATATTAAGCTTACAATTAAAAGTTACACTTAAATAATGGTCCTGGGAAGGCTGCCACAACAGAAGAAAAAGACGACAAAAACAACTTCTTTCCTCTATTTGTGTAATAACAAATCATCAATCTAGTTTGCAGGGCGTTTATAAACACATAAGCCAATTGTCAAACTAATTCAATAAATTTCCAGAAGGAAGAAAATTACCATCATGACCTGTTCCTCTTTAGTTTTGTTCTATTTTTTCGAGACATAAATTCTTTTTTTTTCAATTTACTTATAAAATGGTTTAAGACGATGTTTGTTCTCTTGTATCCAGAATTAAGAATCTGGTATGACGAAAATGCGGAGCTACTTAATATAAAATAGGTTTATATGCAAAAAGAAAAATATTAAACTGGTGGCGACCAGATTTGGATTCTGGTGTAACAAAAATGCGAAGCTACTAAATTATAACCTGAAATAGGGTTTATGTGCAAAATGAAAACTATTAAATGGATACTTTAAGAACATTTTAAATTTTATTTCGACAAGTTGATCGATGCTTACCAAAGCATTCAAAAACTACATTGTCGAAGAAAGAAGGCGATGGAATCTTGGAACTATTTTCTCTATTTATTTGTTGCGCAAGTATTTGAAATCCTTCCAAAGGGTAGTATGGCTCCCTGTTTGTTGCAACAGTGAATGTTATTTCCATCTCTAGACGTAAGAGCATGGCTCTCTGAGGTTTATTGCGGTTGCAAATTTCAGTGTTGATCCAACGTCCCTTTATTGTGAAACTTGAATCTGCAACGTGATAAAACAAAGATACATTTATCATATGAATCCCAATGTTTACAATTTGATATAAGCATTGTGGTGTTTGTTTTCTTCTCAGACATTATGAATAATAATCACTAAACTTCCAGCATTTGCATCATGTGCTTTATACAATTTACATTTTCCGAGTCCTAAACACGTAAAAAACCATTTACACGATATATTTTAGGTAAATTAGAAATACTTGCCTTCATTGTATGGTATTGTTACCTTTTCTGCTACCAAAAATGCTATTTTTACAATTTGTCTGGGGGAATTACAGGAAATTCCAATTGGATTTTTCCCAAATAATAATGAAAGTGTATCGGCATTAACTTGAATTAGCATATAGTTACCCAATTGCTCTGAAGAAATTGCCTGTAAATGATGTAAGCAAAAGCAAGAAGCATTTACATTTTTATCTTTCATTTATTGCATAGTTTAGTTAAATTTCATTAATGTATTAATCTAAATGCACACACACTTTCTATTATGAAAATATTACCTGTATTGCAGCTTACGTCAAACACTTCAAAGGTAACTTTAATGTTAGGCATGTATCCGTCTTCAATTGATGGTTGGTACAGAAAACGATATTTATGTGCCGAATGCGGTATTTGCCATAGTTCTGGTGAGGCAAACCGGACACTGCCTTCATAACATCTGTAAACCTGATCCCAATCTGGCAATCCACAATCTGGATGCTCTGAGGAAAATAAAATATTATTTCCGCGGTTAAGACCGTCAAAATCTAAAATTCATGTTCATAAATAACTGTCAATTATAACTTTCTGTGACATGTTTGATGTTGAAACTGAATATTATTCTTATTTGTACAACGCGTTAGTAATGTATTTTCTGCGTGTATAATTCAGATTTCCCATTTACATACAACGTGAATTATGTTATGTGAACGACAACAGTTTTAATTTCTTTTTCTTTTGTTTATTAATTTTAAATGACATTTTGATGAAAAATACAATAATTGTGAAAGAAAACGAAATCTATACACGATTAAAAAATGAAACAATGGGACAAACTATCCAAGTCATCAACTGAATAGTAACGAGAAGCAAATCCACTTTGCCATCATTAATGCGTTATGAAATATAAATATTTTGAATATTTTTTGTCCTCAATTAATGAAATATAAATTCCCTGAAAACCACTTTTTCTTCGATCAATGAACTTGCTGCAATTAACTTTATCCTAGATTAATTTAAAAAGAACTTTTGAAAATCACTTAGTCGTCAGGCATTTAAATTTAAACCTAATAAAAGTCATATTGTTCTAAGTCAGTTAAATGTAAACATTCTGAAAATCACGTTGTTCTCACTCAATCAAACAGAGACCTACTGGAAACAACTTTGGACTTAATTAATTAAATATAATTATAACAAATCATAATGTCAATTAAATATAAACCTTCTGAAAATAACTTTGTCTTCAGTAAATGATGTACAAACCTTCTGAAAATCATTTTTTCTCATTCAATGAAATATTGAAAATAACTTTGTCCCCTGTAAATTTAATATAAACCTTCTAAAAATCACTTTGGACTTAATCAATCAAATTTGCTGTTGTTGTTGTTTTTTACGTCACATCGACACAGTATAGGTCATATCGCGACGTTCCAGCTTTACTAGTGGATGAAACCTCAGGTGCCTCTCCGTGCATTATTTAAGGCACGAGCGGGCACCGACGTTCCGTAAGCTAGCTGGATAGCTTCCTCACATGAAAGAATCCAAAGTCTCTGTCGGGATTTGAACATACAGCGGCTAGGGACAAGTGATTTCAAGTTAATCAATCAAAGGAAGACCTACTTAAGATAACTTGTTATCAATCAATGATTTTGCAGTTATTTAATGAAACACCAACCTTCTGAAAACAAGAGAGCTCTGAAGCCTCGACCCTCGCCCTCATGTCTGTATGTCCAGAAATACATATAAAGCGAGCGAACGTCTGTACGAATCATTGGATTAAACCCATTGCTATTGTAATCTATGCTCAAGTCGCCATCTTCTATGTTGTTGAGCAAACCGAAATCTATTTGCTTTTTAAACAGTAGAATGACGTCATTGGAACACGTTTTGTTGGTGGCGATGTTAATAAAACATGGATTATCGTTCTGAAAATGGAAAAATTTTTAGTTACGTTCTTGTTTGTCAAATAAGCAACGTTACTTGACATTATTAAGTAAAACATTGCTTGTTAATCTAGTATTTTTGCTTCTTTGTTTCTAAAATTGATTTTATCCATAGTATTTAGAGGTCATATTTAACGCAAGCTGTGTTTAAACTGAATATTTAACGCACGTTTTTACCCTTTAAGCATAATGAATGCAACCTTTACTTTAACAATTTAACATATTACACTTGATAGACTTCAAAAATTTATTGCAATTGCACGGCTTACATCAGGTCTTTTTAATGATACGTCTAAAAATGCTATTTTGATGTAGTTGTCTGCATGAATTGCCCATGAGAAAATTTGAGGTGCGTCGTAGTAAAATGGGTATCCCGGATTGAAGATAACTCTCCTTTGGTGTTTGCCTAATATAACGCTCACATTCAGGTATAGCAAACCAGTATATCTCTGGTTAAGTCTAGGTACTTGGAATTGTGTTGTATCTACAAAAGAGAATATTGCCACATAAAATAGACAGTTATTCTATGCACTTTTTTTACAAAGTAACTCATAAAAACTTGAAATAAGTATTTACTTTTATCTACTTTTAGCACTTTTATTACCAAATAAAATGAAAATTGTTCATTGACTATAATTAGAGATTGAAATGATATAATAATTATAACTGAAGTTGTGTTTATATCAAAATAAAAAAGTTAAGGCAATGACCATATTTATTTTTAGTTTTTTTCTTTTCTTTTTTGTCCTGTGTGGAAAAAACAATAACATTTTTTTCTGAAATGCTCGATCTTGAATTATATTGTTTTCTAGCTCTTAAGAAAAATTTAAAATTAGAAAAAGTTAATAAACTTACTTCTCCAACACATAAATATGCCTCTATAGGCAGAATATTCGAATGCTTCCTCGTAGTAAATTTCTCTGCTACTTTTTGCTTGTGTCTTGTAGAACTCATCGTTGCCAGATAGTGGTTTAAATTCATCAGTTGAGTATAAATTACACATATAACGATACGAAGTAAAATTGCGATAATATTCAAAGAAGCTGCATTTGTCTGTTTCATTCATACATTTGTTAAAACACTCCTCGGCCTGCGTATCAGTGTAACCAGCAAATCTAGTTCCAAATGTCGGTGATATGCTGATATCTGTGAAAAGTTCTGCAGAGGTGTCATTCCGACAATAAACAGATGGTTGTCCTAAAGAAATAAATAAAATCTGCATGTTTGTATGAACATATTTAATAAATTCCGATAAATATATCCAAGTTTGAAGTGAACCGTAATTATTTGTCTGTAACAAATTTACAACTTAAAAGCAAATCACAAATCGGCAATATGAGAAAAGAGTAATAAGATAAATTATAACAACAAGGGAACAAACTAATGATAAAGGAAATAATGCTTCACCTTGTTTCCTGCAGCCGTATAGTTCAAACTTTAAACATGGAAGAGTCCCTATTGCGAGCGGAAATACCCTGATGTATCTAGCAACAAATGGTTTGTAAAGCACAAAATGATGCTCAGTATTGAACTTTAAAGACATGTCAATCTGGAAACTCTGTGACAAAGAAAGAAATCATGGTCTCATGATGTTCGTTTGATATATGAATTAAACAAAACATATCATTATATAAACCTTCATTAAACAAAACAATTGTAGGTTTATTATTTTATAAAGCGCGTAAATCTTTGGGTTAAATTGCTAAAAAACGGGGCGACAAGAAGAACTGGCAACTATTTTAGGTTGTTTCTTGCGTTGCGGTAATAAATTTTCTTCCAAGAACGATTGTTTGTGATGATAGCTCTACAATAAGACACTAAGACATTTGATAAAACACTATCATAGGGAGCATACTTGTACATACCCGGTTATTATATGGGACAAATTTATTCAGTGAGGAACCATACATTAGCTGAAAAGATCGACTTCCAACAGGAGCAATTGTAGCTTGGTATGTGTTACTAATTATAGATTCCTTGGTTTCGTTCCAGTTAAATATCGTGATACCATCAACTACAGTTGTAACGAGCAAATCAACCTTTGTACAAATAACAACATTGTATACGTTTGCATTTAGTAAATAATATAATAAAATTATTATGTATTTCACAGACAAACATTTGTACAAATGTTGTATAGTGGAGATGCAATAGTTACAAAATGGTTTATTACAGTAAATTTTACACAACCTAACGCGGAACTTGCTCTTGACATACTTAATTAATTTCTTCATGCGTTTGTCATTTTGTATAATTGCAAAACACCAGTATTGGCAATTTAGCGGTGTAAGGCCTAACTGAATACACACATAAAACTCTAGTCCATTATACAATCATGCGTAAGTAAAACTTTATCCTTAATATGCTAAGACCGACCACATCTAGCTTGGTATCAAACCAGAGTCTGTGTACAGTAGATCGAACTTTTACCTCAGCACGCAAAGAATCAAAAGATAAATAAACATTTGATATCTGTTTTGAATAATAAAAAATAATAATAATAAGAAGAAGAAGAAAACGAATAAGCACAATTACTACTATGTAAATAAGTACAATTACTGCTGATGGTAAAAGACGGAATTCAAATCAAAATAAATCTGAACCTGGATATATGGCTTTTCGTCCGTTAACAACGCGCACCAGCCGCTTAAATCTGGCCTTGCATTGTATGGTGGAAAAGCTGTTTCACTGGATGACGCTGTTATTTGGAACTTTTGTATTGATCTATCCTCCATTCCCATCTTTATTGAGCATGGTATGTGTAGCATACCATTAACATCTGAAATGTGAACATCACCTTACATGTGTTTGCAATTATCTCTAATAAACGTAATTCAACTTTGTTCACTTACATTTTGCTCAGTAGCAGAAATAAAAGAAGCGGCATTAGCAGAATAATCATTGTCATTTTTTTATATTTTCATTGTTATCAGGATCATCGTCATCAGCATCATCATTACCCTCATCATTTTCATCGTCAGTAACATTATCAGTGTCATCGTCATTCACATCATCTTCATTATAATTATCATTTATACTATAATCATAACGATAATAATCTTTTTTATCATCAACATGATAATAATCAACAACATAAGCATCATCACAATCATTATCTTCTATATCATTATAATCATCATTACTACTATTATTTTTACCATCATTATCTTTTATATCGTCATAATAATAATAATTATCATCAGCATCATCATCTTAAAAATCATTTTTAACATCATTTATACTACTATTATTATTAGCATCGTGATAATGATCATCATCTTTTACATCATCATTATCAACATCTCTTCAATATCATTACCTCAGTGTCTTCATCATCGTTGCCACCATCGTCATGTCCATTGTCGTCGTTATCTATGCAATAGTGTATGTCATAATAAAAAATGTGAATAGATGTCTTACCTGGATTATTCGAAGACAAGACTGACACATAGATATTAGCTGCGGACAACTGTTCTTTATATTGAGGGTAAGTACTCGCGTATTTCCACTGGGATAACAAAGTCACATACCTCCCTTCGAATACCCTGGAAACATTCAACATTTCATTTTGTTTGTTTGTTTGATTAGGTTTTACGTCGCACCGACACAGTTAAGTTAATTGCGACGTTCTGGCTTTACTGGTGGAGATTGAATATTTCATTTTTATCGGTATTTGTATTTTTTGATCAAGACGTGCAATGACGGTTGTACATTGATTAAGAAAAAAGGTGTTTAATCTAAAAAGATACGAAAACAAAAACACGAAACAGATGACATGAGTATCTCTTAAAACAAAGGAATTGTTAAGTACAATGTAATTTTGATTTTGATTTGGAAAAGCATTAAAATACACTTGTTTGTAAATGAGTAACTGTTACGCGTTAGATAATTTTATTGTAATAAGATGTTTTTTGCAACTAATAACTTTTTTTAACATTGCACAATGTTAATATGTCTCAAATGTATAAAATAGTAATCAAACTAATAAGTTAATAAAACAATGCAACATTAATATTGACTACTATACTATCTATGTATAATTAAGGTCAAAATTATTTTATCAAACTATAAAATCACCTATTGCACTTCAAAGATGTCTCGGTTTCATTTAATCCGACTTTAAAGTTTTCAATTTCATAATAACAAATTGCTGCTCCGTGATGCAATATCCCCCATCTGTGTCTCTCGATGAAAATATTTGTAACACTGACGGCTAAAAAGTAGAAATCAATTGAAAAAAATAAAGTAGCAAACATGTGTCTGATGTTAAATAAGATATATATTTCTATTATATACAAATGTACTTAATAAACGAAATATTAGAAAATATTGTTCAAATAAAAAGTATATTTTCATTTTCTCTATTTTTCATCGTAAATATTTATTTTTCACTGCATTGATATATTTTTCCTATTTTTTCTGGTGTCTTGCAAGACTACTTTCTTCTAAATTGAACCAATAAACAAACTCAAAGAGAAGTCTTTCTGACTGTTAGGTGAAAAAAGACATAATGTTTATAAAAACAAAAAAATGCAATCTGTTTTAGTCTTTAAATACGGGGTTTATTTTCATTTTGTTGTATGAAAATTATCATATTTCATTTATTTATTTGGACGTATTTGCACTACGGTTTAAAGCCAATTATAAAGTTATTTATAGGAAACAGTATCAGTGTGTCTAATTGTTTGACCGTTGGGTTGAGGTGGGGGAAGGAGTGGGATGTAAAGGTTCAAGCCAAGTGTAAATGGTAAAAAAAATGTACAAGTTGTATAACTGAGAGGGACTATAAATGCCTTTGCAAACAGTTTTGTACCAGATAAGACGCGTGGTAACTTGCCTTTTGGACAAATTCCAAACAAGCTGACATTCAGGCTATGTTAACACTGGAACTTGATAAAACTAGTCATAAAGCAAACAACATTTTTATCAGACAACATTTTTTCCAGCTTGCAAAGGGTTCTTTGATTTTTTTACTTATGTAGTTAATGATATCTTACTTGTTAGAAAATCTGTATGAAGCATATATATTCCAGACACCATCACCGACATTCCGACGTCAATAACAATCCACGTCATGATGTTACAACGACTTACGGACAATCCACCTGTAATAAAAAGGTATAAGGATCTTATACAGGCGGCCGGTAAAGACCGGAATTTCTAGCTTGAGGGTAACTGATTTATGGTGGTATCGAGGCTCTGCCGAGTTTCCTCTAAACAGTTACCAGTCGACTAAATACCCCTGTATTTACCGAAAGTCGTCGTTTGATTCTTTTTCTTTGGTGTAACATAATAATTATAATATGGAAAGAAAAGTAATAATTTTCATTGAGCACTTTTTTCTTATAGAAGCGTATGCATTTTCAACCTTAATCATAAAGGCAAAATGACGTCGGGGAATAACGTCTTTTAAAGCCAGCGGTTTGTCTTACACTTGGCTGTTAGACAGCCTTTTCTAGCACCGGTGTTAACAATAGATAATCCAGTCTTGTATGCAATAGTAAGCAACACGAATTTGAGCGGACCATAGTTTTTAATTTTCCCTGTCATCAATGAGCCCGGTATTTCAATAAGCTAATAGCTTCCAACACAATCGAACTAAAAATGAATTTGTATGAACTAATGAGCCCATCAATGAGCCATTTATCGTTTTGCATTGAAGACGTGTGTTTGGACATGCATGGCTTATAACGCCATATGGACATAACTGCGGATGTTACCAATTTTAACAAGAGGTTTGCTATTGTGTGTTAAATGTTGAGCTCCTTGTAAGCCGGTGCTAGCGGGCGTAGACGGTAGCTTGCACTCTCCAACCTTCCTTAAATCGATCAATTAAACCAAACGTGCAACATTTTTCAGTTATGCTGTTTTGGGGACTTTTTTATGTGCTCTATTCAGTCATCAAGAGTAGTGTTTGTACAACTTATCACAGCCCCTAATTTAATACCATTTCTAACTTTGGCAATGCTATATATGATTTAAAATTGCCAGAGACAGAATTACTTTTAGCTGCAAGTGTTTTTTAAAGCTTACAAACGATGTTTTCACATCTTCCCACCTTTATCAATTCTTCACAACTTACCGCCGCCGGGTATTCTGTAAGTCAAAAGGTCGGATATGCAGTCAACTTCTATTTTGATGTTATTCGTTGTAAAAAGAACGTCTGTCTCTGGAATGTAATCTCAAAAGTTTGGGTTAAGGACAAATTTGAAAACAATCAAAGATATATATTATGACCAGCTTGTGAGCATAAGTACACAAGCCGCCATTTTGATATTTTCTGAACAATGACGTCGACGTCACAGTGGGAAACACCCTTCAGTGTGACAAAAATTTACTAAAAATAGGTATTCGAAAACTTACGAATGAATGAAAAGGAAAGATCAAATGATTTGAAGATTGCCAAAGATTACTGACATTTTCCCAACATTAGTTATAGAAAATTAATATCTTATGATCCAATATGTGAATTGTAAAACCCCAGGAGAAATTTGAAAAGGAAAATTAATCAGAAGTCTTCAGCAAGGAATGACAAAGAACAAAGGAGAACGAGTCATTTATGATGATCAAATTTTGATAAAAGATTATACTTTCTCAGCTAAAATGAATATTTGAGAAAGGATTAAATTGTAAAAATAGTGCATTTTCAACAATATAAGAGTAAAAAACAAAAGTGTCCTCTGTTTGTTGGTTTTTTACGCATGGAGTGGGTAGAAATAATTTCTTTCCTATGATCTACGTTATAATTGTTTCAGCAGATGGATTTTAATTGTTCAAATCATTCCTTTGGACTTTGATATAAATATTTGTCTCAGTTTTGGCCGTTCTTTAGGGATTCCGTTTTTCTTTATTTTGTTGTTGCCGTGTGGCATTTCGGGGAATACATTAACAATGAATAAGAGACTGTGCAACAACAAATCTCTCACTCCCTTTTCTGTTATGTTATATTTTGATGCTGTTAGTACATTTTGAATGTTTCAAAGACACATCGTGCGAAAATTTTATATTTGAAAATATTGAAATCGCTATTGTAACACTGTCTTTTTGTAATAATAAAATTGACATGTTACGATTTCACGTAGAGTTTACATATTTTGATTTAAACTCTATATACAATTATGTGCCACAATATGAATATACATGTATAGTATCATTAAAAAAAGTTTTAATAAAAAAGTTGCAAGTTTGCTATTTGACCTGCAATAAGGAATGGAGCTTCCCAAACATTTTATTTCACTCAAAGATGAGCATAGTATATCTTGAAGTTTACATCTATAATATATCAAACATAATTCAATAGTAATTGTTTCTTTTCAATTTGTAAGATTTTAAAGATCTCACCTTCATTTTCAATCCGTGTGTTCTCTGAAATCAAAAAGTTTTACGAAACAAAAATAGTTAATCATGCCTTCAGATATGCAAATATATTTCAATAAAATCAAACCTGAGGAAAATGTACTTATACTTTAGAAAAAGTAAAATGTTTCTTAGGAACGCTTTTACCTTTCCTCATTTTCTTTCTTACCAACATAGTAAAATCGCACGAATTATATCCCACATTTTAAAATCAAAGTCCACTTAGATCTAAGAGTTACATGATTTAATTATTGTGATCAAGATTGCAACTTCATCAATGCCCTTCATTTGATCTCAGTTTGCACCAAAAGTTCCTAAGTAATGCATTTAAAAAAAAGTTTGCTACATTGTTTATTGTCATACCAGTAGGTTTTTAACATTGATATAAGTCAAGATAAAATTGCTTCTCTACGTTATCAAAAAATCAGTCTAGCATATAAAAAACTACTCACCGAATTTATTGAACGGATCAAAGTAGCAGAATTCTAGAGACACAAGTTCGCTGTGATTTGAAAAATACCCAGACAATTTGATTGGGTAGTTAATATTTCGAATATTCGAATCAGTAATACCACATTCCCGCTTTGATTCTGGATTCTGAAAAATATGGACGAAAATTATCAATATTTACAGTTCCGTGATCTGATAATCTTGTTTCAATAATACACAAGCAGTCAAGCTATATTTGCATATTTTTTACCATATTTGTAAAATACGCAGTCATTGATTTTAAGAGTTAAGAATTTTACTATATATTTAACTAAATTTTCTTAAAATTTACGCAGGCCCCAAACTAATTTTCATTGCCCAAACAAATATTCACTGGCCAAGGGCTTCCGGGCTAAATTCGATATGTTGAATGTTAATGTCTTTTTAGTGTGTAAATTAATTCTTTGTTCAATACACAATATTCTACTTTTATATACATTTTCGAAAAATGTCAAAAAATAATAGTTTTTTCATAATAAAATACTTACAATAAAATATGGACTTTTCATATGTTTGTGAGAGAGGAGGAAGGCTTTGCCTCGCCCCTGCCCAACAGACTGACAGAAAAGGAACTATTTCCTTACCGCTCCCGGCATCCCCGACAGTTATTACGCCCCCTCCCTTCTAATAAAAGTCCTGTTTTCTGTTCATGCTTAATATTGAACAAGATGTTACATGAATAGAATGTTGACTTGCAAACCTGTATGAAAATATACGATACGTCAACGTTCATTTCAGCATCACTGTCCTCCTGGATACGTTTACACAGGGTGAAAGATATCTCTGAAATGAAGATATAATTATATGTTTTATACAGATAGACTAAATCATTACGTCATACAAGATGTAATAATATGTAAAATGAAATTGTATCATTCAATTTTAATTTGCAAGATTTCTCAATTCTATATTTTAATTTAGATGTATTTATATGAACATATTTTGTAGTTATTTACCACACAATTATGGCTGATACTTAAAAGTCCATAGCGAATTTATATGCCACCGTATATGTTGATTTAGCGCAAAGGAACATGGTATACAACTGTTAGAGTTTACTCCCCTGATTACACCCTGTTTTCATCTTTTGTAAATATAACAATTTTTAAAAATTATTGATAAATATTTGCCCATATTATATTTTGGAAGAAATATGGTTGACACATATAAAAAAGAAAACAATTAGGACTTCATTAATTTGCATGATGCTTCAGTTTTATTACATTAAACGTTTTATGTAAATTCGAGTATTTATAAATTTCTTCTTGTTGAACCTTTCCCGTGCATTATTTCAGGGACAAATGGGCATTGTTATCTTCCAATAGTCTACATAAAACCATTTATTAAATCAGACTCAGTGTATAAATAATTGTTATTTATAGGAGAAAAGTTTTATGAACTAAAAAGACATTATAACAATTTAAGACTTTCAGAAAAATAGAAATAAAATACATTTTTATAGTTATTCCATTTGATCTATTTATATTAATATAATTAAAATTAATGAGCCACTTATTCTGAAACAATTAATGAGGAAGATTGTAATTACTTAGTTTAAACAAATAATAATGACCTACACGTCAAATTAAAGTCATTTTTATGTGAAAATGGAATCATAAATTAAATACATGGAATGTTGTTGTTTTTTTTATCTTTTTAATAGATAAATGCTTTTGTTGCGGTTTTTTTTCAATGAGTTAAAAAGATGAAGCCATAACTTTTTGTTGTGTTTGTTGCTGTTAATCTATTTTTCTTGTCGTGAGTTTTCCTTACTGTTTTTTTTTTTCACAAAGTACGTAAATAAAAACAACATTTTATAACATGTACTTATACAATAAGTAATCAGCGAATAAACCTAGGCGACGGCTGGTATAGCGACCTTGCTATGCTTAGTTGTATTTTGTGGGCAGTGTTTACATGTAAAAGCGATACAATATCATTTATAATATTTGTTGCACTATGATTATAGGCAATAGGACCCACCATTATGATAGGACAGCGTGAAAACGCGCTATTAAAAGCACTATTATATTGTCCTATCGTGCAGCGTATTTTTTGCGCAGTCGAATCGTAGTTTCGCGTAATGGTATCGTGTTTTTGCACATTGCATAAATTGATCGCACTGTCAAAGATCAAGATCAAGCCACCAGCGTGAAAATACTATGGCCTTAAGAGTTTAACTGTATCATGATCTTCACATACTTTTATGACTGTATTCAATAAACTCCTATTTTATTTAACATAAAAAGAGTTCTTAAATTCAATGAAAATAACTTCAATCAATATTTGGAGATAAAAGTAAAGATTGTGTAATACATGTCTAATGACTTTGCATTTTTTTCCATATATTATTAAATACAATTCATATACTTTATAGTTGAAATCACAAAAGTTTTTGTATTTTGAACCCTTATTCAAAATAAATGTGACACCGGTATGTCTGCAAATTTCGTCCTAGATAATAAATTCAATTGGTGCCAGTGTCTTTTAACTTCCGTGTCGTAAGGATTTAAGTCCTTTATGCAAAGAAGAAAAGATTTTTAAAATTTATCCGTGCCTTCAAATTATAGCACGTTTTTCGCGATATTTTTAGAAATCTGCGGCGTCCTGTTAGAGTCTCTGTTTATCTCTTTCACTTAATTTCAAATCAAACAAATGTTTCTATAGAAATGATAACTTATGTAAGATGTCAATTGTAAGTTCATTCCACGAGCTGAAATTGCAAAACCCTCATATTTTTATTGAAATTCTTAAGCAGTTTCTGAAAAAGATTGCAATGCGATGCCGCTTCATGTTAAATGGATTTTCAGATGAAAAAATGCCCTGCCATCTTTAATTGAAATTGTTAAACTTTTCACACATTTTAATGTAAAATAATAATCTAAAATGAAAAATGATTCTATAACGCTTCTGTTGCATTTTAGATGAATTTGTTATTATGGTATCTAAAAATGAAATAACAAAGAACTACCACAAGCTCGTTGAAAATCAAACACATAAAAGAAAAAAATTGGCAATCAGTCATCTTGTTTCTGTATAATTTCCCCAACGATAACTGATTAATCAAATCCACTTACTACATCAATGGAATCCACTTTCTACATCAATGGAATCCACTTACTACATCAATGGAATCCACTTACTACATCAATCAATGGAATCCACTTACTACATCAATGGAATCCACTTACTACATCAATGGAAACCAAAGACTATTTTAAAACGATAACATCTATTTCGACATGCACTAAAAGCCTATGTAAATATTTAATATATATTTTAACGGAAATTGATATACGAGGGGATGTCAGAAAATATCCGGACTTTTGACTCGTTCTCGAAAACCATTCAACATAATAAAAAAAATCTTTCTACTGTTTTTCAAAATATTCTCCACCTACGTCTACGCACTTTTGCCACCTTCGTGGGAGCTTTTGTATTCCCGCTGTGAACCATGACGTAGACATATGTTTTAGGTACTGTCTTATATTTCTTTCCAGCAAGCAATTTTTGCCGTTCTGGAAACAAATAAAAGTCACAGGGGGTGAGGTCTGGGCTATAAGGAGGGTGAGACAACAATTGCCATTTGTAAGAGTTGATAACCTCCATTGTAGCTGCGGCGGTATGGAAGGGGGCGTTATCGTGAAGAAGGAGGACATTTTTCTGTGCTAACCATGGCAAAATTACAAAATTTCGGATTCAATTAAAAATTAAGCAAATGAATAAAAATAGCAAAGAGAGAGAAACAAAACACATTATTTTTTTTAATCTATTAAATAATCTGACAATTTAGTACCCTTTTTTCCTTTTTTAACGCGTTAATTCATCAAAAACTGTCGTAGCAAAAAGAAACCGTTTACTATATATTAAGCTTTTTTCAACAGAACAGCATGACTATGGTTGCGTGTTGCTTTAAAGCATTAATTTAAAGACAAACCTGTATGATTCTTGCGATGATCCGGACCCTGTCGCACTTCAAACGATGGCGTATACCCATCTGCATTCCAGGTCAATATAGGCGGGAAATACGCTAAGAAGTAATCTTTCTCAAACCCTGAAAATGATTGAAAGGGATATAATACTTCCTGAATAAATTTTGCTCCAGTTGTGCTAAGTGGTACAACCACAAGCCCATATGTTTTTTTTAAGAATTTTCAAACTTGTGTATAAATTTACCTCTAACCTTAAAAAAAGATGCGCTAATATAGTTAAGACCACTTTAACGCTGCATGCCTCAAGATAAGCAAAATATCTTTAGAAATGCAACCTGCGTATAATGACCGATGTTGCTGTATTTATCACCATATTCCTATTGTGTATTTTACGCAGAAAGGGATATTTTGTATATGTTCACGACTTTTTTTTTTCTTGATTTACGTGGATTGTAAATGTCATTTGCAATGTGTGAATTTCAATGTGACTTCTTTGTTCAATTCACAATATTTTGCTTTTCAATACATTTTCAAATTTTTTTCATAAAAAAATTACCATCTATCTGGAGACACGCTTCATTAAAGTGATATCTAACATTCAAAACTCAAAATACTCAATATTATTTGATACACACGCACCCGATGGACAGCTTTCATCTGAACCAAACACTTCAATGCTCCAATCAGGAAAGTTCTCAGTTTTGGTCAAATTATGATCAGCCGTCTTGAAACAAAAGTTCATCTGTAAATTGTATAGCCCATAAGGGCCTCGAATTTTCATGCCTTCGTATGTGGCTCTATCAATAGTAAGCCAGGTTTTCCTTGCAGTATCGTAAACTCTCTCCCCTTCAAATGGTTCCGCAATTGTGATGTTGATATACCCTATTTCCCAACCCTGGGCTTTAGTCTCCGGGCAACCTTCCATTGGCATTAGGAGAAAGAATGGACCACGTGGCCACGAACTCTCTTTTAGCTCTGGATACATGGATAAAAAAGAAAACAGAACGTTTTATTTATTGATCAAAAGAGTACATTCCGAAATAAATAGAAGTGTTTAAATAGTTAATGATATTAAGACTATATATCGTTACCCTTTAAACATGCAATATTTTTAACACTTACTTATCCTTTCATGTCACTTCTAAAATCAATTACTTTTAATACGAGTTTATTCAAGCCTTTAACATTTGATATATTTTTATTCATATATATGCATCGTGGCCCTCATTTGCAAAGTCTGATTTTCATTTATACCTATAACCTGTTTTGTCCTGCCATCATAATTGTTTAATGTTTACAAATGAAAAGCTTTACACAACTTGCATCCATGAAAATAATGTCTTATACTGTGTAAAAATTCTTACCAAAGTCGCATGTGAGACCCGAGAAACGAGGAGGACAAAGGCAGTGGCAAAGTCCGCCTTCCTCTGACACAGTTCCTCCGTTTAGGCAGTCCTGCCCTATACATACTGTAAAAATGTACGCAAGACATGTATGCTAAAGAATAGCTTTAATGGTATTTTGAAATTTCATAAAAGAAGTAAAAAAAAAATACAAACAAACCAACCAAAAAGCAAAATAAAAAAGACACACAACAAAATAACCCACAAAAATTTGTACTGCTCTATTGTATTTAATTAAGCAAGTTTCTTCTGGTACAGACTAATATTAAAAATGTGCTATTTGAGACTTATTACTTTGTTTCCAGATTTTTATACTTCACAACAGCAGGTGTCAAGTGCTGTGTGGCAGCTGTAAAAAGTTGCCCCGTACTTCACTTCAGTGTTGTTATATTTTTCTGGTCTTTCGGGATCATTTATGACAGCACTATTGAGTGTTGAGAATTGAGTACCGCTCAAGCCGGTGCTAGGTGGCGTGAGGGATGTTGCACTTATTCATTATCCCTCATGTACAGACTCAATCAAACCGAGTCTGCAATTCTTATGTCATTTTGTTGTGATTAATGCTTCCGAGGGATCACTTTGTTTCCAGTTTTTTATACTTCACAACAGCAGGTGTCAAGTGCTGAGTGGCAGCTGTAAAAAATTGCCCGTACTTCACTTTAGTGTTGTTATATTTTTTTCTGGTCCTTCGGGATCATTGATGCCAGCACTATTGAGTCTTGAGAATTGAGTACCGCTCAAGCCGGTGCTTGGGGGCATAAGGGATGTTGCACTTATTCATTATCCCTCATGTACAGACTCAATCAAACCGAGTCTACAATTCTCTTGTAATTTTGCTGTGATTAATGCTTCCGAGGGATCACTTTGTTTCCAGATTTTTTATCATAACTATCTTACGTAATTATAAACAAATGACATCATATTATCAACAAGTTTTTTTTTAACAATGTACTGTACAGTACGGTTATATATAAAACAACGATTGGATGTTAACGACTGATAAAGAAAATTGTTTGTTCTTATTTATGCTACATAATTATGGCTCACCTCAACGTATAAATAACGTTTATTTATTTTACAATATAAATAAATATATCTGCAATTATACCGGTTTGTCAAATAAATTGTTTTGTTAATTGACATATTCTTCAAAGCAAAGTCATTGCAAGTTCAATAAAGAAATAATTAGTAATCGTGCGTCTTACAATGATTGATTGTTTAAACCAAACTGTATAAAATGACGATATTACAGAATAATGATATATTCTACATTTGAACATTTCTTTTATTTCTATACTTAACGGCAATGAAGGTCGTATTATACATCAACTTTTACATAATTAAACTTCATGTATTTATTTCAGCGTTTGAAACACGTGATGTTCCAAAAGAAATCACTATCGGATCCTATTTTATCAATTAAGCATCGTTTCTGCTATTTCCAGAGTAAAAAAAAAACATCCATTTCAAATGCACACCCCACTTAGCCACGTTTCATTCCAGAGTCCAAATGCATATCATAACCAAGATAACCTTGCTTTCACTTTCAGAGTCCAAAATATCTATACCAAATGCATTTCGTACTCCATCTAGCCTATTTATCATTTTTAGTATATAAAATAGTTCAATACCTTATCATACTGGTACTTGAAGCAACAAAGTTCTGTCAAAATATGTGAAATAAAGAAGTCGTTATACATTGATTTAAACAATAAGGATTCCACTTGGACTAGAACACAGCTGCAAAATCTATATCAGGTGCGGCTAGCACCTTGTCCAATATAGATTTGACAGTTGTGTATTGAATTTAGTATTGAATTTAGTATTGAACTCAACGATATATAATAACTTAATAAAAAAATCAATAAACAAAAAATAAACAACAACAAAACAATTGACATGAACGGATTTTTGTACTTGCACATGTAGTAACACCATTAAATCAAAGAAACATTCAGCAGTTGTATAACTTTAACACAATTATAACTGATAGCAATATAATCATTTAAATGTCAAAGAACTTAAACCAGCCATGTTTGTTGTATTTGATGAGGTGATGAAAAATGTTTAACTGAAATGTTTCGTGATTTAAAATTCCATCTATACTCTCGTAGGCAGACCTGACTTTGAAATTATTTGTCTGCAGAACTCTGTGAATATCATTATAAAATTATCCCAGTAGTATAGTAATACTTCACTTACCGCCAAATTTTTATTTTATCTTAAAAAGAAATACTTACATATTTATATGTGTTTACAGTTGTGCATAAAAATACATACGAGTCAACAAACACTTTGAGCTAATACTTTACAAAATCATGTACAACTCGGCACAACGGTATCGTAAATGCCGCGGTTACAGTAGAGACTAGATCTATGCAAAGTCACTCAACTATTGATAATCGTGAATTGAGCCTTTCCAATTAGATACGTACATAACGGGAATGCCGTATTACATATAGTCACTGTATTACTATTGACGAAGCGAATTACAAGCAAAAACAAATTTAAAGATAATCATTTTCAACAGCAGTATGTTCCTTTTTTTCAATAACCCCCGAAAGTGAAATAACTTTTTAGTTCATATCAAAATGATTCTAAATCGCTAAAATACTATCAATAAACAAACTTACGCTCAGTACATCTCAAACATGGAAACAATAAAAAACAAATAAATCCAAGCATGAACTCCAATATCATGGTTCATATAGACTTGCAAACCCTCTACAGTCAACTTGCATGGTCGTGACGTGATAGATATATAATATTTGAATCTTAACTGGTTTTTGATTGGATAATCTCTGAATCTTAACTGGTTTTTGATTGGATAATCGCTTTTAACGATATACCAATAAAAGAAGACGTGTGCGCAGTGAGCAGTTAGAGAGTTGAAATTGATTTCTGGGCGTTTCTGTATTTCTTATTCTTGGCTGTTTGGCAACTGGATGGTTTTAGAAAGCGGCCAAAATGCATAGTGGTCAATTTTGTGCGCTGCTTTTTTGCTGGAGCATAGAAATAATTTGATTGTGACGTGTCCATTTCTTTCAAATACTTTTGCATTAATGGTTACTCATGTTTTGCACCCGCCTTGTTCATTTCATTCAAGTACTTTTGCATTAATGTTAACTTGTTTTGCGCCCGCCTTGCCCATTTTTTTTTCAAATAATTGTGCATTAATGGTTACTTGTTTTGTGCCCGTCTTGTCAATTTCATAAATATACTTTTGCATAAATGGTTACTTGATTTGCACCCGCCTTGTCAATTTCTTTCACATACTTTTGTATTATTGGTTACTTGTTTAACGCCCGCTTTGTCCATTTCTTTCAAATAATTGTACATCAATGGTTACTTGTTTTGCACACGCCTTGTCTATTTCTTTCAAAGACTTGCAACAAAGCTGCTAACTAGAAAATGCAAGGCGTGCTTTGGAATGAATTTCAACAAAGGGCATATGTAAGACATACTTTCTGAGAAGGGAGCTCTAAAACTTAACGAGTCATACAAAAGAATGGGACGATTGCACCAATCATTGCCTTGTTTTGTGTTCAGAGATTAAAGTGGCTTACACTTTGTGTGTTGTGTAAATCATAAAGATTTTGTATCATGAGACTTGAAAAGGATTTGTAAGAAAGTAGTTCATTTCTTTTGGAAACTAATTGCTGTAGTAAATCAAATGAACATCTATTTTCAAACCGTAATCTATCACGTGAGCACGAAATAACGTAAATGACATCTCAACTTCTAGAATTCATGGATTTTTTGTCAGGAGTTTACAATTTGAAATTTATAAATTCAAGATTTCAAATTTAAAAATAAACGATATCAGCTTCATGAATACACAATTTCAACTTCACGAATTTACGATTTCAATTTAGTGAAATTAAATTAAGATGAATTCTTGAAGTTTGAAGTTGAAATCGTGAATTCATGAAGTTTAAATTGTGAATTTATGAATTCCGTATGTTGAGCACGCAATTATACGGATTTACACTTGTGAATTCACGGAGATGAAATCAGGAATTTGAAAATGAAGTTGAAATGCCCCCCACCGGTGTTTCGTACGTTTAAGACAGGAAAAAACATGAAATGTATTTGTATCGTGATCTTATTCAGAAAGCTTTCAAGTGTCCATTTCTACCATCCCTATATTAATTTAATCATCGGATTTATATTTTGGCTGTGAAAATCGTTTCTATCATTAGCTTTAAACTGCAATCGATCGCAAGGTCAGATTGTATGACACTCATTTATCCAGTGTGCAATAAGTGTCCTGTGATTGTTACAATTACCTTTCTTTTCATTTATTTTTTATATTGATATGTCACTTTTGATTGACCTTAATAGTTTATGATTTTTTTAAATGTAATGCTAATATGATTTTTTTATTATTCAAATGTGTTTAAATTATTCATATCTGCTTTAATTAAAACGCTTCTGGAATATTGCTTTTAAAAGTATCGTGTCGCACGGCAGCTGAATTTTACAATTAATTTTCATTTATTTTAAATCGTTGATATTGTTTGCTAAAAATAATTTAAACAAGAAGGCCATGATGTCACTGAGTTGCTCACCAGCACCAACTGCTTTTCAGTAAAAGATAAAGAACTACCTAAGAATGCACCAAACAAAGTTTGGTGATAATCCATCAATTAGTTCGTTCTGTAACAGCAGACGTATAAAGGTATTTCTATTTTTAGCTAAAGTGACCCCTAAAAGGGGCCAATCAAATTAATATGAGCAAACTTGATAAAACAGTACCTAAGAATGCTACAGACAAAGTTTACTGATCATCCATCAATTATTTCAGTAGAAGATTATTTTCGAAAGGTTTTTCCACTTTCAGCTTTAGCGGCTCCTAAAAGGGGCCGATCAAATTAATATGAGCAAATTTCATTAAAGACTACGACTACCTACGAATGCTACAGACAAAGTTTGGTGATTATCCATGAAATATTTCAATAGGAGATGATGTTCAAAGGTTTTTCTATTTTTAGATTTGGAGGCCTCGAAAAGATGTCAATCAAATTAATATGAGCAAACCTGATAAAAGACTACCTAAGAATGCTACAGACAAAGTTTGGTGATCATCCATCAATTAGCTCTGTAGAAACAGACGTTTAAAGGTATTTCTATTTTTAGTTTTAGCGGCCCTTAAAAGGGCCTATCAAGTTAATATGAGCAAACTTGATAAAAATATACATAAGAATGCTACAGACAAAGTTTGGTGATCATCCATCAACTAGTTCTGTAGGAGATGATGTTCAAAGGTTTTTCTATTTTTAATTATGTTGACCCCTAAAAGTGGTCAATTGAAATGGCATGAGCAAATTTAAGTGCGACTGTCACAAGGATGCTACAGACCAAATATGAGTTAATTCGGCCCACCAGTTTCAGAGAAAAAGATGATTCTTGACGCATGATGACGGACGACTGAGGCAGGAGTATCCCCCTTTGATACGTATAGCTGACCCTGAACTTTTGGTTCTGGTGAGCTAAAAAGACAAAAAAAACACACACAAACAATTGTTATAAACATACACATCCTCTCATTTTTAAAAGCATAGAAATAAACAACATTTACTTGCTAATACGCATGTATCTCAACTTTCATTAACTTTTTTGGCCAAGTACAACATAGTGCGTGATAATAAGGCTGTTTTCATTAATATTATATTAATATCAAATACATTTCAAAATATATATTTTTCATATAAAATGACTAATGTCGTATCATATAAACCGGAGAAAATTAGTCTAGATGCCATTTGTGACAGAAGTATTCATTCAACTGATAGATATTATACTAAAGACACGAGGATGAAAATAGTCACAGCTTTGGTTCTGATCGTACTTACTGCTGAATGTATTTGTAAGTAGATTTTATCTCTAACATTCAAAAAAATAATTCATTAGATTCATATGATATAGCCATGAAATCATTCAAATATTTGCTGAGGGTTATTGATAAGACAAACTTGGAAATTATTTCTTTTTCGAGATTTCATATCATTAGTTGAAGGCTTAACCAATAACACATGAGCAAAATTGCAGATCATTTATTCATTTCGTTTATGTTTCCGTTTTATTACATGTTACATTGCTATTTCACTCACGTGTTTCTCTTATTATTTAAAAGTATATAATGCAGCAAAATGAATACAAATTCAAACATAATTGACATTTGAAAGCTGATCCCCATCAATATTTATTCACAATGTTGTGATAATGAAGAACAATTTCTGCCACAATAGTAAATGAAAATTTTATCTATTTTTTTCTGTTCTTTGTGTCGTTTAATACTTCAGAAAAAAGCATACTAAGACTGTGGTAACTATCAAAATATTGATAAATCATTGGACTCATGGCTCAAGGATTTATGCATCTATATAGTTATATTAAACCATGTATTACATGTTTGTACAATTAAAGCTGTGTATAACTATATGCATATATTTGTGTCAATTATCACGTATTTATTTAATGCTAATTCACATTAACATTGCAGCATTACAAGAAGAAAAGACAATTTCACCATCAACAGTAGAACACTCTTTGAAAAAAATGATTAACTCTGATCTAGGTAAACGTGACGGAAACAGACGCCTCCGTACCCCCCAAAAACGTGGCCCCGCAGAACTACCTAAATCAAAGCATTAGAATGGATGCAAGTCTTGTAGTGCGTACTATTGACATAAGGCGATACGTATCATATTATTGTAAACATGTAAAAACAATTATTGGTTTCGCCGGATGTATTTTCTCTTGAGGATTTGAAAAAAAAAAATTTAAATCATCAACTTCTTGATTTTTGTCATTGATGGGAAAATAATATCATTCTGCTATTTACTAACATTTATACAAGTTACAGTCGAAATAATGGTGGGAAAATATTTATTTTAGTGCACATGTTTTTACTTTATTGCTCCGCACCCATAGACGCGAAGCTTTTTTGTCCATGGACCCGTTTTTTATCAATTAATCCCTTCGATTTACAGTTAAAAATAAATTCCGAACTGATTTATGTTATGAAAAGTCATATATTGGTTTCCCCATCGGTGATTCGCAGCATGTCTTATTAATGAATGAGAACGCCTCCACCGCTGGGAAGGCAGTTTAGAAGAGAAAAAAAACGAAAAAAACTCAAATCTGGACATTTGTTTCCTACATTTGTATCTTCTTCAGGAAATTATTAATTATTTTGTAGTACGTACACAGTGGGTTATTATGTATTTAATTGCTGAACATGAACTCGAAAGCTTTAAATAGAATAATGACCTCTAGCACTTTATATTTATTCAATCCTTTTAAATATTATTTCATAAAAATATGAATGTATGTGCGCAATAATTTTCCATGTATTTGGGAAAAACAGCACATATATGTTGTATATTTTTACAGATATAACGTATAATTAAAATACTTAGTGTGTACTGAAAAATATGTATTCGATAATCACCTTCACCAAGCTAATAAAAATGATTGTCAGACACATTTTCAATCATAATTGTACCGAAACAGACTTAATTTACCTTTGGATGTCAATTATATGTACATTCGTTTTATATTATGTTTACATCTGCATCCACGTTGTAGAACTAATTCCACAAGGTATTGTTTCCGAGGTAATTATAGATAATAGCCGAGAACGGCGAGTATCATTTTGTTCACTATGGTACTTACTTCCGTGCGCTAAACCAAGCTCCTCGACGACAACGCATCTGCTTACGAATTAATTGCAGACATTTCTTACCTTAGCGAGAATAGTATTGCAACTTTACCTCATCCATCACCATACATCCCTCTTGCTCCATGTGAGTTTTGGCTTTACGCATGAACTATGAACTACATGAGAGGTCGCAGATACGAGTCTGGACGCCTCAGGCAGCGCAGATTTCCAGTACATACACACTATACAAGATATACTCAAAGAAGCCTCTGTAAACGGGGAAGGCAGTAATACATTGTTGAGTTAGACAAACCTTTAAACGGAACTATCTCGCGGAGCCACAATAATAATATTTGATCATTACATCGTTTATTCTCAGTCAACTGGTACAATATTGAATTGCAATCTTTCAATTATCGCTTAAGTTCCGTAAAGAATTGATCATAGAAGAACATTTCAAGTTTAATATCTAATAGTTTGCTTATTTCGTAATCTTTCTAGTCTAAACTGAGAGGGACTTCAGTCGATTTTACCTTTCATTCTGTTTTTACGTCGCACCAACATATCGTAGGTCATATGGTCATTTTATTCATTTATTGAAACAATCAAAATTCCCTGTCGGGAATCGAACCCACAGCGGTAAAAGGCAATGGGTTTGAAATCCACTCGGTCACATATGTCCCCTTTAAGACATAAAACATGCAGAAAGTGTATTAAAAGCTAAATGTCTAAATGATCTTTTTATTGTCTTGAAGTATGGCTATTTGTAGATCACAAGTTTACTGTTATTATTGCATCGGAATGAAAAATACACAAGTAACAACACATCATGTAAAATAGAAATAAAATCTTTGCCTGTGTCTCCCTTTAACCTGATTAAATATTTACATACATGACGACTCTTTATCATGTTTTTAATCATGATAGGCTTTTATACTTTAGTTGAATCTACAAATAGTCATACTTCAAGAGAACAAGAAGTTACATTATTTAAACATTTAGCATTTAAGACACTTTCTGCAGGTTTCATGACGTAAAGTGTGGGGGGGGGGGTGGCATCTGTGACCTAGTGGACCTCAAAGCCCTTGCCCCTCACCGTTGTGTGTTCGATTCCCGAGAGTGACTTGACTCTTTCATGTGAGTAAGCTAGCTTGCTTACAGAACGTCGGTGGTTTTATTTTAGTGCCGTTCGTGTTTAAACAATTCAAAAAAGAGCACCTGACGTCATCCCCCACCAGTTAAGCAGGAAAGTCACTATATGACCTACGATGTGTTGGTGCGACGTAAAATCAGAATGAATGGTAAATTCTACTGATACGCATAAAGTCCCTCTTAGTTTAGGCTACAAATAATACGAAATAAAAATCTATTAGACATTGAATTTGAAATATTCTTAACAGTACTTAGGCGATAATTGAAAAATTGCAATTCAATATTGTAATAGTAGACTGAGAATAAACGATGTAATGATCAAATATTATCATTGTGGCTCTGCGAGATAGTTCCGTTGAGATGGTTTGCCCGACCCAACAATGTATTAATGCATTCCCCCTTTACAAAGGCTTTTTTGAGAATATGTTGTATAGTGTTAATGTACTGCCCGAGGCTTCAAAGACTCGTAGCGGCGACCTCTCATGCAGTTCTTAGTTCATGGGTAAAGCCAAAACTCATATGGAGCAAGATGGCTGTATGGTGATGGACGAGGTAAAGTTGCAATACTATTGTCGCTAAGATAAGAAAGGTCCGCAATTATTTCGTAAGCAGATGATTTGTCATGGAGGATCTTGGTTCAGCGCACGGAGGTAAGTGCCATAGTAAACAAAATGATTCTCGCATATATTGAAATGTTTTCAAACTTTTGCACCTAAATCAAAACTACCTTAACACCCTGTCTCATAATTGTACTATGTAAATTGATGTGACGCTAATCTGATACAAAGTCCATTTAGATAATGAATTAGAACATTGGATAGTCTGTATTTCACCTGAAATCATCTATAACGGTTAGTAAGATAACGTTAAACAGTTTTAATCACCATCTTTAAATGGTTAATGGCAAGCCTAGGTGCCATCATTATTACAGATTGTTATAATTATTTCAATCAAATAAATTCATGATAATATTGAGCGATTCCAACAGTTAATTAACAAAGATCGTTTGGAGCAGGGACTAGTTGAGCTGGGTGTTTATTATGTATTATCTCTTGTCAAGACGGAATACATTGATCCAAACAGCTACCGCTCAGGTGAACTAAAATGAGGGAGTGAAGTCTAACCAGTCCCTTTACTATTCGTAAAGCTTCACAACCTCTCATCCCCTTTCATAGTTCCAAATTCCGCCCATTGTTTTCTCGATTATGGCTCACGCTTTCTATTACTTGGGGACCATACGCCGTTTCTTATTGAATGACAAGTGTCATGGTGCTTGGGGTCTTGGACGGTAGTTTGTACTTGACAGCTTCGTCCGGTACAGGCTCAAGCAAACCGAAACAGCCACATTTTCAGTTTTGCCGTTATTGGACTTTCTTTATGGATTCTTATTTTCTCTATTTGTATTTTGACAGTGAAATCACTTAAGCTTTGAATTCACTGTTTAAAATTCAAAGATTGGCAAATTCATTACTCAAATAAGCAGGTAAAGGGTTAAAAAATATCCCCTCATCTGAGTCTTCTAAACGACCAAGTTTACATTATAACAACAAACATATAAATGATAAATATTTAATTTGTTAGTACAATAACTCATCTTACAATACCAGAACATTTGTAATGATCACAGAGTTATCTGCACTTCTAATATGAATCACTACCATTTTGTTCAATAATCAATTTTAAATCTGAAACTGTGCACATGGTTCAAATTCCAAAGCTGTACTTAAAAAGACAAGAAAGTAAGTCCCTTCATCAAATTATCTAGGTCAGCTGATGTTTACATACAAAACTGTGCACACGAGTTTTACTCAGTCAATATATACATCTAAATACGTTGGTAAGATAAAGTATTAAACGTCAGTATCGTCTGTTCTAGATTAAGCGACATGCTGTGGCAATGAATAAAGGTATTTACACATTTGCAAGTCTTGAAAAAGTCAAATTACGAAAATGTATATTTTAACCAAACCCACATAATTATTATAGTGAATATCGCGCTACCCCGACACATATTACGGTTCACATTTTACCCTGACGCTGCATCGAAATATATAGCTTTATAACCAAATCGTTCCTCCTCTTCAAATTAGCAATCTATCAACTAAATCATAAAAATGCTTTACGGAAAATTATATAATGATATAGATTTTGCCAAAATCTCATCAAGGTGATCAAATGATCAAATAAGGTCAACATGAAACAAACTGGTGTGGCTTTGACATGATTCACAGAAGGTCATTTATAGAAGGTTTCTGATTAAAAATATTTTCTTCTTAATGACCGATATCTTAATTCGTAATAATTTTGTACAAAAAGCATGAAAATACGCAATATTAAAATCTTAAATATTAGAGCCTGATTTCAATAACACGATATTATTACTTACATTTATTATTATTGCATGTCTAAATATTAGAAACTTTGAAATCTTATTGAACACAATTATAGTGACGACTTGAATACTTCAGTGGAATAAATTCAATGGCTAACTTTAAAATCAATTACACTTTCCATTTTGCTTTCTTGAAATATCAAAATCACGTTTAAATATCCAGTAGTTGAAACAAGTGTTTCAATTCTCTGATTTATTACAGATATATTAAGCCATATATGACAAAACTTAAGCATTTATTCGAATAAACTGCAGTGCAACACTACTCGGAGAAGCAAACAACAAACTGGTTACAATTGATTTATATTATTAATTACAATGATTAATTATAATGATGATGTCACTTTTGAATTTAATAATTATTCATCATTTTCATGTATCAGTACTCATTCTTGCATTATAATAGGTTTACATTAGAGGACAAGAATCATACACTGGCAGATAAAATCACGAGCGTACGTGTCGTTGTTTGCATGATTTTGTTGTTGTTGTTGTTGTTTTTAAATGCACCAAATAAAATGAAATCGCACTAGCTCTGGAAAAGCGGACAAAATGGTATCTGAACATAAAGAAACAGATAATGAAACGCGGAATTACCGAATTATATAAATTATATATATACTTTTATGCATAAATAGCGCTAAGATCGCCAGAAGCCCAGAGGTAAAAGCACGTAAAGGTGCAATAGCTCACATCTGACATTAGAAATTAGGAGCATAACTAAAGAACCCTGAAACTATATATGACAGAAGTATTACACAGATATTACGCAGTAACATGAATCTCTACATTATAGAAAAAAGTAAACAATCAAACAAAAATACGATAATTTCTATATAAGTATACAATCATATGTTTTGATCACGAATTCCAAACATACCACGTAATCCCATTGTTTCTGTTCTCCCTTGTCGGTTTTTACAACTTTAATTTCATCGTTTTCGAAGTAAAAACATGTAAACACAGAAAAAGTTATTAATCAGATACAAATAGTTGACAGAACAAAATTAAAACTCCAATGATCGATAAAACAATTTCGCAAACAAAAACTTATCTTGTAGATACATTGTATTGTTATATTGTTGCTTTTTCATTATTTTAACATACGAAATAACCGATGCCAGCAAGCAAAGAGAAACACACGATCCTATCATTCTTAAAGGTATGATTTAAAATTATGCTATTCCTAAACACACCAACCTGTCAACGTTACTGTCGTTCCTTCTCTAAAATTTGTTCAAGGATCTCTAACGCTTCTAGATGTAAGGTTTCTAAGATTGTACAAAGTGCTCTGAATACCTTTACAAAGGACTTTCGACACCCTGTAAATGTAGATTGAAAAATTGTCTGTAAAATTCCTTTACATAATTTTTTAAAATCAAGCTTGTCATCCATCTCAAGAACAATTTTCATTATATTATCAGTACAGCTTTCAAAGTCAGTGAACGATATCATATTCTTAATTGTTTTCATATCAACACCTACAATTTCACATGTTTTGATAAGTGACTCATCATCAAGACCAAGTTCCTCTTTGTAAAAAGTTATTTCATCAATAATAACATTCTCGTTCATCAAATACTCTGCTCCTGGAACAGTAGATACAACTGCTTTTACTGCTACCATCAACGCACGTTTCTGTAAGTACTGAATCTTTCCTTCGATGACCTCTTTAGTTTTGTTTCTATAGCTGAAGATTAACGAAGTTTTGAGTGCTTCGGATGCATTGTTGGCAATATTCATCTGCAGTTTTCCAAGTTCGAAATCTTCATGAACGTGACTGCTAACAAGAAATACATCATTGCCTTTTACATTAAGCTCATCTAGATTTGATAGGCAATCTTTGCGAATCTTGTCTAGGACTGCATCTCTTGTTTGTGTTTTCCTTTGATTGTACACATCACTGTCAATTTTTGATCTCACGAGAAAAATGGCTTTTTCAATTGTTGTAGCTCCTTAATTATCAATGTATCGTTTTCCGTAAATCGGTGCGCAGACACGATCACAACAAAATTATACTGTTTGAAATCCATATCACGTGCATATGATTCAATTGGGTGTGACTTCGTTCCGGCTCCAGGAAGGTCATACAGGCGTATCTGTTCATTTAGAGGGAAGGAATAAGGTTTTATTTCTTTGGTTGTTTCAGTAACTCCTTCTTCTGCTGCATTGTCGTCATTACTCTCTATACCTCGCAAAGCATTGATCAGGCTAGATTTACCAGCGCCACTGTTTCCAGTGATGGCCATTGTTATCCTTTCATGTTTCCATCTATTCAGCTCATTTGTTATATACTCGTTTAGTCCTTTTAGTCCTGTACGGTCATATACTTCATGCAACTCATTTTCAAAAGCATTTTCCATAAAATTATTAAGGACAGCATCCATTTTAGAAGTAAATCTACAGTCGTTGAAGGCAGATATTTACAAAATAAATATGTATGAAATTAAACAGACCTGTCACATATACTCGAATGCAGTTATCATTTTATAAATACGAGGGGTGTTAAAGAAAACGCGGAAAAGTGCATATCTTTTGATATTCATGGAAAATTCACGTTTTTTTGCATGTCGTAAATAAGCATTGGGTTAACGTATACAAATTTCAATAAAATCGGATAAAACTTAATTACAAAATTACATGTTTTCCTAAGGTGATTCCAGGTAACCGGCCCAAAGCCGTAACATTGTCATGTTCAACGTATGTGCGAAAGATCCAAATACATGCACTTAGTCCTTCTCGAAATATTCCCCGTGGAAGGAAATGAACATTTTACCAATGGCAGGAAACTTGTAATGTAAGAATCGCCATTTATCTCCGAAATTTGCACCTTGCACCGCGTAAGACAACCTGTTCACGTCATTGAAGTATTCTCCCCGCAGAACATTCTTTAGTGTTGGGAACAAAAAGAAATCGCACAGAGTGAGGTCGAAGCTGTTTGCCGAGTACTCGCGTACTGAAGCAGAGTCTCCTAATTGTGTCCCATGTTTTCGCCGTACGATGATAGTATGTGTTGTCGTGTCGGGATATCATGTTGGCGTTTTTCGTTCCCCGCTTCTCTCTCGTCGCCCTCATAAAAATCGCGTCTCAGAACCTGAATGCATGAAGGAATGCAATCATAAGTAAATAGGTGTAATGATTTATTTTCATAATTACTTGCACTCGAAATAGTAAGTATAAAGTAATGTATTAGATTATACATCTGATAAATTTATTTACCTTTCACCGTCTGACCCAGGGGTACCTCGAGGGTCAGTATCACGTCGTCGGCGTCAAAGGAGACGATGAATATCTTTTCTTTGCAGATTGGCCGACTTCAAAATTCTTAGCTGAAAACGATCCCGGGCTTTTCCTCATAGAAGACTGTGAGCTTGTTAAAGGTTTGTATAGACTGATCTATGTCTCATCAACAGTCTTTTTTCGTAGAAACAAACATTCAACTTCCATTTGAAATCGTTTGAAAAATTGTTTGCAACACCGCACCTGTCTCATTTTTGTTCGTTGTCAGCATTTTTGAAGTCCAGCTGGCACACATGTGACTCATATTCAAATTTTCTTGTATAGTGCGGTGCATTGTACCGATACTACAATTCGATCGTTCGTGTTTTTCGCGAATGAATTGTAATGTCGAGCAACTCCTTTATCACATGGGCTTGTCATCTTTAATGCTTTGCTGGCCGTTTCGCCATCGGTCATACCACTTGTACATTGCCGTAATCTTCATTGCCTGATCACCATAATAATGCCTTCTGTAACTTTCATTGAAAGTCCATTCAAAACGCAAAATTTTACTGAAGTGTCTTGTTCTTCAGCAATTTTAACGCATACGCACTAAACAATATGGCCACTTAACGGATAAATGACGTCACAATTTTCCCCACACTTTATGTGATAAAGGTAGAACGCGACACTTTGCGAACTTTCGAGTAGCGTCTTGAAAATTGGCATGCAAAAAGTTTACAATTTTCGGCGTGAAACAATAAATTTTATGTCTGCTTAAAGGAAAAATAATTTCCGTCGAATGCTGTAGGATTTAAGATATTTTGTCCGCCATTGGCGTTGAAATACCCGTAACAGTTGTCAAGGATACGCAACGACGTCATGTTCAAAAACGGGCTTTGATGGTCAACTTTGACGTCAAGTGTACAAAAATTGGCTGAAACTATTGAAATAAAATCAACGAAATCTAATCAGAAATATGGTCAATTTTTTGCATGCCAATTTTCAAGACGCTACTCGAAAGTTCGCAAAGTGTCGCGTTCTACCTTTATCACATAAAGTGTGGGGAAAATTGCATGATGCACGTTATATAATGCGACGTCATAATTAAACAGCGACTATTTGTAAAAGTGAACAAAAGTTGGCCGGTAATCGTAATATGTAGACTCCATAGCTACCGTTGGCTTGCTAACATATAATATATGACTGGGCAGCAATATTGCCTGTATATTTTAATAATATTTTTGTCTATAAAACTGTTTAAGTTTAATTCAGCCATCTGAAAAATTAAGGAATAGGCGACACTTGTCCACGTAATTATTGAACACCCCTCATACATATACGAGCCATTGAACCGAGTGCCTAGTTTTATGTTTACTTATATGATATGTATATTTGTAATTATGTTAACGCAGGTCACGATTTAACAATTTACTTACCTACTTAGTTTTATAAGTTTTGACAAAGGCCAAATAATCACTCTAATCATGCTATTTGTGTACATAGAATCAGGATTGTTTAATAGGTACGAGGTCTATTTAAACGATTATTAATCATATGACGTTGTTAACCTAATAAGATATAAAATTATCAATATTTATAATCAATGAAGCGTATACATGATGGTCAGGTAACGAGGGTTTTTTGGAAAGTTGTGGGGAGGGTTGTTGTTTTTTAATTAGTGCCATGTATATACCTTGCCAAAAATTGTTAGGCTTCACGAAGACTTTTTTACGTATTTACTCTTGGTAATAATATAAAATGAGTCTTCTAGTGAATCGATGCAATCGACCTTTATAATTAAAGAGTCCTCTCATCTAAATAACACAGTTTATAAGAATAACAATAAACGAAATTATAAAAGATTAAGATGTTTTTATTTATAAGTATAATAATAACTCATCTTATAATAACAGAACATTTGTAATGAACACAGAGTTATCTGCACTTCTAAATGATATAATATAGAAAAATACAATATTTCAGTGACTAACATACAATCTTATGAAATGAAACTTACAAAACGATAATCTAAGGGGGATACTCATATGTAAACGATGAGACAGAGCTGCGGCTTTAAGTGTCCTATTTTCATTTATTTCACAAAATGAGGAAAATTGTTATTTTTATGTGCTTATTATTATTAAGTAAATATTGAACGTAGTACTTTCAGTAAAATCACAAACAATAATAATGTTATAAGCCCATTAAGTCATTTTTACTTATCAAAGATTTTTTGTCGTCCTGTTTTAGTTAAATTAACTAAAAGTTATTCATTGGCCAAATACCAAAGCTATCTTTTGCTTCTTTTGCATTTGGGCAATAAATACATTATAAGTCAATTACTGTTTCGTTCTGAAGTCAAAATACTACTACATTTTTCTATCTTTATCACAAAATATTTCATATTCAATGTTACTTCTCAAATGGAAAGTATCGCTCATATTCTAAAGCCATTATTACAAGATAATAAAACAAATGTTGCCCTTTATACAAAAAGAAAATCTGATTCATTTCAGAGTCATGGAGTGCCTTTAATGATAAAAAAATGATAAAGGTTGATTAATAATCAGTATAGGCCATATAAAAAAACAGTAGAAAATTAAGGAGCTTTATAACATCAAATTTCTTAAGGCAATTTTAATTTAAAAAAATCAAATATAAGAGGACACTCTTATATCAAATAATGTGAAAAAATTATATATATTTTAAGCCAGATATTCGTTGAAAGGCCAAACTTAAAATCAAACTTAAGCCAAACTTAAGTATCAGTGCTATACACTGGGCATGTAAAAGAACCAATTGGTCTATTCATTATGAGCTAGGAACTGGTTCCCGGATTCCCTTGTATCTCATAGGTGTCTCTGAAATCTACGTCCCCATGAAGAGGTTCGACATTAATGGAAGATAGATAGATACATACATACAAAATTTGTTCATTAAAAATTGCTGATAAACATCTTGAATTTGTAAATTGTAATCTTTTATGTAAAGGTCATTTGGGGCCAAATAGTTTAAATAAAAGTCTCGTCAAATGTTTGTTGTGCCCAGGTACATGTAGATTGTATCTTATGAAAATGTGGAGAGCAAGTTTAAAGCTGTCAACGTCCATACAGACGGACAAAAGGACAGAAAGATAGGACAAAACAATGTGACAGAAAATCTTTCGAAAATAAAACTGGGGCATAAAATTTCAAAATACATAAAAATTGTGTTGATATGATAACATAATAACAAAATTAAAATGCTGCTTAAAAGATAGCACATTGCTTAAAGTAAGGGAAAAATATCTGCAATACAGACTATACATTGAAATCAACAATATTAAGAAAGAAATCAAGTTTCAATAGCCAAGATATGTTTCTGAATAGCGATTATAATCAAGTTAAACTGAAGAAAACCATAACAAATATGGAGAGCATTAACTAAGCATTTAACTAAATTCAAAGATATTTAACTTCATTGTAAAATTCTAAGCCAAGTTAGCATAATAAAAAGAAAAAAGCAGAATAAAGATTTATTTATATATAAATTAACTAAACTACACAGTGATTTTGTAAATTATGATAATAAAATGGCATCTGATGTTCAAAATATAATACTATATTAAGATAGGACAATAAAACATTGCTTTCTTAAAAAATTCTTATTATTAACTAACATTTTGTTTTTTTCAATAACACTCTAAAATTGATAATGGACTGTCCCAAAATAAAACATGGATGGATCCATTATGGAAATTCAGCAGGTTAGGACTGAAATGGCTACATTATAAAAACATAAGTTGTGCACAAGATACAAAAATTTACTATTGGGTTCTAAAGATGGGATGGATTATTGTGTTAGTTTAAATTATCAGTGTCTAATGTTACAAAACAGGTTATTTGTTTACTTTTTTTTTTCTAATGGACAGATAGAAATAAAATGTTTGATAATAACACTTAACCTACCAAGCGAAAAGTGATTAACTTTGCCAATTCTATACAGCCAGGCCAGCCTACTGTACAAGCTTTATTTCGTTAGTTGATCAATTTGTACAAGCTTTATTTCGTTAGTTGATCAATTTTGTATACAAGCCACGTCACGACAAAACCAACATAGTGCATTTGCGACCAGCATGGATCAAGACCAGCCTGTGCATCCGGGCAGTCTGATCAGGATCCATGCTGTTCGCTTACCAACCCTATTACAACTAGAGAAACTGATAGTGAACAGCATGGATGCTGATCAGACTGCGCAGATGCGCAGGCTGGTTTGGATCCATGCTGGTCGCAAACGCACTAGGTTGGTTTTGTCATGACACAGCTCATATTTCAAAACTAAATTCACAATAATTAAATTCAAATGGCCAACTTTAAATTTAAAGTTGGGCAAATTCATTGCAAAAGTTAAGAAGGTTAAGGATTAATGTTGAAACAAGGGGTTGGTGCAAAACAGCTGTAACTCATATTATATAATGAATGAGTTACGTTCATTTCGCACCAATCCATCGAGATGTTGGATATTTATGACAACAGCAGTTGAACTGGACAAAAGAGATCATTATCACGCTTAAATGGTACAATAAAAAAAAATAAAAAAAAAAAATTGACATAAAAATCCTTCAGAAACTTTCCAGGAGACCAAAAGCTACAGCACAACTAATATAAATTTGATCATGTATCCTTGAAATAGCGGGCTCACCATCACTGAACAGGAGTTACAATAAATCACTACATTTCAAGACCTGTTATAGTTCCATTAAATAAAGGCCCATTATGCCCAAGAACTACTTTAATTTTTATTTCTGATTGTGTCCTGTTAAAGTCACCAAATAGTTACTCATTTGCTAATTAGCTGTAACATATTTGCTTCAGTTACTTTTTTTGGTATTTAGTATAGTTATAGTGATTAGGTATTTTTTTCGGAAGTCAAAATACTACTTTGCTTACATCTTACTACTTTTATCAAAAATAATTTCACATCTAGGTGATAAACAAAAAAACATGCTCTAAAACCATTATATAGGCTGTTTACTCACGTTTGCCATGTCTAAAGCATGGAAAATTAATTTGTTTCTGAGGCACTTAACAATTTCATTTCATTAACCACACTGATATTATTAAACAAATGATAACAGTACTGTGTAGGGAACCTCATTTTATTCTTCATCACAGATATAAAACGTCTATTTCACATCAATCACATGACTGTGTGAAGAGAGGTAAAAATGGTATGATTTAAGTCAAAATTTACATACAGTAACATAACGTATTAATTCTACTGAACGCCCAATAAATACAATCATGCAAAGACCAGAAAACGGGTGCTACTCGCAACTTTATCGTAATAAAGTTATGTGCGTTCAGAAGAATTAATACGATAATTTTGCATTCTTTCAATTAAACTTTTACAAAAATATACAGCTTATTTTGAAATATACAGCACAAACATTTAAATAAAATATTACAGCTAAGATAAAATGGAAAACAAGTTTTTTTTAAACATAGTACTTCAAAACAGCAACAGAATAGATGTCATGATAAAAATAAGCATATATACATGTATATCAATAAAAACACACACACATAATTATATATAATGTATGTATAAATATATCTAATAAAAGAAGTTGCAATGATTTGCCATTTCATTTAAACTCCAACAAAAGGTAAGTCATAAGTTAAATTTTGCTTCACCCCAAATTAACAAAATGTTCATTCTTTCTTGTGACACATTACTAAGAGCATATATGTCTAAAACATTATACAAACGTAAAAATATTGCAGAATATTTCATCCCTCTATATTATGACACCTACAACTTTTAAGCTTTAGTCACAATATGAAATGCATCTATAAATACTTTCCAATTTATCTGATCAAACCATGCATGGATCCAGAAGGGGTGGGGGGAGGAGTAGTTGACTATTCCGGCAAATTTCAAAATATGTAGTTTTACATCTTGCCAATTACAAGAAAGATTTATTTTCAGTTTTATTTTTTTTCCTGTTACTCATAATCAATAATTAGTCAATGACCATTATAATAGTCAATCTTTTGAAATATGTAAGTATTTTGGTTTAACAAGACAGTGAAAAAAGAGCATTATGTCACTTAAAAAGTATTAACAATCCAATGGCACAAAATGTAACTAAAATTTTTACAAATTAGTGTATTTATCACTATATTTCTATCTATCAAGTTTCTTTCAGGTTTCTGACTGATTTTGTAAATATATATATTTAAGCAAACTTTAAGTCACATGAAAAGCATCAATTAGGTTTATGACTACATTTTTTGTAATTTAAAATCACTTAACATGTTCAACCTGGTGACAAAATGTTTAAAGATAAGAAGCACTACAAACAGCATGCTGTTTTCACAATCTAAAAGTGAATTTGAAAATTGTGTGACAAATCAAGCATACCTAAATTAGTATTTGTTACAAATTGTGTGCAAATTTAGTGATGGTGAATAAAGTTTATAAAGTGTATAAAGCTATATACAGATAAAGATCTTGCTGCCGGAAGTGTACATAATCATTGCTTAAAATTTTGAAAAATAATTCTTGCAAAAAATCTGCATGAAGGAAATATGTTTGTGTATTTCCTAAAGAGTGATAGGCACATGAATAAAGCCATGCTAAACAGTTAAAAATCAACTTAAATAACAACAGCATACAATTTTGTTCATGAATTTTCATTCTATTTACTTGCAATATTCATGTGTGTGTGAAGAGTGTAGGGGACAAAAGCCCTCAAAGAAAAAAGCCCTCCCGTCCAAAATGACAGGACGGACAAAAGCCCTCCCATGAAAATGACAGTTCAAACAAAAGCCATCCCATAAGACTAACAAGGCTGACAAAAGCCAGATGCATCACAGGCATTCTAAGATATAATTAATTCAAGAATTAACCGTAAGATTAATACAGAAACTTCGTTATTTTACCATTTCTAATTTTTTTACAAAAATAATTCATAACATATAGCTTTATACTCTTTAAAATACATAAATAATACTATTATAACGTTAAGCTTACAAAAAGGAAAGATATGATAATCAAATTTATTTATCTGTTCATCTGCTGAGGCCACAAACTAATAGTCACTTTATCGAGTCATTTGTAGTCTGTTGTTTTTTATTGCTAGTCAAATGCAGTTTAAGTAAAGGTATCAAACCGTTGGAATCGATGGTTTTATGTGGTATACATATGTAACAAATCCAGGTGTTAAGAAAGATAACCATCTAATCCTCACCATTTTAAGGTCTTAACTTTTGGAGATCGGATACAAAGTTTTTTATCTTCCATGTCCCGTCAGAACACCCAAGTTCTAGTCTGATTTACTTCTGCTTCCTGCATTGCAAAAATATTTTTATCAATTTATTTGTCGCTATTATCACTGGCTAGTATAAAGACTTTTGTATACATTGGTTTATCAGTTTATAGGTTTAACTTTGGGAGGACTTGGTACTTTGAAAATAGAGCATAGCGTTACAGTTGAGCAAGAATTGGAGGACAGTTTGATACTGAATATTCAATAAACATAGTTTGGAGCCAGATGCTAGCTGTATTTTAGGTGAAATCAAAGAGATTATCAATTTCTTTTATGTCACAAATATCTCTGGATATGACGGTGAACATAATAAGGTGCATTGTTAACAATATCTATACAAGAAGGTGTACAGTGGCAAATGAGGTGAAATGAGGGTGATATTAGTAAGTGAATGATGTACTACAGTGATGCATTTTAATTGGAGGGGTTATGTGGTAAAATGTAGGTTGTGCGGTATAAAGAACAGTTCAGTGAAACAAGCTAATGTTGAATAATAATTGATGGAATTAGTGTCAAATGTGTGTCATATTAATGGGGAAGGGAGGAGTGAGGGCAGGGGATGGTTAATCTGTTAAATTGAGGTTCATTCGGAAAATTGCATTTCATGTGGTAATTAGTAAATGAAATATATCTTATAAAATGAATGATGTATGTTTAACTGAGGGCCATTTTGGTAATAATACAGGTATTGTGGTAAAAAGCAAGCATAAATTGTGGTAAATGTAGATAATGTGGCTTACGAGGGTCATGCTGTGATACGAGGATACTTTTGTTCATTACACTAAATATTATTAATGCTGTGATATAGAATGTGTACGGAAAATGGAATGTGAATACAAAAAAAAGAGTACATTTTATGGTATTATTATGCCATGGATGTCATTTTGTAATAAAGCAAGGGTATTGTTATTTGCAAAGATAGTCATTTCACAACATAACAAAATAATATACAGTTCAAATCTTATAAAGTCCATAATTAGGTTATGAAATATGAAAACATTATTATCTAAGTAAAATTTGGTAATTAGCAGTATTTCATAGGAGGATTCTGTTTAAGGAATTACTAGAAATTCTTTAGACCCAAATGTGAACAATTCCACATTATAAAGGTAAGAGTTGGGAAAAAAATATATTGGCAAACAGTCATTGACAATCAATTTAAAAACATTATGTGTCACACTTAAATCAAATATTCCTAAAATCGTAACAGTAGAAGACATTTTAAAAACAAACATAAGACAATAAAACGAGAAAACTAAAATTTTAAATCCCTAAAATAAGACTGATGAATAGATATACAAAATATTTATCTATTTTTTTAACTATATATACATACATAGTTCATGCATATATATACATATATATTCATGTATAAAAATTTAATCATGAGCTTTAGAACATCACAATTTATCAGAGTATAATACTTTCCCTTTGTCGTACGATTCCAGTGAATTGGGATGTGTCGCGGGAGCTGTTACACCGTTTGTCGGTTTCGATGAATGAGCACTATGTCCGTCGAATTTTTTAACATTCGTCAAAGTCACTGGACTTTTCAGTTGCACAGAAGATGCTCTATCCCTCATATTTGTACCACTAGTAATAAGCTCGGCAAAACCTTGCTGATGGGCGAATGCATAACCGGATCGCATAGATCTGGCGCTGCGACGGAATGTTGACGTTCTTCTGATATGTAAGTCTCTCGACCGAGACTTGGACTTGGTAAGTCGTTGTTTCATACGTACCCTGTCTGTGAGTGAAGCATTAATGTTTGTCATATAGAATCGGTATGCCACCACAGGAACTAATAATATCACATTTGTTAAAATCAATGTCAACCAAAAGTTCGCCGATGAAAACACGGCAAAAGCTGCTCCCTGATATGTGTAATTGAAAACAGATGCATACATTGCCAAGATGAAACAAAAGTAGTAAATAATGCTCCCCCATATCACAAAATGGTTGAACCCTGTCCAATAGGAAGTATCTAAGGCACACTGAAAATGGAATAAAAACAGAATTTCAAAAAAAAGGTAAAACAGGATCAGACATTCTATACATTCACTTTTGCAAACAAATTGAAAATTACATAAAATTTTAGAAAAAAATATCATATTCAAATTGTTTTTTTATCTGACTATACACATCTTATACACATGTATATACCAACAAATACATTTATGCGTCTAATACCTTTTAACAGAATTATTATTTAATAATGACTTGGTAAAATGTTCTCTTAAAAAATAACATCCACATATCTATGAGTTGAAATTTCACTATATATTGTCCAAAATAAATTGTAACAATCTTTTCTATCAAAAAATATGCATGTAATATTACTTGATTTATTTACTAGCTAAATCTTGACATGTTCTATAAGTCATACTTTTTTTTCATTAGGTTTTTTAAGTCATACTAACACTGTTCCAGTTATTATATATGAGCCGCGTCATGACAAAACAACATAGTGCGTTTGCGACCAGCATGGATCCAGACCAGCCTGCGCATCCACGCAGTCTGATCAGGATCCATGCTGTTCGCTTACCAACTCTATTACAAGTAGAGAAACTGATAGTGAACAGCATGGATCCTGATCGGACTGCGCAGGCTGGTCTGGATCCATGCTGGTCGCAAACACACTATGTTGGTTTTGTCACAACGCGGCTCATATCATCTTTCCAGCTTTAATTGTAGAGGAAAACTGAAAGTGTTCCTTTTTTGGGGGGTGGGTTTTACATCACCCAAAACAATATTGTTCATAAGGCGATGTTCCAGCTTTACTGGAGGAGGAAGACCTCAGGTCCCCTTCTGTGCATTATTTCAGGCACTGTAGTATAACCACCGACATTCCATAAGCTAGCTGGATAGCTTCTTCACAAGAAAGAATCCACAGTCTCTATTGTGAATCAGCAGTGGTGAGTGGTTTGAAGTCAATGACCTTAACCACTCGGTCTCTGACGCCCCTCCAGGTGTTCCTTCATGTATTATAAAGGCACAGGTAGACAGCTGATGAGTAGAACCACAGACCTTTCAAGTTCATAATGTCAGAAAAAGCTGTATTTACCATTATTTAGATGGTTTTATATAAAATAAGAGTGTTTTCAAAAGTATAATAAAACCTGAACTTTAGGCAAGTGCAAAAACCTGTTATGATTTTGTTCACTGCCACCTTTTACAACAATGCAAAGAACATGGTTGTGCTCATACACCAAGTGAACAAATCTATCTCTTTTATCTGAGAAAAAAAATTAACGGAAGGAAAAATCTTACCCTTAAATTAACAGCAACAACAAGTGTACTAGCGACAACAACACCAAAGGACTGTATGTCAGCTTGGTCCTTGCCCCATGGTGTAACTTCCTCCAATAAGGCCCCGTATGGTATAAAAAACAATACTATAGATGATAGGACCCCCTGAAACAGTGTGCAAAGTACATGTAATTTTCATCTTGTGTAAAATAGCCTGCAGAGTATCATTAATGAATGACAATGAGGAAATACAGAAGCATACAGTGTGAAAGTAAGTATGATATGCAATGTAAGTACATGTACATAACAAATATGACATGGTATGTTTATTCATAACCAACATCGTATGGTATGCAAGTTTCTTACATAACCAATATGGTATGGTATGCAAGTAAATAACCGGAGTGGAATGGTATGTAAGTACATAACCAATATGGTATGGTATGCAAGTTCATTACATAACCAATATGGTATGGTATGCAAGTTCATTACATAACCAATATGGTATGGTATGCAAGTTCCTTACATAACCAATATGGTACGGCACGCAAGTTCATTACATAACCAATATGGTATGGTATGCAAGTTCATTACATAACCAATATGGTATGGCATGCAAGTTCATTACATTACCAATATGGTATGGTTTGCAAGTTCCTTACATAACCAATATGGTATGGTATGCAAATACATAACCAATATGGTTTTGTATGCAAATACATAACCAATATGGTATGGTATGCAAATACATAACCAATATGGTATGGTATGCAAATATATAACCAACATGGTATGGCATGCAAATACATAACCAATATGGTATGGCATGCAAGGTCCTTACATTACCAATATGGTTTGGTATACTAAATACATAACCAATATGGTATGGTATGCAAATACATAACCAATATGGTATGGCATGCAAGGTCCTTACATTACCAATATGGTTTGGTATACTAAGTACATAACCAATATGGTATGGTATGCAAATACATAACCAATATGGTATGGCATGCAAGTTCCTTACATTACCAATATGGTACGGTATAAATAATGATATTAATAAACAGTTTTAAAAAGTAAGATTAGTATGAAACATACCTCAATGACACTGAGGGCAAACACTTTCTTGTTAAACAGCAGATTCACTAGGCCAGGATGATAAAGTTTCGGAAAACGCAAGGAGTAATAATCGTTCACATCCTGAAAATATCCACCAATGTTTTACTGAAAATATTCACTAATGTAACGCTATACTGAAAGTATTCACCAATGTAACACTTTACTGAAAATATTCACCAATGTAACGCTATACTGAAAATATTCATCAATGTAACGCTATACTGAAAATGCTATACTGAAAATATTCACCAATTTAACGCTATACTGAAAATGTTCACCAATGTAACGCTATACTGAAAATGTTCACCAATGTAACACTATACTGAAAATATTCACCAATGTAACGCTATACTGAAAATATTCACCAATGTAACACTACACTGAAAATATTCACCAATGTAACGCTACACTGAAAATATTCACCAATGTAACGCTACACTGAAAATATTCACCAATGTAACACTATACTGAAAATATTCACCAATGTAACACTATACTGAAAATATTCACCAATGTAACACTATACTGAAAATATTCACCTATTTAAGAACATACTGAAAATATTCACCAATGTAACACTATACTGAAAATGTTCACCAATGTAACACTTTACTGAAAATGTTCACCAATGTAACACTTTACTAAATATATTCACTTATGCAACACTTTACTATAAATTGAATTCTAAATTCAGAAAATAAATGTCCTAAACTGTTAAGACATAACACTACTAGGTACATGACTTTTATTGGGGACCTAAGTTATCAGTTTTCTATGGTTCTAGTTCTTCTCTCAAGCTACAGGGTAAAAAAACAATTCTGAGTAAAAAACAAGATTGCATTTGTAAAAAATGCTATGCCACCGCATAAATACAACACTAAAATAGTAATGTAGGAACACATTTTTTTTGTTTTGACCCAATGGCTTTAATTTGAATAATCTTGCTAAAGGTTCACTACACAATGTTTACTGCAAAATGTCTCACCTCTAGCCTTTGTCAATTCCAGAAGGTGATTTTTTAAAGTTTTTACTATATACATGTAAGGAAAACCTATGACCCCGGGGCAGGGCTAGTTTTGACACTAGAGGTAAAATTTGAACAACTTTGGTAGAGTACCTAAAGATGATATCATATACCAAATATCAAAGCTCTAAGCCTTGTACCTTCAGACAATAAGATTTTTTAATTTTTTACTAAATGTACATAGTGAAAATCAATGACCCCCGGGGGTGGGGCCAATTTTGACCCCAGGGCTATAATTTATTCAATCTTGCTAGAGGTTCACTACACAATGTTTCATGCAAAATATCTAACCTCTAGCCTTTGTCAATTTAGAGAAGATGATTTTTTAAGTTTTTACTATATACATATGAGGAAAACCTATGACCCCCGGGGCAGGGCTAATTTTGACACTAGAGGCAAAATTTGAACAACTTTGGTAGAGTACCTATAGATAATAACACATACCAAATATCAAACCTCTAAGCCTGGTACCTTCAGACAAGAAGGTATTTTAAGTTTTTACTATATGTACATACAGTGAAAATCAATGACCCCCGGGGCGGGGCCGATTTGGACCCCAGGGATATAATTTGAACAATCTTGGTAGAGGTCTACCAGACAATGCCTTATGCAAAATATCTAAGCTCTAGGCCTTTTGGTTCTTTACAAGAAGATTTTTTAAATTTATTCTTATAATTCCTTTTGGTTGCCATGGCAACCAGAATTCTGCATGGAATGAAATTCTTTGAACAACTTTGGAAGGCCTTCACCCAAGGAACAATCCTGCCAAGTTTGGTTGAAATTGGACTAGTGGTTTTTCACAAGAAGATTTTTTAAGTTCACTATATAATCTATATAACACACACACAAACAAACACACAGGTGAATCGCTATATGCCACCGCATCGCAGATGCTGCAGTGGCATAAAAAACGATCGGCCAGAAATAATGCTTAACATGGTTCATTTATTATATTTTTATTAATACATTATGATAATTGATTATCATTTATAATAACCTATATGTGATAAACTTACCTGATCAAACAGTCCAAGAGCCAGAACTGGTAATGAACTGTACATTACATTGTAAAATGAGATAAAATATGGGTCAAATAGTGTCTGAAATAGAAAAAGTAAAATTGTCTATCAAATTACTTTTGTCCCAGCGATAATAGGCACAGGGTTGAACAATTTCAATGATTTATATATTTACAATTAATGTTAAACAATAACCTAGTATCATATGGATTATACTTACTATCATGATCTCAAGAAAAGATAACTATTTAAATAATATTTCATATTTGTAACTGGATTACTTCCCTTTACTTGTTATTATACGTGTGCTTCTTTGATAAATAGCAATTGCACTTGAGCTCATAAGAATAACTATTAAAATATCAATAAATATTATACAGTAGTAGAAAAGTTTGAATCTTGTTATAATCCATACAACATTACACTTAACTAAGTTGTAACTAAATTAGAAGAGGTACCAAAATTTGCACACACAAAAAGCAGATTTGTAAACAAGTTCTGGAACTATTGGCGATGTTTATTCATAGAAGACTCACCTGAGCAGTAAACCCGCAGAAGAAGGCATACCAGAAATGACAAAGGGTGAAAGCGAAGTTCTTGTAGAAGAAGAACTTGAGAAATTTACACATACGCAGGTACGACCAGCGTCCATGCACGAGTAACAACCGTTCAAGGTAACGGAATTGAGAGAAGGAATAATCGCTCGATAGAACAGCCTGCATTCCTTCCTGACCAGATATTCCTACGCCAATATGTGCCGCTGAAATTTATAAAATATATTACACATGCTTTTTTAAACATTGCACAAAAATATTCAATTTAGAAAGGCATCCCAGAGACAGTAAATATATAAATTTATCTTAATATCCAGACACTTGACAGGATGACTGTATAAATGGTAAGTGTACAAGTAAAAGTAAAAACAACAAAACCCTTTTTTTTTCTCCATAATTGTTTCATTTCAATGTTCCTATTTCCCATGAATAAACTATAACTCATGGAATTTTGTGTACATGCTCTTTGGAAATTATGTGTAAATTTCAAAATAAAAAAGAGAGGGGCAGTCTTTAATATTTACGACAAATTTTCATATCTTACTCGAAACATATATCATTTTCAAATACTGGTTAATCACCACCATAAATTGCCAAATTTTTTTTAATTTTTTTAACCACTAGTTTTAATGCTGATTTCAAACCATTTTTAGTGACATTTCAGCAGCCAGTCTACAAAACCTGCTTTCCCGGATTACTAACCAGTAATTACCAATTTCTCTGCAAGTAAGCGACAACTAATCAAACATGATTTCTGAATCGGTGGCAACCAAATGTCCGAAATTATTTGCCACGGAACTCATCTCAACAACAAAATTGAGCACAGTACCATTTTAAACAATATACTTTTAATATACTTTGTCACCACAGTGCAGAAATAGGTTAACTCCTAACAGGTTAACTTATAACAGGTTAACTCCTAACAGGTTAACTCCTAACAGGTTAACTCCTAATTGGTTAACTCATAACAGGTTAACTCATAACAGGTTCACTCATAACAAGTTGACTCATAACAGGTTAACTCATAAAAGATTAACTCATAACAGAATAACTTATAACAGGTTAACTTCAATTAAAATTCAGAGGAGTTAACCTGATACTGCTTTAAGGTGTAAACTTCTAATTTTTTATGATATTAAACTCACTTTTAATCATGCTAACATCATTGGCACCATCTCCTATAGCTAATGTGATTGATTTCTTATTCCTCTTAACAAGGTCTACAACAAGAGCTTTCTGTAGAGGTGTCACTCGGCAACATATCACCGCCTTACAGGAACAGCCTAACTCCAGTAATATCATCTCTAATTCCGGCTTTAAGCAATGTGCCTATAATTATACAATATAAAACTTACTGTGAAGAGGTCAAAAATATAATTCATTATCAATTAAAGTTTGTACAACAAAAATTGTCACAAATATTCATGGGAAAGTTCACATAAACAATGTTTTTCTTTTTAAATAAACCACACTTTCTCAGTATGCTGCCCCACATCCCATGTTTGTTTCTTTGTTTGATTGGCTTTAACGTCACAGCGACACATTAAAGGTCATATGGCGACGTTCAAGCTTTACTGGTGGAGGAAGACCTCAGGTGCCCTTTCTTGCATTATTTCAGGCATGAGGGGGCACCTGAGTAGAACCACCGATGTTCCGTAAGCTAGCTGGATAGCTTCTTCACATGAAAGAATTCAAAGACCCTGTCAGAATTCGAACCCACAGCGGTGAGGGACAAGTGGTTTGAAGTCAACCTCCCATTTAGTAAGTAAACAATCAAACGCAGCTTACCAGACTGTGTCCATTTATGACTAGAGCAAAATCAGACGACCCTTCCAAACTGACTGTCTCGTCAACCGAGTTAAATGTAGCTGTTCCTGTAGGGTTTCCACCATTTGCAAACCTATGGGGAAAAAAAAACATGTTAAATTTAGGAGTAAATATAACTCCATTCTTACCTATAGGGTACTGCATAATGTATCAATAAATTTAATGTTACGGCATTTACTCATATAACATGAAAACAATGATTTTGGAATCATTCTTCAAGTGTGAAACAAAATTAACTTTTGGCTTTCAGAAACTTGTCTTTTTATTTTTATCAGGTCTACATCATGACACGAAACTTTGCAAAGGAAAAATAAAGTTTAAACCAATTATTCTAAAATCTTTGCACAAATTTATGCAAAGTTAATCTTCTGTAAAAGTCGGTAAAGAAAATCTTAAGGCTAGTATAGCAGTGGTCAGTCAATCTTTAAAATGACACTTCTACTGTTACAAGCATAGTGACATAATTTATGCTATCAAAGTATCACCCTTCACTTATCCCAGTGCCAGAAAGTATAAAAGAAGCAAAGATTAACAAGTGAAACAAATCAACGAAAATGTTTTTCCATGCTTTCTGCCCTTTAGAAGTGCATTTTCAATTTAAAACAGCATTCTCAATTTTCATAGCAAACATGTTTTTCATATTTGAATTGAACATTGTTGCTAGCTTCTAAGAAATAGACCTTTACAAAAAGTTTATTAAGGGCAAAATCATAGATCTCTATTTCACAAAAAGGGCATAACTTTGCAAATATTATTATTTTTGCATTAATTATCTGCTGGATTATCGGGTCTTTTGCATAAGTGTCACATTTTTAAAGTGAAATAATTGTATACCATGTTTAAGGTGAATACCTTCAATGGTTTCTGAGAAATGAATTTGAACAGAATGGTAAACAAATGCAGTTTAACGCAATTGCCAACACTTAGGAGAGTGTCATGACAATTTCTCAAATTTTTTTTTTTAAAGTAGAGCCATGGCTTTTTTCACAGGTTGGGCTTAATTTTGGGGGGAAATTACACAGTATATTTGCAAAAGGGGAAGGAAAAACTTGATGGTAATTCAATTTTTAGGGAAAATTGCATGATTTTAAAGAATTTTTCTTTGGGGAAGCAGCTGAAGAAAAAAAAAGCCCTGAGAGCTTACAAACTAACCTAACAGAATCTACATGCTCAGTGTTTTCCTCAGGCCCTTTTTAAATTTTTAACATCAAACTAAAAGCTTTCAAAGCAATTTTTCCCCCCGGGTTTCTTTACCCGCAAAACAAAATCCCCCTCAAACTATTAAAACCCCTTTTCCATTTATCTTGAGCCCGACGACACGAGTTTTAACCAATGTTGGAGGCGTTTTTGTAATCATTAAAAAAATACAATCTGCCAAAGTTTATAACACTGATTTTCATTGGATTATCATTATGCATGCTGGCCTGGTTCTAAATTGGTGGCAACTATTGGCTCCACCAGACTAAGGGTTGAGATATTCATTAATAAGAATCTTTGAAACTTGTTGAATTTCATTCAGGCTTAGAAATGATTTACCAACTTTTTTCTCAATTCACTGATTTCAGGACTAATGTACTTTACCAGTATGTGAAAATATTATTAAGTTTGATGTTACTAAGCACACTTAATGTAAGCAATGACCAATCTGGTGCAAATTCATTATGTCAATCATCTTTACTTATCATTTCAATATCTGCTTTATATCATTTACTATCGCCCCCAAAACCCCATACTTTTTCTATAACGACCCTAAACTTGATACAAACCAAAATCTATCAATTTTGGACATGTGCAATGAGTGAGCTCTGTAAAATTGTATTCTAACAAACATTTATTATAAATTTAAAAGTTAATTCCTTATTTATTAAAGAGTCAGCGAAAAGTAAACATTTCATAATGTGATTGGTCCTACAAATTATAATACAGAAAACTCAAGATTTTTTTTCTGTTGACCACCAACCTTGTTTATCTCCAGTGAGGACCCAGATCTTAATACCAGCCATAGCTAGGTTCGCTATAGCATCCGGTACACCATCTTGGAGCTTATCTTCAATAGCTGTTGCACCAATCAACATCAGATTAGTTTCTATCTCCTCATAGCATTCGTTCATCTTGTCTTCACGATTCTCCATACTTATACTAAAACCACAAATATTTCAACATTACAGATTTCTGTGATTTCACATAATTTCGTGGGCAATGAAATTTCGTGGTTTTGTCACAAAGAACATTTACACCACGGGTTTGTGGATAGTTTATTATTCCTATACTGTAGGTAAAATGTAAAAAATGTGATGCAAAATAATCTTACAACAAACAAAATGAAATTTTGTTGGATCTTTACTTTTTGGATTAACCTATCCACGAAAACCACGAAAATAAGTTCACCATGAATAACATGTTTTTTTTTTAAAAGCAAAATAATTGAAATGGAAATTTTTATATATATCAAAATGTGTAATAATTACAGAGTACATTAGAATTTTACACTGGTCAAAGAGGCCATAAATACCATTTCATATGAAACAAAAACTTTCAACTGACCTAGCCTCCTTATATTTAGCTGCCCATGTTGCATATACACTGTCTGGAATTTCTTTGACGGCTAAACATAGAGTTCTTAATCCCTCCTGGGCAAATTCCTGAATATACACGTATTTTAAAACATTAGTTACAAGTCATACAAAATAAAGCGCTAAAATAAATATTTCAGTATACAGAATTGCATAAATAAAGGCATAAACATCTATTTTAACCCATAGTCTGCTGGCAGATAACTGATTCTACCCATGTGACCAGTGCAGACCAAAATCAACACAGTTAAATACAGTCATATTATTCTTCAAAAGTCGATACAACAGATTAATAATACTACCAAACTTCTTCCTTTGATGAAACTGAAATTAACACTTGAAATGTGTCCGTACAACACAAATGCCCCCTTATTCTACTGCTTTGTGAGTCTAAAGAAAGACAAGCAAATTTTTACCCCCACCCCTGCCGAAGAAATTGGGGCCAAAGAAAATGTTGTACTCGTGCATATGAATAAAATAAACGTCATGAATGTCCTATGAGAATAAACGTCACAAACATGCAGTATTATATATAGACTTAGAATCATTTACTCAAATAATCTAAAAATTATAAATTAAAGATGGTTTCTCGTGAATGATATAAAATCTTACATTAAGATGATGTGTTGTTAATTCCTGCATTTCTCTACACGACTTGTCGAGTCTCTCATAAATCACGGAATCAGCACCTTTACACCATAGCTGTATCTTACCATTACGTCTTACTATCACCTGTATATACATCATAAATCATATAACCTTTATTTATTGCACATTATAGCAGCACGCCTCCAGATTCATGCCAATTTTTATGAAAATTTTAAAAATGTATTTAACAGTTTGATATTGTGAAGTTACCAAAAGAATGCAATTTACTCATTATCAATGGCACTTACAACCCAAGTAAATTATCATAAAGAGGTCAAAAATATGCAAAAATAGCTCTTACTGTGTTAGTAACGCAGTAGAAATATAGTTACAAACACTGAAAAATTGGTCATTAATCGCACATAACATGTAAATTATTACTAGAATTTTGAATCTTTATACTTTTCCTAAAATCTTAGTACATATACATTTTTCTCAGGTTTGATTTTATCGAAACATTTTTGCTCATATGGAGGCGTGCAGCTTTAACTATGATCATGTTTACCTCTTATCTCTTTTAAAGGCTCATTATGCCTCACGAATGCTATCAATTTTATTTCTCGAAACCTTTTAATTGATGGCATCTTATTACATCATCCAAAAAAATATTTGTTTGCCATATACATGCTTTTTATGCTACTTTTTCTCTGTTGGCATTTGATATAATTAGTGCTTTTAGCGAATTAGAATGGAAGTTAAAATACTACCCTGTTTTCTTTTTGCTACCTTTGCAACACATTACTGCACATTCAGCGCTACTTTCTTCACCTGTTATACATCTTAAATGCTCTTAATTCTTTATCAAAACATTATTAAACAAATGTTTGACATTTCTATAGAATTAAAAACTATGCTTTTTCTGAGGCATAACATGCCTTTAATAAAAGCTTTTTACTTATTTGAACTACGTCGTTTACTGTATACATCTCAGTTTTACATCCAAAGGTTTGTAAGAAGACATTTTTCAGCAGAAGTGCGAACACTAAAAAATTCCCATTCTCTGATATGCAATAAATTCACATATACATATTAAAATTTCATCATCCAATCAAAATTCAATATACTATGCACTTACAGACATTCTTTTCCTGACGTTATCAAAATCAAGTATGGCTAGCAGATCATAAGTCTCTTCTGTCCCACAGTTATCTATCGTTATAGTGTTTGGTGTTCTTGACTAAAATGAAAATACTTGTTCATTCAATTTAATTATGTGAAACTGTCTGTTTTTCTGGTTTTTATGACGATTTTAACACATTTTTTTGGGGGGGACAATACATCAAACTGGATTTTCCTGGATAACTTACTAGTAATTACTCATTTCTCTGCAAGTGACAGACTGACTACTTATCATACAAATGTTTTTTATGAAAATTTTAACATATTTTTTTTGTGGTCATATCTTGGCGACAATACACCCAACTGAATTTTCCTGAATAATTTAACAGTAATTACTAATTTCTTTGCAAGTGACCGACTGACTACTAATCGTACATATGACCATTAGACACAATATCTGAGAACAACTGTCACTGAGAAATTACGTCTTGTCCAAGGATCGAACCAACAACCCCTGAATTACTGATTTACTAATCAGATGCTCTCCCTATTGAGTTAAGCAGCACAGCAATGATGAGATATTAATCATAATCTATTAAAGAATTTATGCCTTGAAAAAGTGAGTACCCTTTAAAACTGTAGACAATTTGAAATAAATAAGTCCCTTTTCTTTTAAGCAAAAGATTACAGTATATGTAAGAAAAATACCTTGAAGACAAATCCAAAGTTTCTGGCGGCTGTTACAAGGGCTCCCTCATCTGGTGACTGGGCTTGATATTCCAATTTTCCTGAATAATACATTAAAATTCAGAAAATAATATACTAACAGTATGTTTAAATTAACACATTTCATTTTTCTCCTCTAAATTTGGTTTGGTTTAAAAATATAGGTACATTTATTTAGTATGATTTAAATTAAGATTAGAATGAAATATATTACAAATATTTTTTTTATTTCTTTGGGGTGTGTGTGTGTGTTGGGGTGTTGCACATCAAAACCAATACACTGTTTTATACAGTATAGGTTATATGGCACTTTCCAGCTTTACTGGTAGAGGAAGACCTCAGGTGCCCTTTATCTGTGATATTATTTGAGGTATGAACGTGCAGTGCACCCTAAGTAGAACAACCTGTGTTCCATAAGTTAGCTGGATAGCTTCCTCACGTAAAAGAATTCACAGTCCCTGTCGAGATTTGACCCCACAATGGTGAGGTGGGGTAAGTGGTTTGAAGTCAAGGACCTAATCACTTGGCCACGGACAGCCCCTATTACACCAGATGAAATATTTTCATGAGCAGCACAGCCCCAAAATAACATGTAACAGTGTGTATTATATATTACCATCTTTATCCTCAGGCATCACTGTATGGCATAGCGCTAAAAGTTTGAAGAAATCATGCATGTGTTGATCCTGCCTCTTTATTCCATCAGGTACTCTTCTATCGTAGAAACAAAAACTTTCCTCATAATATTTATTCTCGGAAAAATCACACCTAGGCGTTGACTGAAACGATAAAATAATTCAATCATAAACACCAGGCATAACTTCTTTTTTGTAATTTCCTAAAACCATAACAAAATGAGTGAAAATGGTTCTAGCGACATTGCCCAATCAATGTTTTGTTTGAGATAAGTTAAATGGTTACTAATTCTAATAATAAATACAGCCAATTTAAATATGGATGTTATGAATGTGGTTCAAACTTCACGAGGATTCATCCAGCCATTATGGCACTAAACGTACAGACAATAGACATTAACAAAAAAAATTCTGAAGTCACATGTATGCCACTGTATTTTGAACCAATGAGAGACGAAAAATGAACACTAGACTTTGCCCTACTTTTTCATCCAATGAGAATGCTTAAATTTGAAAATTTGGCCCAATGAAAATGCAATTTTGAAAAATTCTTAAAGTCTGTTTCACATAATATGTCATCAACAGTGTTTAATTTACCATTCATTTAACCATTGCATCTATCTCGGTAAACACTTTACATGTACACTGCCTATGTAAAGTAGGTCAACATCTAAGTTAGTTAAACACTAGTAAAAAATTTTTTTTAAAGTATTCCTTGAGCTGTTTAAATAATTTAATTCATACTTTGTAGTGTAAAACAACTATTTAGTACCGAAAGACAATTTTAATTTAAACATATTCATTTAAGTTTGCATGTGTAACCAGTGAGTGCTCGTGATATTTATCGCATCTGTGTCCTTTTCCTGGAACTAACCAGTAATGTTGCCATATGAGCACACATGGTCATGACCCTGGATAGGTCTCAAACCGAGCATCCCTGGCCCTTAACGATAAAGCCACTACTCATTTTATGCTAAGCTGTTGGTTAATTTAAATTTTTTTTAATGAAATCCCTTCAGAAAGTAATTGACGCATGGTAAGTGTTAAAGATAAAATTAAGAAGAAACATATTTTCACTGTTGCCTATTTCATTCTATAAAAAGGCATAAAACTGTGTTTTAATTCACATTCATTCAATATCAATCACAGCAGCAAAGACCAAAAAGCAAAAGAAAAGGTTGAAGGTTAGTGTATAGATTTCTTTTCATATCAGCTTGTTTGTAGACAATACCTATTCATATCATCTTATTTTGAGACACATAGCATTCTCATAATAAAGTACAGAAAATTATTAATTGGATGTAATACAGTAATAAGGACAATAATTGTAAAGACCTTCATGAAGTAACAAGCGCATACAAAGAATGACATTATGAAGTAACAAGAACATACAGTGGAGCCTTGCTAATCCGAACCCTTCTAATCCGGAATCCTTTCTTATCCGAACGAAGTGTCCGGTCCCGATTTTTTTCGTTCTATTTTCAATAGTAAAAAACCTTTCGGATCCGGAACCTGTCTACTCCGAATTCCGGACGAGTTTTTTCAATTTTTGTTCTTATTTTACTCTAAAATTAACGTCTGGGATCCGAACAGATTTTGCCAAATGTCACACCTACATTTAAAATAACAAAAAAATCGCACATCTTGCAGGTATAAACATACACCAAACTGATAAGAGTAATTTCTCTTGATTAATGGGTGAAAGGTATTATCTGCGAAGGTGTGAAAATTACACTTAGCTTGCCTTGATATCTACTTTAATTGCTTAATTGATTGTTTTTCGCAACCTACAATAAATATTTAGATATGGTGCAACAGAAATATCTTTTAATCTTTTGTAACAAATTTAATGACATGGGATTAGGTAATGGAAACTGTCAGTGAATTCGGATAATCACTGAATCGGATAAGAGTAAACAACAATTGACAAATGCTGGTACGAATATTTAATTATGTCTCAGTCTTCTGTTTAACATCCTAGATTAACTTACCCTTTAGGATATTATATTTTTGCTTATTTATCTATTTTTATTTATTTATTTTTGTATTCACATGTTTAATAAACATAATTCTTGTGTCTAATGAACGATAAGAGATTGCAAAAATAAAATATTGATATTGCAATTTCAAATGCATTCCAGTTTTCTTTCCTTAAACTATTTTGCCAATAACATGAACAAACATGTAAAAAAACTTCTAATCCGGAAACCTTTCTAATCCGAACTTTTCTTCTGGTCTGGTCGAGTTCGGATTAGACAGGTGCCACTGTACAAAGAATGTAATCATGATGTAACAAGAACGCATAAAACATGGCATTATGAAGTAACAAGAACATACAAAGAATGTCATCATGATGTAACAAGAACGCATAAAACATGGCATTATGAAGTAACAAGAACATACAAAGAATATCATCATTAAGTAACAAGAACATTATAAGAATGTCTTCATGAAGAAACAAGAACATACAAAGACTGTCATGAAGTAACAAGAATATTGTTAAATACATCATGAACTAACAAGAATATACAGTTTACTTACTGGGATACTAGCACGTGGTTCTAAATCAGAATCTCCGATAAATACACTATCATCCGACTAACAAAAACATATTCAAAAGTTAAGTATTGCTACATGTTACATACCAACCACATGTAAGAAATTTTAAGTGTATATAGTTATATCTCTGCTGCTTTCAGCTTACAAAATTTTGTTGGAATTTTGGAAGACTAATAATTCCAAAATACCTGTATGAAAGAATAATGTTTGTTTTAAATTGTACGTGCACAAAATCATTGTTAAATGGTTAAAACCGTTCTTAAAATAGCAGCATAATAATTGAGCTACGTCACGACAAAACCAACATAGTGCGTTTGCGACCAGCATGGATCCAGACCAGTCTGCACATCTGCGCAGTCTGATCAGGATCCGTGCTGTTCGCTTACCAACTGATTTACAAGTAGAGAAACTGATAGCGAACAGCATGGATCCTGATCAGACTGCGCGGATGCGCAGGCTGGTCTGGATCCATGCTGGTCGCAAACCCATTATGTTGGTTTTGTCGTGACGCGGCTCATATTTTGTTCCAGAACATTTTATTCTGTTTGCATACAGTTCTCAAGTGTGTTAATAAAAAGAGACATTTTATGTGACAACTGTTTCAAGAGTCGAAAATAAGATTACTATTATTGCTATTGCCTTGGTAACTCAGTTTTCCTTTTCTTTGTCAAAAAAGAGGGAAGGTGCATTTATAAAAGGGAGAGCTTTTATTATCAGATGAGCGTTTTTTTTTAAGCTTTTTTTCAGGTGGGTTTTACATCAAAACAACACAATAAAGGTATTATGATTTTACCACTTTACCCGTGTAGGAAGACCTCAGGTGCTTCTCTGTGCATTATTTCAAGCACAAGCATGTATCCGAGTAGAACCACTGACTTTCCGTAAGCTAGCTGGATAGCTTCCAAACATGAAAGAATCCAAAATACCTTGGGGAGGGAGATTCGAACCCATAGATGAGCGTTTATTATATAATATACAGTACATAATATTTGAGCCGCGTCACAACAAAACCAACATAATGGGTTTGCGACCAGCATGGATCCAGACCAGCCTGCGCATCCGCGCAGTCTGATCAGGATCCATGCTGTTCGCTTACCAACTCTATAACAAGTAGAGAAACTGATAGCGAACAGTATGGATCCTGATCAGACTGCGCGGATGCGCAGGCTGGTCTGGATCCATGCTGGTCGCAAACGCACTATGTTGGTTTTGTCATGACGCAGCTCATTTTTTTATTATGTTATTACCTCTGTAATCTCTAAAGCAGTCCCACTAGCATCAAGATAATCACCATATGATTTACCATTGATAGACGCCTTCCTGAACTCCATTATGTTCTGAAAGAAAAAGTTCAGGATATAGAATATCCAGATATATCAACTGGAAAATCATTATTTTTCATGTGGCACTAATTTTTGCAGATAGGTCAATCCATTTTTTTAAAATCCAACTCAATTTTTTTTTGTCTCCTAAAGGTTTAAATCAATGCCGGCAGACATTGATGAAGGTGTAAATATAAAAATAAGCTCCACACATTCTTCTTTGATTACAATTAGGATTACAAAAACCTAATTGATCGGTAAATATTAATTTACATGAGGAAATATAGTGAAAAACAAATGCCACTCTCAACTTCTTTTCAAAAGTTTTCGTAATATCTTCATGTATTTTAAATATATTTTTGTCACATGACAATGTTATATAAAACTGTAACATCATTATTTGCGAAAAATGCAAATACGGGGGCTTAAAATCACTCTCGTTAGTGTCTGTTTCTTAAATTGCTTTACATTAAATATTCAAACTAAATGATAAAAAGGAAAAGTGGCAAGATACAGACCTGTGTGAGTGTCCCTGTTTTATCTGAGAAGATATATTCAATTTGACCAAGCTCTTCGTTTAATGCTGTTGTCCTTGCCTTGGCTGGGTCATCTTTTGCTTCGTAATACATCTTACTGTCCCAGTTAATCAATAGACTGTTTCCCATTCGAATAATCTCTACACTGAAAATTGTGGAAAAAACAGTGTTACTTAGCAGATTAATGAAGGTTTGCTTTAATTTGATGCTAGCTTGAATTCAGGTGCATTTTTACATTTATGTATATCAGTTAATTTGTAATAATAAAAAGATATTTGTTGTTTTTTTGGCCTTTTTGTAAACAGTAAAAGACAGATTAAAGCACTATGATATTAAAGCATATTTTTACATCTCTTTCTTTTGTTGATACTCTGGGAATGACTGAAACTTTCAAATTTATCATCCAGTTTGAACAGTGTTCAATTTATCAACCAGTTTGAACAGTGTTCAATTTATCAACCAGTTTGAACAGTCATCGAATTACTGTTTAGTTCAATTATTGAAAATTATTTTAATTGTCTCTGAACAGTAAGAAACAGTTTCTATGAAATTGTAACTCTCTTGTAATGGTTTTCATGTAGTTAATCTACTTTCAATTTACAATAATCTGTTAGTAGTTCAAAATTTGTTTTTATGCTAATTTTAATACTTTTGCTCATATCTCGGCAGTAAGTCAATCTAACCAGAATTCCTGGATATTTTATTACAAACCGGTAATTACGAATTTTTTCACAAGTGACCGACCATCTAACATGATTTCTGAGAGGGCTGTGAAGGACAAATGACCATTTGACTCAATGTCCGAGATCAATTGTAAGAAAGAAAGATTTCAATACTATGATTGAACAGCCATGGTCAGACTGCGTAAATGAGCAAGCTAGTCATACTTTACACTAGTTATTTAAGCGCTTTATCATGCTTAAAACGGTTAAACGAAACAACTTACCTAACATATAAAGAAATAGGCACTACTGTGTTCAGGACAATGATATAGGAGAAGAAAGTCAGTAGAGACAGAGTTGTTGCCCCTTCAGTCACTGAACCATCTTTTGTTCCTAATATAGTTCCAGGTATGTAGCTCTCCCAGGGGAGGTAAATCTGGAATTTATCTCCAGCTATTTGGCTCTCCCAGATACCACACGCAATTGTACAGATTAGGCACATACTTAACAGGAAAATAAAAATCTGAAAAAAAATGTAATATTGTTAAAAATTTAACATACCAATATTTTTTTATATAAATTTTCTTAATATACATGTAAAAGTATTTGTTTCTTTTAAAAGATGTTTATGTTTGTAGTGAATGAAATAAAAAGCATTAGTTTTTGAAACAGATTTGATTCATTGATAGTTTGAGGAAATGACCTTAATACCTAGAAACATCATCAGACTGAATGAAAGTTCATGGTTTCCTAGGTGCACTCATTTTTAGGAATCAAATCAATCTCAACCAAGCTAATTGCCAAGCCTAGAACTCCACTGAGGTTAAAAAAGCCAAGGATATACATGTAAATTTGAATAATTTTACATAGATCAGCTGGGACACTTAAAACAGAAAGTTATGCTAAAGATCATTAAAAAATATACTCTTAATAAAATAGCTGAGTGGAAAACATTGCAACACTTCTCCATTTTGGGTCTTCTTTTTACAACTAGAATAGTTATTCTGGAAAAACGGAGTGAGCCAGTTATTCTGGAAAAACGGAGTGAGCCAGTTATTCTGGAAAAACGGAGTGAGCCAGTTATTCTGGAAAAACGGAGTGAGCCAATCAGATTTTTGGCACAAGTTATTGATCTAGAAAAACATCAAATGGAACATTTCTCTAAAAAATTTATTTCCAGACCCGTCATGTCAAAAAACCTTAGGTGAGTTCCTTTTAGCTATGCTCACATACAGATGAAGGATAGCCCTTTAATTCTAATAAAAAAATGAGCATGAGTGTAAGGTTTATTCAATACTTACACCTATAATTAAATCATTCATAAGCCTATCAATGTTTGTTCGTTTAAACACAGTTTTTCCACAATTCATCATAAGCTTGGACTCATGACCCGAGAACACGACTAGCCCATAGCACCACTGAGTATTACGTAAAACACAACCTCTTAGAAGAATTTTATCGTTATCGAGAGAGTATGTTTGCCCTTGCCAATTTAGTTTTCCTTCAAATTTAGGTAGTCGGTTGTTTGGTGCTTCACATATTATCTCTCCTATAAGAAAAGAAAAAGACTGTGCTGTAATAATTTGAATGTTTACAATACCTTTTTACGACTTCTTAGAGGCTTTTGTTTAGTTAATATATAATTTTTTATTAACTTAAATAAGTTTTTCCAACACCTCTCAAAAAAACTTTTACTACAAAATTATATCTTTAATTATATTTTCCTATCACAAAGGTTTTTAATCTTGGTATCCTGTTATAGTTTCCTGTTTCTTATTGCCCATAAAGCTGAATCATCTTTTGTTTCATTTTTGTTTCCGCAATTTGTACAGTTGAAGTGATTTAGTAGTTTGTATGGAAGTCAAAATACCACTTTGCTTACATTTTCATACCTATATGAAACATAATTTCACATTTAGCACTCTGCTTTCACTGTTCCTGAGACATTTCTGAGGCATAATGGGCCTTTAACCAAAGTGTGTTGACAACAACTGTGTGAGTACAATTGCTCTACATATTCTTCCAATAGTCATACTAAAAACTGGCCAGTCTTAACAGTAAGTCAGACCAGACTCTATACTGTTGGTCTGACAAGTCATTGCGATATAATACCCCACCTCATCAAAAAATGTCTTACCATCAAACTCAGAAAATTTTACAATATCATTGTCTATTTCAGCAGTTTCTGGTAAAGCTTGACGCACCTTTAAATTTGTTTCCCTACAAATAAATGAATAAACGTAAACCACATATTTATATATATATAATAATCTCTAATAGCAAACACCAAAATTCTTATTTTCATGCTGAATAAAGTAAATTTCAAAACAAATTATATGCAACTCATACCCTTGTTTTCTGACAAGGTTCATAACTCTTAAAACTATATAACAAAAATTATCTCCACTTTTTTTTTTAAGCTTTATCTTCTTTGATACTAAAATAATTTAGCTTCAGAAGTAATATAGTTGTTCCTTGATTCTCAAGATTTTTCTTAAACTTCTTGCAAAAAAACCTTGCTTTAAAAATTAAATTATTACGCTGTTTCAAAATAAGCAACTGTTTCATCAAGCACTTACCCATCTAACTCAGCTGTTTCGATATAACATAAACTGTTTGGTTCACTGGTAGACAGTAGCAGTAAATCTGCCTGGAAGACAGAGAAATCAGCTAATTATAAACTGTAAAATAGTTATACTATACTTCCATGACCATTACTGACAACACAGGATGAAAAAAGCTATAGAATGATGTTACTAGGGCTGTTATTGAATATGGCAATATCATTATATCATCTTTATTCATGATCCGATACAATATCGATAAAAAAATTTCAAATATTGATACAAGCTAAAAAATTTTTATTTCTGTTAGTGAATATACCTCTCTATTTTGCCTAATAAAAAAAGTCACTTTTTTCTAGTTTTCTTGGCTACTTTGAACGGTCAAAGTTGATATATCGTCAATATTTGTCTCTCGATATATCAATACAAAGTTTTCCATCAATAACAACCCTAGCTGTTACATTGGCTATACAAATGCTAAAATCTAATGTTGTCCATTTTAATTATGTAAATTTACCACTATATTAAGACATTTACCATACAACTATTTAAAAAATTCTTATGGGCAAATATTGATAAATAATAACAAACACATATAACAACTTCAACACTTCTTATATGAGGTTCGAAATCCAAAACTGCATATAAGACCCGCGACTTTTAAAATATCCGTCTAGCAGGTGAGTACATGTGACAAACTTACACTTGAAAATAAAATATTCAGAATGATAAGGAAATTAAAACTAAAATAATTCCTTGTCACAGAGACCCTCTAAGACTTGGAAAAACTTAAGTGAACTCCCCCAAATAAATGAATTAACATACAGCAACAAATTGATTGTTTTCCATTTTAATGATGTCACCGACAACAACTTTCTGCCATACTTCTTCCATCATTTTTCCATCTCGTAAAACCGTTGCTTTCCTATTGTTAACCTGATCATCACTTCTATGTCGTCTCTAGAGAAACAGAAAAAACAAGGTCATTATAAAGGTCAACAAGCTAACAAGGTCATTATAAAAGTCAAGAAATAACAAGGTCATTATAAAGGTCAACAAGCAAGAGACAATAATAGTGAGCTTTATTGTTTTGTTAAATCAAGATTATTCATGTAGATCTATATTTCTGCTTTTAAGGTCAACTAGCTTATTATATAATAAACATTTGCTGTGAGCTTTAGTGTCTTGTAAATATATCTGGTTTAATATTCAAATCAATTCCAAATTCAAAGAGATTCTAACATTAAAATTCTAAAATAAGCAGCAAGCTGTAGCAGATCTTATCAGAATGCTCTTTACTGGTTTTATTGTAAGAAAACTGAAAAGTCCTATCGTAAGTGCTATTATAGATTACAAGTCCTAAATTGCAAGTTTTATTAGGACTTCTTATCAGAAAGTCCTTATTATAAGTGTTATCCAAAATAAGTGTTATCCACAACTAATCATAAGTGTTATTAGAACTTCTAATTAAATGTCCTATCATAATTGTGTTTAAAGGTTTTAAGCAATATTAGGACTTCATATTGTTGTTATTGCAAGTCCTATCATAACTGTTCTGTAAGACTTCTTAATAAAAGTCCCCAATCATAAGTATTATTTAGAGTCCACATTTTATTATTACAACAGTTAACATCTTAACTTCAATTTCAAATAGAACAACAAGACTTTTGACTGTTGAAGAGAAGTTTATAACGCTTTGGTTAGGGTTCAAACTCATAACTGCCCTTTAGCAAATCTAAAAAATTAACCAATGATGTTGGCCATAAATAACTAATAAAACACAACAAAAGTTTTTCAACAAAAAGAATCATAATACAGTTAATCAGAAAGAAGACATTCTACATCTAACTAGTCTCTACACATAGTCATGCAATACAGAATGTATTAAAATTGAATTAAAATTGGCAGAAATTAAAAAAAATTTAGTCTTAGTACATATTACACTAATTCTTATTATGTAAAAAAGTTATAAAAAGTTAGTCTTTTACAAAATCTATAGAGTTATAGATAAATCCTCTCTTACAATATGTAGAGTTATCTATAAATCCTCTTTTACAATATGTAGAGTTATCTATAAATCCTCTTTTACAATATGTAGAGTTATCTATAAATCCTCTTTTACAATATGTAGAGTTATCTATAAATCCTCTTTTACAATATGTAGAGTTATCTATAAATCCTCTTTTACAATATGTAGAGTTATCTATAAATCCTCTTTTACAATATGTAGAGTTATCTATAAATCCTCTTTTACAATATGTAGAGTTATCTATAAATCCTCTTTTACAATATGTAGAGTTATCTATAAATCCTCTCTTACAATATGTAGAGTTATCTATAAATCCTCTTTTACAATATGTAGAGTTATCTATAAATCCTCTTTTACAATATCTAGAGTTATCTATAAATCCTCTTTTACAATATGTAGAGTTATCTATAAATCCTCTTTTACAATATGTAGAGTTATCTATAAATCCTCTTTTACAATATGTAGAGTTATCTATAAATCCTCTTTTACAATATCTAGAGTTATCTATAAATCCTCTTTTACAATATCTAGAGTTATCTATAAATCCTCTTTTACAATATCTAGAGTTATCTATAAATCCTCTTTTACAATATCTAGAGTAATAGATTAATCAATATTTTTATTTTTATGATTTTCCTGAATGTTGTTTTTAAAATATAAATGATTTTTTCTATATACAACAATTAGGTAACATAACTTTATTGACTGTAAATGTTTGAACAATCACTAATCAATACTTTGCTAGTTACTACTAAATAATATTTTGCTTGCAACTACCAAATTTCAATCAATATTTTTTCAAGTAATTACTAATCAAAACTTTGCTAGTAACTGATAATTGATATTTCTGGAAAGTAATTAACTCAGGTAACTTCATTTCTGGAAAGTATTATGCTAATTTCTAGAAAGTAGCAAGTTACTGCTAACTTCTGGTGCGTTACTGCCAATTTCTAGAGGGGAAAAAAAATCAAAAGAACTTTTGTACAGAACTGTATACAATATAATTATAACATTTAACGTTATTAAATAATAACACAAGACCAAACTTATAATACTTTCAAAACCTCCAAACCAGCAATACATTGTACTCACTAATTATACATACATGCAGTTTATTCGTAGGTTTGTATTATAGAAAAACTTACATAATCGTCGAACCCATCTTTAAACGCGGAGAAACTGATCACCGCAACCAGGGGGATGAACGTTGTGAAAGGGGTCAGGGAGGATATAGCCGGAATAAGCTGCGAGATAAATTGCGAAATAAATTGAAAATACCGAAAGTCAGTTTCTGCGGAAAAATTTTATCCCCAACAACTAAGTTTATTAGTTCAAACTACGGCATTCAGACAGTGACTTAATAATAACGTCATTCCCCCATTACCCCCTACATTTAATTTTTTCGCAGATATACAAATTACTACATTACATATGACAGGATGCATATGAATAAATGCACATATAACATAATTATATGTTATTTTAACCACAGCACAAACAGTGTGTTAAATAGTGCAATAGACACAAAACATTCTATGACAGACCTATAGTCCATTTCAAAAACCAACTAGTTTCCAATAACGTAAAATACATAATTATTCCTTACAGATAATCATCATTAAATGGAGGTGGTGGCAGGAAATTTTGGATTATGACGCCTGAATTTGAATGTCTGAGAATATTGTAATAAACCCGACCCCGCCCTAAACGTCCTTGACGGTTTTCACAATGTCTATTTTTGGTGCATTGTGACATCATCATATGCTAAAATACCAAAATAAGGGTTTATAATCCTATATATATATTATATCTGTATAGCATGCTTGTCTTGCATTTTCATTGGAAACAGTATTTATTTTGAAACAGACTATAGTATATCATTAAAACTAAATGACATTGTGATAAAAATAGAATTGTGTCGATTACATCGCTGGATACAACAAAGCAAGTCTACAACTAGCTGAAAAACTAAGAAAAGCTAGAAACGATTAGAAAGTAAGTAAAATGAGATTTGAGTCTACCTAAATAGTACCATTTCACATGATTGGCTTCATATTGACAGAATCATAAATTGTAAATTTGAAAATCGAGAAAAAAGATGGTCATGAAAAGGTACCATTTTGTGGGACACAAAGTAATCATACAAAAGAATGGTTACTAAGCAAAAATGGAAATGGTTACTAAGTAAACATAATTTTTTAGGGAGATTAATCAAAATCAAAATGTTAGCAAAGATACTTTTTTTCTCAAACCAAAACAAATTACAACTGAAATGCCTAATATGACAGATTTTTTGAGATAACAAAAATAAACTAGAAATTGTGATCTTTACATCCCATTCCCCCATCCCCCACCCCTAAAAAAGTATTTTTTGATTTCATGATCTAGATTTTTATCAAACTGTAGTTACATAGTGCTCTTTTTATGCACTGATACAATTTAAACTGTTTTATATTGATCCAATTTAGTTTCATCGTTCTAAAGGAAGGGTCCAAAGAAATGAATATAACACAATGATGAAAAAAAGAATGTAAAAGAAGTGTTAAAACACTACAAACTCAGTGATCTGAAAAGAAAAATAAATTACCAAGTTGCAAGACAATATCTTATTTCTGAAGTTTTATGTTAGATTCTACAGGTTAATAATTTTTGCATGCTGGAAGCAAACAAATTTTTCTCATGCAACCAGTGCATTCCAATCTGAGCCGGTCTGCACTGGTTGCTATTAAATTTTAGTCAGACGATATTTTGAAATTTTGCCTAAAACTGATGAATGGTTAGGTCCATACTGAAAGATGGATAAGTCCATTTAAGACACTGTATCATGAGAAAAACCAGTGAAACTTGAGCCTCGAAGGCTATTTCTAGAAACGAGGATTTTGTCTTGCATTTTGAATGAAACAAAAGACATGTCTACAAGCCTTATCTAAAATCTGCGCAGGCCGACAAGGAAGATCGGACAACCGAATGTGTTTGCCTCATTAAATAAAGTTGTTAGTTACTTACTAAATTTCCATGGTTAAAAACTTATTTTATACCAATGTCTACGCTGTCACCTGAGTGAGTAAAATAGCTCTACATATTCTTTTAAAAAGAAAAGCTCAAAAATATTCCTTGACTTACAAACATATGTCTTTTGTTTCATACTGTATAAAGAAAAAGGACTATCAAGCAAGAAATCTAACTTCATGTTCATGTTCAAAAGTTCATAGCAAATATGAGAATTTTGACTATAATCACTGACGTAATGAAGTAAGATTTTTTTTTAGCAAAAGATATTTGCAAGAAAACTAAAAATAACAGAACAGATATTATATTTGTATTAAATATGTGGCAGGTTGGTTATAGCCAAGTTGTTAATATGGGGGGGGGGGTGAAAAGTTGTGGACGCCACTCCTGTGCCTGCACTTACGTAGTCGTCAAGGCCATCTTTGACTAATGTAACACCAAGCACCAAGACCAATGGTACGAGGGTAGTATAAAACGGCAACGAAGATATCGCAGGAATGAGCTGTTGAGAAAAATATATCAGTTTAATATTACACTTATAAAGCTAAAATACCATGGTGTTATTGCTGTTTCAAAAAACTCTTTTGTGTCTTTACCTTCTAAAACAGAAAGTCACCAGTATAGAGCCAGGCCAGCATACACTTCCGTGCAGTCTGACCAGGCTCTATACTTGCCGGCAGGTCAAATTTTTTATATTCTAATACTGAAATCTCTAAAACTTTGAATGGACTGTTCCAAATTCAAAGCATGGCAAAATCCATTACACAAATTCAGCAGGTAGTAGAGATAAATGTACCTAGTAGTCAATACAGTTTTCATAAGTTGTAGATTTTTCCTCATATCTGCTGGTTTTGTATGTGGGTGTAGTGAGATTATAAACTTTGCACATATCTTATTGATATTTTCTATTCAATAGGTTAGAATATTATGTATATCTATGGACTTTTTCTTTCATGTTAATAACTCTATTTTAAGCATGAGCAAATTATCCTGTTTGAGGAGAAATATATATGTCTAGATTTTTTTTTTTTTTGAGAAATTTTAATATATCATTACTTTTATTGTTTCATGACACCAAATTAATGCAATAAATAGGGACTTCCATTTAATAGTTTGAGTCTTTATTTCTGAGACATAAAATGCGGTAAAGTAATTTTATTTACTAGCTGTTACAGTAAACGATGAATTTCTTAAAGAGTTTTAATTCTTAATTTCTCTTGACATTTAAGGCTTTTGTCAAAAAGCTTTTGTCATGTCTGAAATACAATACACATGTGTAAGATAAATGGTTTCATTTGACATTAGTAAAAACCCAAGATGACAAGTGTTTTTTGTTCATTATCAACTCATTTTAAGTGGCGCATGGCTGAGTGGTTAATGCGTCAAACTAGTAACCTAATGAGCGCTAGCTGAATGGGTTCAAAACCTGTCAGGGGCAAGTCATTGTTTCCTTGAGCAAAAAACTTTGCACTCATTGCTCAGTACTGGTTTATCTCAGGAATGGATTCGAAAGTGTGTCTATAAGCTTTTAGCTTCCTACAAAATAGAACTAAAATTCTGTATAAACTCTATGTCTGTGACCAAAACCTGCTTGGTCATGTGCAATGGCTTATATTATTAAATCATAACCTTAAGAATCTAGAGGTGATAACCCTTCATCACCAGTATAGAACCAGACCAGCCTGTACAGCTGTGCAGTCTGAAAAGGCTCTACACTGTTGGTTAACTAAATTTTCATCTTGATACCCACAAAATTAATAATTGACTATTCCAAAAACGGAAGCTGGACATGTCTATTTAAGAAAGTCAGCGGGTAAAGCAGGGTCGTCATGAGGAGGCTGTAGATTCTAATAACTGTCTCAAATGCATTTCTGAGCCACCTCAAAACTTAGAGAGCACTCTTTGTTGTGTGTGATGTAATCAAAAATGACTGTCTTAAAGTTCAAAACAATAATCTCAGAAAAAAATTTAATGAAAATGCTGGCCCGAGGTTATGAAGAAATTCTCCAAGTTCAAACTCAAATCTTAGGTAATTGATTGGTCAGAAACTGTCACAGAATTTACAGTGTCCAATGAAAATCCGGAGATTTGAGACAAAACTAAGAAAAAAGTTTTATAACCTCGAGGCCAGGTTACGGTCAAATTACAACAATATTCAATGAATAATTATAAAAGTATAGAACTATCAAATTACCTGTAGAATAAGTAGACCAAGAAAGTATGCATTGGCTATCCTCTGTAACTGCTCTATCAAGTTCTTTGGAACGAATGAAATAATTGTATATTTGGATGTACAGATGTAGTTATTCTGTAATAGAAAATACAACAAGGCTTGACAATGTTAAATGTCAATAATTATAAATATAGAAGTATAACATATAATAATTTATTTTTTTTACTTGCAGAAATAAGATGTAATTGTTATATTTTTTTAGTCAAGGGACAGAATTTGCATAAAGAATCTTTAACAAAACTCAGTATTCCTTGAAAGATTATTATTGTCGCAGATGACAAACTGATGTAAACATTTATCTAAATTGGCTGATCAAAACAATTATCTCAAGTGGCTGGCAAAACAACTATCTCACATGGCAGTTCAAAAGATTTATCTAAATTGGCTGACCAAACCATTTATCTAAATTGGATGGCCAAACTATTTATCTAAATTGGATGGCAAAAATATTTATTTAAAATGGATGACCAAAACATTTATCTCAAGTTGCAGGTCAAAATATTTATCTCAAGTGGCTGACAAAACATTTATCTCAAGTGACTGACAAAACATTTATCTCAAGTGGCTGACCCAGGTGGCTGACAAAACATTTATCCCAAATGACTGACAAAACATTTATCTCAAGTGGCAGACTGAAGCATTTATCTTGAGTGGCAGACCAAACCATTTATCTCAAGTGGCAGACCAAAACATTTATCTCAAGTGGCAGACCAAAGCATTTATCTCAAGTGGCAGATCAAATCATTTATCTTGAGTGGCAGAACAAAACATTTATCTCAAGTGGCAGACCAAAGCATCATCTTCAGTACCAATACAAAGCATTTACTGCAAGTGGCAATGCAGTTGGCAACTCAAAACATTTATTGCAAATGATGCACTAAAACATTTATCTCAAGTGGCTGACCAAACATTTATCTCAAGTGACCTCAAAAGAATATAATAATGAATAAAAACAAAAATAATCTACATGTAAGTAGTATATAATTTATCTTTGAAATTATTTTTTTTTTTAAATGCTGTATTTACCGCATATTCAAACTGCTCATTGTAGACTGGGTCATTTGCTTTAATTCTCCTCTCAATCTCTGAAAATATATAATCATTATAATATTTAGCATAAATCATAATTATATTATCTTATAATATAAACGTCTACAAAAAGTCATAATATAAACGTCTACAAAATGTCATAATAGGAACTATACTGCTGCTATTAAATAACACAAGTGGTTGAAAATATATTTTGTCAAATGAGATTGTTCCATTTTTTCAAATTCTGCGGTACATTTAATCAGCAACAACTTGTTATTACCAGAATTTACTACTGGCTAAAATCAGGGTAACATCTGTATAAAATTCATGTCTTTTTTTATTTGTACGGGTATTTAACGGGCACCTGAGTAAAACCACTGACGTTCTGTAAGCTAGCTCAAGCTGGATATCATCCTCACAAGAAAAATCCAATGTTCCTGTCAGGATTCGAACCCAAATATTGTGAGAGACAAGTGGTTTGAAGTCAACCACCTTAACCACTCATCCAAGGACACCCCTGTGTTAAAATAAAGTTGGTTTGTATCAGTAAAGTCAGCACAGGTACAGTAATTCAAAAAGTTGAAGGGACTTACATAAAAACTACACAACATTGGGATTCGACTTGCGTACTGGTCTCAATTTTGAGCCATCTTTCAAAAAGAGGGTGATAACTAAATTAACCAGCTAATAGTAAACAATTATCCCATGTGATTATCATGTGTCATCGGGTCTCGGAATATCCAAAATAGAAACTAATTCTTTGTGTTTATATTCACAGAAAAATAAATCATTTTACTTCAACACATCAAGAAAATCAACTTATCAGAGTTCTACTGTATTACATAAGAAACACTTATAGTAATGTCAAATAGTATAATTCAAAAACATGTTATAATTTGTCAGAACTAAATCTTTACCTAAAGCTGCAACTTTTTCATTGCAGATCCCCATCCTTTATAATCCTTACTCAATCTCTTATTCCATAATAATCACTTTAACGTCAGTAAACATGAATATAAATAACTAATCCATCCAATTTCATTTTCATGATTTTATAAAGCTTGGTGATCTTTCTGTCAACATTTATAACAATTGGGGTGTCATAAAGTGATTGTTAAATTACCTTGATTTCAGTCCAGTTATTACTTTAATATAATGAACGATGCATTATCATGTAATAAAACATTCCGGAATTTTGACATTTCGTAATGAAAATGGTGATAAAAATCCTGTAAGCCTCAGTATAGTATTATCTTATAGGTTTATTCTGTATTTTCCTCATCCTAAAATCAATATATACTCTACAATACATAATATCATTGTATCTAACAAATAAAAATATTAACAGACTATGATTGTACTATGTGACTGCAGTTTGATTTCTAAATTTTAACACAGTAACAATGCTAAAATGCATTGATTTTTTTACTTTATCTGAGAAAGTCATAATGCTAAAATGCTTGGATTTTTAGCTGTGACCTCAGTAAAATTGCATGCCAAATAAAATGCTTTAACTTAGTTTATACAAAGTTATTTTAGTTTGATTGTGTTGGAAGCTATAAGCTTATTGAAACACTCTTGAATCTGTTCCTGGAACCAACCAGTACTAAGCAATGATTGTAAAGTTTCTTGCTCAAGCAAACAGCGGCTTGCCCTTGACAGGGTTTGAACCCTCGTGGTCAGCAACCCTTACATTCCAAGTCTGACGCGTTAACCACTCGGCCACGACGCCACACGCTTTAACTTTTTGCACTGACTTCAGTTAAAATGCTTTCAATTGATTTCTATCTCAGAAACTGACCTCAGTAAAATGCTTTAGCCTATTAAGCTTTGACCTCAGTAAACTTGTGAGCTAACATGCATATGTGAGCCAAAGTACATAAACTAAATTTCTACTTTGATCTCAGCAAACAGCATTAACTTATATAATTATAATAAAATAACAAAATATTATCCAAACTCTGTGGAGGTGCACTATTTCTCATATACAATTTGCACTATTTGAAAAATAGATCCAGGTTTTCCTATGGTTTAATGGTTTAAAAGACAACAGTCTGAAGGTCTTAAGCACTGTACTCAAGATATTTTATGCTTTTCGGTCATCATCATCTATTGGCAAATATTGCTACACTATTACATATTATATAAGTTGGACTACAATTTACTTTACCGACAACAGGCATTTGTGAGTGAATAAATAATTTCATGGAGGGGCAACTCAGCTTTTCCCCTAATAAGTATTAAGGCAGTAAAGTCACCCTTCCGACCTTAGACTTGTTTATGTGACGAATGAAATCCCGCAAAAAGAAAGTTACATACATTTATTTATTCACTTTAAGCAATTCAAAACACAGAGAAGAACAATAAAACACTGTCATCCATTAATTATATTTCCAATATTTACATCATGCATGTCGAAATACCTAAAAGTACACTCGCCATTTAGAATAACACACATTTAAAGCAGTCCCTACATATTATAGTCCATAACAAAACAACATCTAATGTAATGAAACACTAAATTTCTTTATGAAAAAAAAAAATCCCAATCTTGTCCAATCACTTGTAATTTCTTCACGTCCCTTTCTTAAAACCTATTCTAACCTGACACAAATCTGATTAAATTCACTAACCATGCATCAGTTTTGATTGATTCAGTCTTTCCCGTATATGGTGTTACTATTACAGAGAAAAACAATCAATTCGCTTTGTGTGCACTATAACTACCTATGCTTTAACCTTATATCTTTATTGACTATCCTTTAAGTTGACATTTAAGTCCATGCAGCAGCATTCATGTTCATGATGAAATATTTAAGTTTAAAGATCCAATAGCTTGATAAATTCTAATTATATATATTATAATATGAAAAGCTGTGACATGAAAAATTGATTGACTTCTTGTTGAGCCAAGTCTGTAAAAAGCCTATTTCAGAGACTATTATATATTTAATTTGATACCAACAATTTTCATGACTGTTAACTCCATGTTCCACTGTATGTAAAAACATGAATATTTAACACCAGCACAAATATAATTTTTCTCCACAAGAAACTGTCTACTTCTTCACATGTTTAATCATTTGATGTAGCTTATCATAGTTTGTTGCAAAATGTTTGACTTACTGGGGTTTTTTTACTCGATTTTAGCATAATTTTGGTCATATTTCGTAAGCCGATTCACTAAAATAAATCAGCTGTACTGGATAACTAACCAGTAATTTCCAATTTCTCCTAAAGCTTCCTACCTTAACTAATCTGAATCAGCTGCGAGTGACAAATAATCATTACACTTAATGTCTGAATACAATCTGTCACAGAAAAATTATGCCTCAACCAAGGATCGAACCTGAGCAGCCCCTGGATTTCTAATCTGATGCTCTCCCTTATTGAGCTTTAAAGCTGACATAATAGTCCAACTATAAATGAGCTGTGTCATGACAAAACCAACGTAATACATTAGCGACCAGCATGGATCCAGACCAGCCTGCGCATCCGCGCAGTCTGATCAGGATCCATGCTGTTTCCTATCAGTTTCTCGTCTTGTTATATGGTTCGTAAGCGAACAGCATGGATTCTGATCAGACTGCGCGGAAGTGAAGACTGGTCTGGATCCATGCTGGTCGCAAACACACTATGTTGGTTTTGTCGTGACGCGGCTCATTAATTTTACCATGAGTTGAGAAATTGATAGTGCTATTTTATGTATGGGCAATATTATCACCCTTGAAATTCTGACCAACACCAAAAACATCTCAGAATCTTAGCTATGCTGGCTGTCAAAATATTTTGACAACTCATTAATGCTGTATGATTCTTATTTTTTTAACAAAACATCTCAAAACTTGATTAAGAATAATTAAATAGTATGTTTTAAAGTTAATTCACAAATATGAATATGCCTTTACTTTTTACCTCTAACTGAGATTTAGCCCTTATGCTTGAATAAAATTGTAACATATGATAAACAAGATTACTGTTCAATGTAAATCAATGGCATTAAATTAAACCAAATAATTTTTGGTCTTTAAGACTTTAATTAAATTTAAAATTCACATTGATTTTTAACAGTATTTCTGAAGTTAATTAAACTAATACAACATAAATCACTTCAATCATAAGTAAATTAATGAACAATGCCAAGAAATGGTACCAATATCAAATATTTCCAAAAAATATATGAATTATTTTTATAAATTCCAATAGAGACGGTGTTACATCAATGCCACATCCTATACGAATACTCTCACACCTACATTATCAAAGTTAAGCACTAGGAAATGTCATGCTAATGTCTGGCATAATACAAACCTTTACAACAGATCACTTGCATTGACAAACATTGACAGGAAAGAGAACTTGTGGACAACTTGTGAAGAACAAATACAACCAATATAGACAACAAATGTTTATTTTACAATGATCAAAGTATTGATTTAATACAGGGACATTTTATTATAATTAGGTAAAATAGAGTTTGGAGTCAGGTAATGATGTCACCGCAGATTTTTATTTAACATACCATATTGTCTCCATTTAACGCCCCTAATGCCCTGCTTTATTTTTCAAAAGGGGGAGGGGACAATTAATGATGGCCGTTAATTGGAAACATTACAGTATTTTCTAGCTCAAGAGAAAGCACTAAAATTAGCCCATGCCTCCAGATTCATGCTAATTTTCATGAAAATTTTGAAAATTAATTTGAAGAAGTCAAAATAAGCAAAAATAGCCACCCAGCCAGTAGAAATGTGGTGACAAATACTGCAAAATTAGTCATTAATCACACATAACATGTTTATTACTTCTTGAATCTTGAATCTTTTTTGACTTCTCTTAACATCTTAGTACATGCACATTTTTCTCATGGTTGATTTACTTTAAATATTACAGCTCATCTGGAGCCATATAGCTTTAACAACTGAAACCTTTCCTTTAAAAAGAGACTGTGTAAGTTTCAATATTATTCAAAAATAACACTTAAAGTCAGGAACTCCAAAAATATTCTTTCTTTATTATAAGTTCCAATAGCTTACTTTTACTGATTACTAATTTCAATCAAACTTTCACCAATCAAGAATTCATCATAAAAGCCAGCTTCTGTTTCATATTATACAATATGCCCCAGTGTAAGGATACTGACTTTTACAGTGATATTTGATCAACGTTGTCATTATTGTGGCTGTTATTCTATATCATGATTAACATCCCTAGAGACATAAAAAAAACGTCCTTGTTTCTTGCCAACAAATATAATAATGAAAATTCCATCTGACAATTCATCAAGTGAAACTGGTGTAATGAAATAACAAAATAATAAAAGCTTTCTACACGGACTGTAGACATGTTAAAGATGACCAAGCGATTGTGCATGCTCTTGTAACATATTCCACTGTTAAACTGTGCAGTCATGAGGTGAAATTATTTGTTGAGTTGATCAAACAGACAAATAAGTTTTCTGAATATTGATGGTTTCATAGTTTATGTTACTTTTTTTTTTTTTTTTGGGGGGGGGGGGGGGGGGGGGGGGGGGGGGGGGGGGGGTTACGATGCACCAACACAGTATAGATCATATTGCCACTTTCCAGCTTTACTGATGGAGGAAGACTGTGCATTATTTCAGACAGGAACAGGCACATGAGTAAGAACCACCGACGTTCCGTACTTGTTAGCTGGATAGCTTCCCCACATGAAAGAATTCAAAATCCCTGTCGGGATTTGAACCCCTAGTGGTGAGGGGCAAGTTGTTTGAAGTCAACGTCCTTAAACCACTCCTCCACAGACACCCACCCTATATATTACTTAGATTGTATTAAATTGTATACTATAACCAATGATGCTTGCAATAATTATCAGTCCTTAGGTTTTTATCATTAACTATCAAACGATGACTGTATTTAATTAGTACACAGGTCATCACTTTAAACTCAAACTGTAGTAGATATAGTGATATCAGAAATGTAAATAATAAATTAACTAAATATCTATGCTAGATCAACGACAATTGACTACATCAAATACACATGTATGTAAACATGATAATTAGGAAATATCGAAACAAATCTTTAAGTCAAAACGGATAACAGGATACAAAACAAAATTTTCTAGAGCCAATTATTGTTTTAATGTACTCCGGTTTTTATCTATTTACATCCTCCCATATAAAAATTATATCCTGTTCAAAAGCACACATAACTTACCTAAAAAATTTTTTTTTCAAAGAGAATAGGTGCGTTATTTTATAATTCTACCTATGCCTGGAAGAGATTGATCAGAATCTACTCAATGACATCAACAAAAACTTATTTTATTAATCTTTTGCCTGCTTGCTAAAATGGTTCAATCTATGTCACTCTTTATCAGTGACAGTTCTGATCATGGTCTGCACTTTTTGGCAGTAAACTTTATATTTACAAATTTTCCTTAAAAATCATGACTGGTTTTGTCCAGTGTGGTAAGGGTGAAAAAAACTTAAAAAAAATTTTTTGCTTGTCTATCAGAAAAAAAGTCAGAAATAATAATATAAATACAAGAGCTGTCCATAAGACAGCGCGCTCAACTATTTTCGGTCCTTGACAGTAAGAAAAGGGGGTTAACTCAGTAAAATTCAAAGTTATGGGACCTGCATCTATCAATTGTTAGATAATCACAGAGAACCTGAGTGTTTGAAGTTCCTACCCATTCCCTTCAATAGATTTGGAAATACACACTTGCATGCAATAAACTTAACCAAAGTGTGATGGCGACGCCCATGCCAGGACCATTGATGCCGGCACGCCATACAATCAATAGCTGCACATATTCTTAAAATAGTTGAGACTAAACAGCTTGTGTAAGTGGAGTTTCGTGGTGCTCTCGTTCAAAACCCATAGAAATAATTTGCACGGGGAGCGAACTGAGTAGAAAGGCTAACGGCAGCTACCAACCTGGGGACTCGAATCCGGGACCTCCCAGCAATACCGTACCCAAGGCTTTTTACCAACTGAGCTATCCGGCTACTTACACACTATCTCCCCAAATAAGTGAACGATTCTGAACTGTGACATACTCCCCCGCTATATTGAAATTCATTTCTTAGGGTTACAGAGCAATGTGAATTAAACTCTAAGCTATATGTAGTTTCGGCCCCATGTTGGGTGCCAAATGCTACAGGGTAAGAAAAATGTGCAGCCTGACCGGGACTCGGAATACCGTACTATTAGCTCTACTGACTGAGCTATCTGGCCGCAAACACACTATCTCCCCTAATAAGTGAACAGCACACTGTGATCTATTGAGACTAAGCCTTTCAACTAGGAGATTTGTTCCGCATCAGACGGGCAATACTCTCCGGCAGCAGCAAATTCCTAAAGCACAGGTGGGAACAGTTCTGAACCGTGACAACTCTAAGAATCTTACAATGGCTGTCAGTACAGACTACATTGCATAATCTGGCTTGATAGTATTCACATTTAGACTCTCCTGAGCCCAATATTCCTCTCTATCATGACAGCCAGTATTTTAATTTTACCCATACTTCTTGCATATTTAACACAAAGATCTCTCAAATGAGAAGTTTCTGGCACTCAACAGCTAAATCAAAGATATTAGAATAGAATGGCAGTCAATGATAGACAAACTTGTTTTAATAAGACAGAATGGGCAACTGTTGACACTTGCTATTGTTAGACTTATATACTACTGGTGACATAGGTCTGATATAAATGCCTCTAGCCAAGCTGTGCAACAAGACAACACCAATACAGTATGTTTTTATATTCCCTCAACAAATGGAGTAAAAACAATTTTTAAATATCAATTGTAATTTAGTGACTTCATTACAAATAATTTCACATGGAAAAACTGAAATCGGCATAATTATAAACCTTTAACATTTATTATCCTGCATTTACTGGAAATTTAAGCTTTTGTAACATCCCTTCCAACATTACTCAGAATACCAAAGAATGGAAAAAAATCAACAAAAATTTAGATTCAATCTCAACATACCTGAAACATCCGTCTCTTTCAAATGCTTAAATTTTTTCTTTGGCATCCTTGTTTATCAGATAACAAACAGAAACAAAACTTCACCATTCGGATGATTAAATCATGGCGAATTTTGATAAAATGATTTTTTTTTCTTTTTTTCAGAAAATCCTTTTTCAAGATAAACACATACACTAATATCTGATTGTATAAAATCACCACTGTGCATCAGGAAGTTTACCAAGTTGACAATTGAAATGTTCAATTTAAGAGGTTAAGCTTTTACAATAAATTATTCTCCCTGGTTTTTGTATCATTATCAAGATAATTTTAAATTTTTACACACTGAATTCCTTTATTTAAAACACTGTTTTTTTTATCGTTATCTAGATAATTTAACCTTTAACTCGCTGAATTCCTTAAATTTAACAAGATATGTTTGTAAAACATGTATGCCCCCTATCAGCAGCCAATTAGTCATGTGATAAGGTTATTATGCATGACTTCTGACCCAGTGATCAAACAATTAATAAGGGTTATCAAGTATCTACTGGTCATGACCTTAACCTTTGACCCCTTGACCCAAAACTCAATAGGGGTCATCTGCTGGTCACGACCAATCATCATACAAAGTTTGAAGTTCCTAGGCCTAAGCGTTTTTAGTTAATTGATCAGAAACCGTTTTTACCTACAAAGTCAATGTGACCTTGACCTTTGACCACTTGACCCCAAAATCAATAGGTCATCTGCTGGTCATGACCAATCACTATACCAAGTTTGAAGTTCCTAGGCCTAAGGGTTCTTTAGTTATTGATCGGAAACCGTTTTAACATACATGGTCAATGTGACCTTGACCTTTGACCCTAAAATCAATAGGGGTCATCTGCTGCTCATGACCAATCACCATACCAAGTTTGAAGTTCCTAGGCCGAAGCGTTCTTTAATTATTGATCAGAAACCGTTTTTACTTACAATGTCAATGTAACCTTGACCTTTGACCCCTTGATCCAAAAATCAATAGGGGTAATCTGCTGGTCATGACAAATCACCATGCCAAGTTTGAAGTTCCTAGGCCTAAGCGTTCTTAAGTTATTGATCAGAAACCGTTTTTACTTACAAGGTCAATGTGACCTTGACCTTTGACCCCTTGACCCAAAACTCAATAGGGGTCATCTGCTGGTCACAAACAATCATCATACAAAGTTTGAAGTTCCTAGGCCTAAGCGTTTTTAGTTAATTGATCGGAAACCGTTTTTACTTACAAGGTCAATGTGACCTTGACCTTTGACCCCTTGACCCCAAAATCAAAAGGTCATCTGCTGGTCATGACCAATCACCATACCAAGTTTGAAGTTCCTAGGCCTAAGGGTTCTTAAGTTATTGATTGGAAAGCATTTTTACCTACAAGGTCAATGTGACCTTGCCCTTTGACCCCTTAACCCCAATATCAATAGGGGTCATCTGCTGGTCATGACCAATCACCATACCAAGTTTGAAGTTCCTAGGCCTAAGGGTTCTTTAGTTATTGATCGGAAACCGTTTTTACCTAAGAGGTCAATGTGACCTTGACCTTTGACCCCTTGACCCCAAAATCAACAGGGGTCATGTACTGATCATGACCTATCACCATATCAAGTTTGAAGTCCCTAGGCCTAAGGGTTCTTTTGTTATTTGATCGGAAACCGTTTTTACCCAAGAGGTCAATGTGACCTTGACCCTTGACCCCTTAACCCCAAAATCAATAGGGGTCATCTGCTGGTCATAACCAATCACCAAACCAACTTTGAAGTTCCTAGGCCTAAAAGTTCTTTAGTTATTGATCGGAAACCGTTTTTGCTTACAACGTCAATGTGACCTTGACCTTTGACCCCTTGACCCCAAAATCGATAGGGGTCATCTACTGATCATGACCAATCACCATACCAAGTTTGAAGCTCCTAGGCCTTAAAGTTCTTTAGTTATTGATCGGAAACCGTTTTTCCTTACAAGGTCAATGTGACCTTGACCTTTGACCCCTTGACCCCAAAATCAATAGGGGTCATCTACTAATCATGACCAATCACCATACCAAGTTTGAAGTTCCTAGGCCTTAAGGTTCTTTAGTTATTGATCGGAAACCGTTTTTACCCAAGAGGTCAATGTGACCTTGACCTTTGACCCCTTAACCCCAAAATCAATAGGGGTCATCTGCTGGTCATAACCAATCACCATACCAACTTTGAAGTTCCTAGGCCTAAAAGTTCTTTAGTTATTGATCGGAAACCGTTTTTTTTTTACAAGGTCAATGTGACCTTGACCTTTGACCCCTTGACCCCAAAATCGATAGGGGTCATCTACTGATCATGACCAATCACCATACCAAGTTTGAAGCTCCTAGGCCTTAAAGTTCTTTAGTTATTGATCGGAAACCGTTTTTCCTTACAAGGTCAATGTGACCTTGACCTTTGACCCCTTGACCCCAAAATCAATAGGGGTCATCTACTTATCATGACCAATCACCATACCTAGTTTGAAAATCCTAGGCCTAAAGGTTCTTTAGTTATTGATCGGAAACTGTTTTTGCTTACAAGGTCAATGTGACCTTGACCTTTGACCCCTTGACCCCAAAATCAATAGGGGTCATCTACTTGTCATGACCAATCACCATACCAAGTTTGAAGTTCCTGGGCCTAAGGGTTCTTTAGTTATCACTCGGAAACCATTTGGTCTACGGACCGACGGACCGACGGACCGACAGACCGACGGACCGACGGACCGACAAGTGCAAAGCAATATACCCCCTTTTCTTCGAAATGGGGGCATAATAAATCAGCCAACCACAAAGAGCCTTGCCGGAACAGGCAAGATATATCACTTTTCGGTTCCAGAATAGTAAAGGTTAAAATATTTAGTTCATTTTAAAACTGTTAACAATTTTGTCACAGATTCAGTATCACATCGACCTTGCTATCTTGTTTATCACATGTTCATTAATAAAAAGGGACACCTCCAACATGTACATACACATTAAAGCTGCATGCCTACAGATGAGTGAAAAATATTTAAATAAAATCAAACTTGAGAAAAATGTACATGTACTAAGATTTTAGGAAAAGAAAAAATATTAAAGATTCAAGTAATAATTTACAAGTTATGTGCGATTTTAAATAACTGATTTTTCAGTATTTATAACTATATTTCTACTGCGTTACTAACGCAGTGAGGGCTATTTTTGCGTATTTTGTCCTTTTTTCAGTAATTTACTTGGATTGTAAGTGCCATTGATAATGTGTTAATAATGCTTCCTTTTGGTTATTTCACTAAATAATACTTTTAAACAGTCATTTTCAAAATTTTCATGAAAATTAGCATGAATCTGCAGGCGTACTGCTTTAAAGTACATGTACAATATCACAAACACCCTATCCCTTTTTTATCTCGTTAAAGATACAGTAAGTAACTAGCTGTTCCTGTTATGTGGTTAACTCATAATATCAACATTGTCGTCAGTATAGATTTTTACGATGTCGCATTATCCAGTGTCACCTAAGCGAGCGCACGAAAGGGTATATGTTGGGTACTCAGAATACCCAACAACTACCAATCCTACTCATTCTGTATGTATTGTTGGGTATTTTCTTTGATTATGTTGGGTACTTTTTTTACACAGTAAAAACCCAACAAGAATACAAATGTAAGAACGTCTGCAGTAACGTTTAAACTCCGATTAAATTATATATTTCAGAAGTTAACCCGTATTACTGCACTAAGAGTAAGATACTGTTTAAAGTTCTTTATTAAAAAAAAAACAAAGATATTACCAAATAATTATGTACGGCCTTTTTTGGTAAAGACTACTTAATAACAACCGATCAACGATGACTTACTTCCTTGTAGAAACACAATAAACAATCATAATCTCTTTAACATCTTTAATAATTTGTAAAAATAAAACAACACAGGGCAGCCATACAATAAACAATCATAATATCTTAAACATCAAATTCTTTAACTGTGTTAAAAAAAAAACAACAACAAAAAACAGGGCAGTCATACAATGTAGTTTAATTATATGACATCAATTATAATAGTTAACAAGTCATTCAGTGTTAATTTTTTCTTCTGATTCAGAGAAGAAAACTGAGGTTATGTTGTTGTTCTTTTTGTTGTTGTTTTTTTTTTAAATTTATTTACCAATTTTAATTTAATGATGGTAAAGTCAACATTTAACAACAACAATACCTAACTTAATCATCATCTTATCTTATCAACATTTCCGCTTACACATATGTCAGTATAATTTAGTAATACAAACAATGGACATGTCATGGGTTTTTTCCCTATCTATTCTAATGGAATAAAGCCCATGCTATAAAGAGGAAAACTGTTCCTTACTGGATTGTTAGAATTGTAAGGTATAACTTAAATTTCTGGGAAAACTGTGGGTGTTAGTGAATGGTGTTTGCTAACAATGGCATGTGATGACAAATTATTTATGCCATAAACAAAAATGGCATGAAATGACAAATAAAGTATGCCATACACAACATTATGGCATGAAATGACAAAATTAATGAAGTATGGTCTGAAATGACAAATAAAGTATGGCATAAACAACAATGACATGAAATGACAAATGAAGTATGGTCTAAAATGACAAATGAAGTATGGCATAAACAACAATGGCATGAAATGACAAATGAGGTATGGTCTAAAATGACAAATGAAGTATGGCATAAACAACAATGACATGAAATGACAAATGAAGTATGGTCTAAAATGACAAATAAAATAACTATGCCATAAACAACAATGGCATGAAATGACAAATGAAGTATGTAAGATACAACAATGACAAATAACGTATGCCATAAACAACGATGGCATGAAATTCAATTACTGCTAACCATTTTATGAAAAGACAAAAAAGAATATTCTGTTAAATTACAGCTAATAATGGCATGACATTGAAAATTTCAGTAAGTCATAATGGCTTAAACCATGGCATGTGATAAAAAAAACAAGCACACCCTATTGTGCTTACAATAAAATGGTTGTGGAAAATGACAAGACAAAGAAATCACCATATCCATTTATTGTCACCTTAGTGCAGTAATGGGTTAACTCCTTCTAAATTTAATAAGATTTAACCTGTTACTGCACTAAGGTGATGTTATGCTGACAATCAGGGATCAATTATGAGTGAGTGTCTTCAAAACTAAG